AGATAAAAACTTCTCTTTAAATAGTAATATTAATACTTAAATATTATAATAATTATATAAAGTTCTTAATTATATATTTTATAGTTATACTCTATATTAATTATTTTTCTTAAATAAAAAGCGATTAGATATTATTATCTATTTATATATAGCTAAATTAATATACCCGCTATAATAAATAATAAGATATTAATTTCGATTTAAATTAAAAGCTAAAAGTCGAAATATTTAAGAAAAAGCGCGATTATAAAGACGCTTTTTAGTTTTTTAAATATATACTCTATAATATTAAGCTATAAAAATAATTCTAATTTAATATTCTTTTCGCTTTCTTTAAAAAGTTCTATTAAAGAATTTATAATTTAAAAATAATAATAAATAAATCTTCGATAGAAATTTATAAATTTTAAAAAAACTTATATATTATAATAGTATTTTAATTTAGATTACTCTTAGATTATAATAACTCTATATTTATCTATAATAATATTAATAATAAATATTATAAAGTCGAGAAATTTTACTTTAATAACGAAAAACTTATATTTCTTTAAATTTATATAAAGACTATATTATCTAAATCGATTAAGTACTTACTTTATATAATCTAGATACTTCTTCTTTATCTTAAAATATATAAAAATATTATTTAAATATATTACGTAAACATCTGCAAATCTGAAAAGTTTCTATAAAATTTGAAATTGCTAATCGCGCGTGTTTCGCGGAAATTATAAAATCTATCGAATTAGTAAATCTAATTAGAATCCGCCTAAATTCTATTAATTTAGCAAATCTAATTAGAATTCGCTTAAATTCTATCGATTTAGTAACTATTCTATTCTTTTTTACTAGTTCTATTAATTTAATAGTAATATATATAAAAAAAGAAAAGTTCTAATAATTAACGTTATAATAATAAGATTCTATAACGATAAGTATTAACGTTAACTTAAATTTAATTATAAAATTAGATAATTTAATAAAATTAATCGCGTAAGTAATACTCTAATATAGCGTATAATAATATATATATTAATAATAATATATATTAATATTATATATATATAGAATAATACTTAGAGTATATTAAAGTATATTACGTAAAATTTTTAAAGTTACTAAAATTTTTTAAAGTTACTAAATTAATAGAACTGGCGAAAAGAATTTAGATAATTATTAAACTAATAAAAAGGATTAAATATAAATAAAGTCTATTAAATAGACTAAATCGTATTAATTATATAAACTCGACGAAAATCGTACGGAAAGAAACTTTTTAGATTTATAGATGAAACTAATTAATTAGTTTAATTAAAGTTTTATTAATATAAGTTTAAAAGATTATTAAAGTATTAGTTAAGTTAAATAATATTATTAGATATTTAAAGTACTCGTAATATATATAAAACGCTATCTTTTATTTATCGTCTTTATAAATTTATATATAATAATAAATATTCTTTAAATTAAATTTAATATATTATTTAAAATTATTTAAGCGATTAAGCGTCTCGCTAATTAAGAATAAGAGATATTAATTTTTAATAATTATCTTATTTAATTTACGATAGTTAATATATAAATATAAATCTTTATTCTTTTTTAAAATAAATAGAATTAAAACTTTTATTAAACTCGTAAAATATTTAATTTAACTCTTCGCTAGAGCTTTATCGAGATAAATTCTTAATACTATTAACTTTATATTAAATAAATTATATAATAAATTAAATAATAGCTTCGTCGTAATTTTAATAATATAATTATAACTTTTATATAATAATAATTAACTTATTTCTTTTAATAAAAATATATCTTTATATTCTTTTAACTTATAAGAAAGTTTAAGAATAACCTTTACGCTATCTATATAAATATTATATATTTTAATTATATTAATTTTATATTCTCTATTTATAATTATTATTTTAACTATAACTAATATATAGATAATCTTATACTCTATAAAGTATTCGCGAATTATTATAATATTAAAATCTTAAATACCTACTTTTCGACGTTAAAATACTAGATTCGATCTTCTATATCTATCTTAATTCGTTTATTAATTAAGATTAAAAGATCTAAAATTATTAAGAAATTTTTTTTATTAATAATATAAAAAATATATTTATAACGCTTAATACGCTTTTAATAATTTTATAAATAATAGATAATTAAATAAGTACTATAGTAATAAGTTAATTTTCTATTTATTTATATAGATTTTAATAAGAGATTATTAATCTTTATTAGATTTTATTTAATTATAAAACGCTAGCTTATTATATTTATTCTTTATTATTATTAAAATAAATATTACTTCTATTTTTATTCTCGTCGTTATAAAGTCTTTAATAAGAGTTTCTTTTTTTCTATTAAGTTAATTATATAAAGCTTATAATTATTAATTAAACTAATCGATATATTATTAAAACTTTCTATTTTCTATTTTTTCGATTTAATATAAATAGTAGCGTAATATTCTTTTTCTCTATAATTATAATATTTTATACTATTTAAATAAAACTTATTATTTTTAAATTTATTTTAAACTTATAATCTCGAAGTCGTTTATTTTTTAAATTAAAGTTATTTTATCTTTATAATAACTATAATTTCTTATATTAAGAATTTTAATTTCCTCGCTATTAGCTTTCTTATAAATTAGAAATATTATTTACTTTATATTCTCTAAAAGATTTTTACTTTTAATTATTATTCTTTAAGCGTATTATAAGCGTTAAAAGTTTATCTCGCTTAATTAATATAATTTAAATATTAATTAATTAATAATAAAGTTTTATATAAAGTTTTATAAATAAATAATATACTTATTAATTCTTAATATAGAGATTTATTTAGACTTTTAATAATTAAAGATAATTATTAAATTAATATATAGTTTAATTTTATCTTTAATTAATATTCGTATACGTTTAAATAATATTAAATTCTTAATTTATTAAATTCTTAATTTAATTTAATAAAAAGTTAATAAACTTCTATTATATATAGTTATAATTCGAAAATCTATTCTTCTTATTAATCTATAGTTTTTTTTAATTATTATTAAAAGATTAATAAACTTAAAAAATCTTATTTTTTTTAATAAGAAAGTTTTTTAAGATTAAGCGAAACGCTTTATTTATCTTTTATACTAGAGCTTAATATTTTTAAATACTCTTTTTATAATAGATTAGCAATTTCTCTAATTAAATTATTTTTTAAAACTATTAAATAATATTATTATATTTAAAACTAGTATTATTTATAATTCTCTTTATTTCTAAAGTCGCTAATAATTTTAATATATTATTATCGCTATTATAATTACGATCTATAAATATTTTACTTCTTTTAAATAAAATAATCTTCGCTTCTAGAGATTAAAGATAATATTCTTATATAAATATTTTTTAGCGATAAGTAATATACTCTACTTTATCGATTAGAATATAAATAGATTTATTAATCTATTTATTAATATCTCGCTTCTTATTAGAGATACTTTCTTAACTATAAATAATAATATTATTATTATTATTACTACTTAATTTTTCTATTAAACTATTATATATAACTAATAGAAAGATCTCTTTATTTAAATTTATAATATATCTTAATATCTTTAATTATATTATAATTATATTTTAATTCGATATTATATTAATTAATAATAACTTATTTTATAAATATTAAGATTATACTTTAATAGTAATTATTATACTAATTTCGAATCGCTACTTCTAAAAAAGATTAAAGAATTAAAATTATTAGATTTAAAGAGTTTTAGAGTTATATAGTAATATAAAATTAGAAAGATAAATATATTTATATATCGATTTAATAGTAAAACTAATTCTTAAAAAAGTAAAGAAAATTCGAGAAAGATCGCTTATTTAAGCTTATTTATTAAGACTTCGCTAAGTATATATTAAGCGTATATAAGCTAAGTAATCTAGAGTTCTCTCACTTAGAATTCTTAAGCGCCTTTTCTAATAAATACGCGAGAATTATATTTTAATACTTCTCTATAGTTACGCTCTTAGTTTACTTAATAAGAAATAAAGCTATATATAACTCTTAATAATAAATTATTTTAATCTTAATAATAGACTATTTTAGTCTTAATAATAATAGGCTATTTTAGTCTTAATAATAGACTATTTTAGTCTTCGATAATAATAAACTATTTTAGTCGTAATAATAATAGACTATTTTAGTCTTCGATAATAATAGACTATTTTAGTTTTAATAATAATAGACTATTTTAGTTTTAATAATAATAGACTATTTTAGTTATAATAATAATAGACTATTTTAATTATAATAATAAACTATTTTAGTTATAATAATAAGCTATTTTAGTTATAATAATAATAGATTATTTTAGTTATAATAATAATAGATTATTTTAATTATAATAATAATAGATTATTTTAATCGTAAAAATAGACTATTTTAATTATAATAATAAGCTATTTTAGTTATAATAATAAGCTATTTTAGTCGTAATAATAATAAATTATTTTAGCCTTTTAATAATAGGCTATTTTAGTCTTTAATAGACTATTTTAATCTTTTATATACTATTTTAATATAATACGTCTTTCTAATATAATATTTAATACTTATTTTAAATAATACGTCTTCTTAACGTAATATTTCTTTCTAAGATAATATAATATATCTCTAGAGTATAATACGAATGTTAAGGAAATGGATGACTGGGTTATGAATTCATGGTGTGGTGTAAAGATGTTGGTTATTCTATGTGCCTGCAGGGCAGATATGTGCGGCGCCAAGCCACACTAGTGTTATCTTATCAGGTGGCCTTGGCGTACCGTGACAACATGCCCGCAAAGAATGAAAAAAAGACACGTCCTCGTGGCCTATGTCATTGACCAATCAAAATGCATCGTTGCTAGTGGCTATGATGCTCCTGATTTACCCCCTCATCTTCCTCATAGACCGCATAGCCATCCGGTGTGACGTCAGCGAGATATGCGTGGCCTTTGCTTGCAGAGGTCCAATGTATCATAGTAATTTGGCTGTGATCGTCGCAGTAGATCCTTCTCTTGTTTGCTCATTGCAGTGATATGCCACACTAATGTGATATTGCCTAGGCATGCAGAGATAGCAGGCCAAATTGTACTGTCGTTCTCCGCTTGCTGAGTGGCGATCTGACGTGGGATCGTGGAGAGCTGAGCCGTGTTCTTGATGACGGTGGCCTTGTTGTCGCTTGGTTTCTCCGCAGTGTTCTCCGCTTTTGCCTGCTGTAGTGACTTCTCTTGCACTGGCTGAGTGGATTGGTGTGAGATCGTGGAGAGTAGGCCTGTTGTGTCACTGCTGCTGATGACTGTCTCCGTAATGTTCTCCGCAGTGTTCTGTTGCTGTTTTGAGAGAGTTTGGGGACGATTGGAGCTATAGCAGTCGACTTGGTGTGTTGACGGCTTGGTGGGAGGTGCTTGGCACGAGTTCTCCGCTTGTTTCTCCGCTTGTTCCTTTTGTTCTCTGACTTTGTGGCTGTGGGCGATACGATTGAGTGCGTAGGTCATGAGGTCAAATGGCGTAGGGACGATAGGGCTGTAGTAGGCCATAGCGATATGTCAAATGGCCTATTGAAAGGATCGACTTGATTGGCTGGTTTTTGCGTAGGCTGTGACGGCCTAGCTGCGTAGCGGAAGCGCGGGGGGCTGACTGTCGGTATATCGTGACTGCTGGTCGAGTGACGGTATAGACGACTTGGAAGAGGACCTGGGTTAGGTGTTGCTACCAATTGTCAAGGAAATGGATGACTGGGTCATGAATTCATGGTGTGGTGTAAAGATGTTGGTTATTCTATGTGCCTGCAGAGCAGATATGTGCGGCGCCAAGCCACACTAGTGTTATCTTATCAGGTGGCCTTGGCGTACCGTGACAACGAAGTAATATAGTTATCTCATATAGATATTATCTATAATTCTTCGCGACGTTTCTCTTTACTACTATCTTATTATCTTCGCTAATCTTATTAAATCTTAAAAAAACTTTATAAGAAAAGAGAAAAAGAGTATTAGCTCGTCTATTAATATAATCGAGTTTTTATTATAACGAGAGTTTCTTATAACGATATAGCGATACGATAATACGACGATATAACGACGTAATTATAACTCTATATTTAAATTAGTCTTTATAAAAAACTAGTATTATAGCGACTTAGTTTATATATTCTATAAATCGAGCTTATAATCTATTAAAATATTAGATATATAATATATAAAACGAATAAATTAATTCTCTAAAATCTCTTCGAAGTTAGATTTTAAATATAATATAAAATTAAATAGCTAGAAAATATAATAGCTAAGATACGCGGAGACTAAAAATATAATAGCTAAGATACGCGGAGACTATATTTTAATAAATCTAGTCTCGAAGAGATTTTAGAGAATTAATTTATTCGTTCTATATATTATATATCTAATATTTTAATAGATTATAAGCTCGATCTATAGAATATATAAACTAAGTCGCTATAATATTAAATTTCTATAAGATTAATTTAAATATAGAGTTATAACTACGTTATCGCATCGTTATAAAAAACTCTCGTCGTTATAAAGAATTCTCGTCGTCGTAAAGAACTCTCGTTAAAATAAGAACTTAGTTATATTAATAGACGAGCTAATATTCTTTTTCTCTTTTCTTATAAAGTTTTTTAAGATTTAATAAAATCGATAGAAATAAAATATTAAGACTAAAATAGTCTATTTTTATTAAAAGACTGAAATAATCTATTATTATTATTAAGGCTAAAATAATTTATTATTAAAAGATTAAAATATTTTATAAAAGATTAAAATAGTCTATTATTAAGAGGCTAAAATAATTTATTATTAAAAGACTAGAATAGCCTATTATCGAAAGGCTAAAATAGTCTATAAAATATTATTAAGACTAAAATAGTCTATTATTATTAGAATTAAAATAGTTTATTTATTAAGATTAAAATAATCTATTATTATTAAGATTAAAATAATCTTTATCGTTAATAAGAGTTATATATAGCTTTATTTCTTATTAAGTAAACTAAGAGCGTAACTATAGAGGAGTATCGAAATATAACTCTCGCGTATCTTAGTTATTATATTTTTAGCCTTCGTATATTTTAGTTACTATATTTTCCAGTTATCTAATTTTATACTATATTTAAAATCTAGTCTCGAAGAGATTTTAAAGAATTAATTTATTCGTTCTATATATTATATATCTAATATTCTAATAATAGTTAATTAAAAAATATTTTTTATTATTCATAAAGCTATAATTCTTTATAAGCGTTTTAATATTTAATTATTTAGATTAAATTTAGATTAAGTATACTTTATTAAAGATAGATATCTATATTACGATATAATAGCGATTATTATTTAAGAATTTAATAATATAATTATTTAAGAATTTAATAATATTCTTCTTATTAATAAAGTTTATAATATTAATATATATAAAAGAATAAGATAGAGCTAAGCTTAAATATCTTATTTTTATATATATAATTAATTATAAACTTAAAGTTACTCTTCTCTTTAATTAGATTAATTAAATTATCGCGAAAAAATAAATTAACGTTTATAACTATTAAAAAATAAGTATATATTATTTAATTTTAAAATAACTCCTCTATTTTCTATTAAATTTTTAAGTTTTTTTTTTAATTATAAAATAAATATAGGCTATTAAATAAAAAGAGAAGATTTAAATATAATCTTATAATTATTAAAGCGTAAGAAATTTGAATATCGCTTATTAAAGTTCGCTTACTAAAGATCGCTTATCTATTTACTCGATAGCTCTAATAAAAAAAAATTTATAAATTTAATTTATAGATCTTTACTCGTATAAATATAATAAATTATAAAGAAATAAAAAGAATAATTCGAAGTTAGAAGATGAAAAATAATAGATTTAATTAGTTACGCTAAATTCGTAATACTATCTAATTAGATATAGTAATAGAGCTATAGAGCTATTAAGATTATGAAAAATTCTTATAAAAAACGTTACTAAACCTTTCTAATAACAGCAGGGAATAAGGTAACCAGGCAACCATTCTTTTAGTAGCATCGGCTTTTCGCCAATGCATCTGCTCCCGACCAGCAATTTGACCTGCGGCCTTCGAGACAGTCCCTACTGTAGTTCTGGGGGAGATTCATAGCACTGACTACTAAGGCAATATGACTTCCAGCATACATCATGTTACGAAGGACCCAGTTCTAATTTTGAGATACCTTAGGCTCCTCAACTACAATTCTTCTTCAGAATCTTTCTCGTCTGAGGGCCTAACAAAATCTACATTAGCAGCAGAAGGGTCCGTAAGCAATGTGCTACGAAGACGCTCTCTAATATCTTTTGGTAGATAATAAATTTTTTGAAAGAGGTTTTTTCTTTAAAGACCAGGGGGTCCCACCAAGGGGGGGCGGGGGGAACTCTTTTTTTATTTTTTGAAAAAATTAATTATATTAAAAACTTCCCCAAAAAAAAAACAAAAAAAATTTGGGGGTTTGGGCTTCAAACCACAAACACATAAGGTGGAAAAAATAAAAAAAAGATATATTTTTGTTTTAATTGAAAAAAAAAAAAAAAATAAAAATAAAAAAAAAAAAAAAAAAAAAAACCCAACACCCCCCCAAAAAAAAAAAAAAATATAAATTTTATATATATAAAAATAAAAAAAGAACAAAAAAGCCGGTCCCCACAATACAAAAAAACAAAAAAAACGGGAAAAAAAAAAAAAAAAAAATTAAAAAGGAATAAAAAAAAAAAAAAAAAAAAAAAAAAAAAAAAAAAAAAAAAAAAAAAATAAAAAAATTAATATTTCTAAACATCTTTAGGAGGTTTTTTTGCTTTTTTGTTGTGATGTATGGTACCTTGCATAAAAAAAAAAAAAAAAAAAAAAAAAAAAAAAAAAAAACCCCGTCACTGTCGAGAACGGCGTGCGCTGTCCGAACGCACGTGTCTGCCTCAGCGAAGGAGAATCAGGCTATCTGTATGACAAGATGAAGGGCTCAGCCCTGTTTCACATCTTGGTTTTTGCATCCGACGTTCGAGGACCGGTCAGGGAGGGGCTTAAGTATTTCTCCGCGAGCTTGTCGAAAGGCTTCTACAACCGATACGGCGGAAGTGAACTTTTCAACATCATCTTCGTCACAAAGTGCCTCCCATTTGAGATTGCGGAGCGAACGACCGATACAGAGCTTCGTACACTCGGCGACGTAGCCACCATCGTCTACGACGATCGACCACCAGACGAGGACGCTCACTACACCTGGGGTATCGACCACGCCAAGGGTGCCGTCGTGGTAATCGGTCCCGATCTCTGAGTGGGAATGAGTGCTTTCCCGGGCGAGACGGCGCGGTTGGATCATCACTTTGGAAACTTCCTACTCCCTCAAAGTGAAGCAACGGAAGCCGAAAAGGCCCCCAACACCATGCCAGCCGATAGAACGGAAGCTGATACCGATGTCGGAGAGCCGACGAACGGCCATCTTGTCGACGGATCCGAGCCAGACTACACCGCCAACGGAACCACGAACGGGGAAGAAGCCAAAGAGGCGACGACGAGTGGATCTTCGGCCCCTTGGCTCCTTCCCTGTTCGTGGGGAAAGGCAACCAAAGAGGCGGCGGTTGGCGGAAGCGAAGGGGATTCGAATGCACGTGAGGAGCCAATGGATGAGCTGAAGGACAAGGTCGCAATGGACGCTGCTCATGATGGTCCTGCATTTGAAGAGGCGGAGATTGAGACCCCTGTCGACGAGCCAGGAGCCTCCACAGACGGTGGGAAGGGCGAGTATTTTGTGCCCGAGTCCGACAGCGTCAATGCCACTCACTGATGGCTATGCACTTGATAGATGTTTATCGGTTTGCACTCTAGTTGACTGGATTACAATATCAAAGTTGTCTGGGTGCTGTGAGTAGATTTCGGTTCAAAGTAAGAGAAAGGCTTGGAAAGGGTGACGTTCAGTAATGAAAGGCTTACTGCTCTGGCGGAAAAGGCGAACGGTAAGATTATCGCCAGGTGGTTGGATCTGTGCTGCATTCGCATCGTATCCAACACGTACAGAAACCAAAGCAGTGGGCTTAGCAGCTCAATTGGGAGCTCGAAGGTATCTTACGAAGAGGTCGAGTCCCAGACCCTGATTTTCCAAGTCCGCAATATAACAACAATAGTGTTGCTTCTCATGGCTATGATGGCTTAGTTAAAGGACGAGTGGGAGGATCAACGGAGACCTGGCGTTGTGCTGGTCTCCTGCCAGATGACAGAGCCTACACTCCTAATCCAAAATGCTCCCCAGGCGCCAACGTCTTATATGGACATCCCTTCCAGTCACACCCGTCTTTGTAAACGCTCGTCCCCCACCACTCCAACTTCCCCAGCCACCCCCACCCGGGATACAAAAAGCAAAAGAACACCACCAAGACCCCGAACGCTAACCCCGAATCCAGCGCCGCGGAAAGCGTCATCGTGTATTTCCCCCACCAAGCCGGAGCGCGCCGGCGCAGGTGCGAGTTGAAGAGGAAGCAGACGAGGGCCCAGACTGAAAAGTTGAGACCCGTGGCGGGCGGTATCCAGCTTAGACTGCCAAAGAGGACGGGGAGGTTGATTTTGCGCCATGAGCTGCTGGCTATGCTGCGGCGGCCGATTAGCCACATGAGGATTGGGGCGATAAAGCCGATTAGAAATGCCCAGATCAGTGGTCTGTAGAGAGCGCCCTGGCCGAAAAAGCGTTGCGGACCTACTACGCCCCAGAGGATGGAACCGTTGAAGTGCACCCGGGCTATGGGGCATGTAAAGCCGTTGATTGCTTCAGGAGTGCAGATGTTTGGAATGTAGGTGAACATCCAATTTAGGACGCCGATTTGGACAACGCTGGAGACAAGGGTGGCGGCTAATTGGATTTTGAAGAGGAGCTTGGGCGGGATCTTCATGTAATGGCCTAATTTGAGATCGGAGGAAAATTTGATGCCTTGGGCGGAGGAAATATAGCAGTAGGTGACAAAGACCTGTAAAAAGTGACGGTCGTTTATGGTCAGTGACGTGCTCAACTACTTTGGGAGCATTGGTGATTGGGACTTACCATATTAGCAACAGGCCTCCCTGGAAAGACGAATCCGCAGATGATTTGGCAGATTAGATAGAGACTGCTGTGCTGATTCGTGATAGCCATGACGATGCCGACCGGTATGAAGAGGAGGGCGGTAATGGAAACGGCGAGCAGTAGACCATACCATGGGAGGTAGACAGGGTAGTACTCGACGACAAATATACCAATAGCAAGCATTCCTACAAACGTGGCAAGATACCAACTGATCGGAGCGTCTTCGTAGCGCTGCATCAGACGACAATGGAAGTCTTCGCTGCCTATACTAGCAGCACTGGAGTCTGGCTCTGTTGTCGAGCGGCCATTGTGGGTGCTTGTTGTTGACTTTGCACTTCTCACGCCGGACGCCACCGGCTGGTAATGATCTTTGCTTTCCCGGACGTCTCCGGAAAACGACTTCTTGGACTGCTGCCATATGTCTGGGCCATGCCAGCAGATGGTATGTGTGACTAAAGCCGAGAGACCTGCAAACTGAACGCCATAAGACAAGACATAGGTGATGGGCAGGTAGACCTTGCTGTATTTAGTGTAGGCCTCGTGATCGAAGTGGTAGTCCTTCGTGAGGATTCTGCTGACATCATACGGCTTGCCGGTGTCGTCGAACACTGCAGATGAGATGATGGGCATGAAAGAAGAGAAAAGCGCGTTTCTGTAGTCCAACATTCCTTAGTAATTGTGTCCCATGATATCTAAACAGAGTCTTCTCACAAAGAATAGGAGCCATGATCCACATTACAATCACGAGTCCTCCCACTACATTAGCCGCCGCCCACCAAGGAGTCAACAGAGGAGATCCAATGTAGGCTATCTGAGCCCAGTCAAATGTCACTGGGAAGAGCCCCAATCCAGAGGAGACGCCGAACTGGCTGCTGTCAGTGACAGCGACAATGTCTGTTTTCAATCCCGAGAGCAGCTCACCAGGTTTGCAACGACAACATTCTTAGGAGCAAACCACGTAACAACGCTAAAATAGCTCAGGGCAGGCATCAACAGACCGGGCAGAAAGTACCAAGCTAAAGCTCCAGACCAGACAAGAAGGAAGAATTTCCAGCGCGAGATCATCCAGCCATTAGCAATTTTGTTTTCCGAGCTATGCATGGTAGTGAACATTGCAGTAGACATTAAAGTACCTGGCCAAATCATAGAAGGCGGTCGAACAAGATAGCGACGTGTAAGCCCCGCGAAAGAGTAGCCCAGAATTTGGGTTGAAATGGTGAGGAGAAGCTGGTACACTATGCTTGGATCTTGGTGATAGAATTTAGATTGCTCGACGATGACCTCGAAACTTATCAGATTATAAAGTAGCAAGTCAGACAGCACATACATCAGTGGCGAAAGCAAACCCGAATGCTACATTACTGCTGATATATACCTACACAGTTTTCCGAGTCAGCGTAGGTTCTTCAAGGCAAGAATCGAGTCATGAAATAGACCTGACCAACAAAAAGAACTATGCTGCTCTCCAAAAATAATTTCCGGCCCCAATTCTGGCAACAGTAGGGAGGCATGCTCCTGAGATCTACTTACACAAGCGTGCTCTTTGCCATTCCAACGGCCCTGGGCCAGCCAACGTCTCAGGCGCAACATTCTCGAGCGATAAAGTACGGGATCCCGTACTTTGACTGCGCGGACTCGATTACCATACTCAAAAGTCTCCACAGGATCGTCCGATGATTTAAGCAGCCGATCCCAAGCTCGTCCCAACGGATGCACAATGACCAGCGCAATCACTGGGGTGATTGCGACGCTAGGATAACGAAGAGAGAAGAAAAGATTCGTTGCAGATCCCAGCAGAGCACATAAAAAAGACAAGATCCACATTCGGGGGGTGTTGATCGAAGCAGAGATATCATCGCTCGCGACTACTGAAGCACGCACTTGTGGATAGGGTGAGTTGTCCGGTGGATCCAAGACATCCTCATCATCATCGATACTAACGACTTGGTCGCCTTCATCTTCGTCTTCACTGGTAGCAGCAAGTGGTAGATCGTCTGCCAAGTCCCAGTCTGCGGACTGGGATCTCGAACCTTGGTTAGGTAGGGCACCGTAGGATGCTGCATCCTTTGTTGACGAGAAACCTCTCAGAAGAGGCAATTGAGACATTAAAGTAAAGACCCGCTGGAGGAGCCCCGGCTTGGCTACTTGCTGTCCAGTGTCAGAATTGTCTCGGTCGATTGACCGGTGCCTGCGGAGAAAGGCTGCGTCGGAGTCGGGATTGATATCTTCGTCGAACTCGTCATCCCAATGTTGACTCTTCGAGACTCTGCTGGTAAGAAGATAACGCTGGTAAGACTGGTCTTTTGCACTTCTGCAACGAGTACGACCTCTTGGAGACATTTAATGGCCGCCCCCGACGCATGAAGTAGGCGCCCGGCGGGTGGAGATCATTGGTCAGCCCCAGCTGCACAATGACGCCTGCACTCTTTTGATAGAAATGTGATTATGAGAAAACGAGGGATGAGATGAGTGCATGAGAAAGGACAACATGAAAATCAAACATCAAGACTGGCTATTTTCGACTACGTGTTGCACCTGGAAGCATCCTGTCTATCTCCGAAAATGCAAGACACCGACTACTCAGTCAAGTTCTCACTACGCCAAGACTTTGATGCTGCTAGACCAATCTGACCTAGCACTAAAGTGTAAATTCCCCGTAAATTCCTCAGCCTCAGCCTCAGCCTCAGCCTCCGCCTCCGCGCCTCGTCTTGCGGCTTCAACAAGTCTCCCAGTGAGGCTGCTGCCCCTCGCGGCTGTGTCAGTAGGATTCAGTTCTACATCAGAGAAGAGAAATAGCAGTCGCGCTGATCCAGCGCTCTTTCTATAAGAACCTTCCACTTGTACATCAAGCATCTACCCGTCCGACGACAAGCCGCCTACCATCTCTGATAGTGATTACCTCGACAAGGAATCCACCATTCTTGACATAACAAGATCTTTCAGAATGGCGCCGACCTCCCTACACGCCCTCCTTCCCCGCCATTATCCCTCCTTGGGCGAAATGTTTCACCAGTTTCCCGCCAAAGTATGGCTGATTCTTAAGGAAATCATCTTCGGTCTCGCCATCATCCTTGCTCTGGTTGGCTTCATTCTCGTTATCATTAGCATATTTGTGGGCATCCGCATATACGGACCGCATGTCGTTAATAGGCTGAGGGGTGGGGAATGGAGGGACGTCGTGGAGGGGTTGAGGGAGAAGGTTGGGCGCTTGAGGAAGATTGAGAGGGTTGATAGGATGTGGAAGTGGTTGGAGCGCAGGATGGCGAGGACCGACACCGATAAAGCTGTTAGTGCAGCAACGCTGGAACTTTTGGATAGTAGGGAGGGAGAGGGTAGCGTGGGTGGGGAGACATTGTTCGAGGGCGAGGAAGATGAAGATGAGAAATGGACACGCGGGCAAGAAGGATGAAATCGAGCTAAACAGCGAGAGATACATGAACAGCAAGTCGAAGTTCGGGATCAGACGTCAGGCAAACACCGTCCCTACAAGACCCACGTCTCCTCAACGGTGCAAAGGAGATGCTGTAGATGTGAAATTGTGCAAGATCATAAATGATATCCTCGAGACTTTTATGGGAATGTTTCAATCCTGAGCTTAAAGGAATCTTTTGCTGCATATAAAGGGGCAACAGCGGGGTAAATAGAAAGGTGCCCGTCAAGACCTCTTCATTGTAGGCATGGACATAGGCATTGATTCCGTCAAATTTTAGCCGGGGATAGGCCGAGATGTCAATTTGTGTTGGACAAGCATTTCACGATTTTTCAGTAATCTCCGCCACCAATTATATCAGGTGAAGGAAGAGCGATGTTGCCAGATATGTATTGCCCAAGGTCGAGATCAGTTGGAATCTACTTTTGTATGTACATGGACGCGTCATGGATATCAAAGACCACAACGCAAACGGTCTTGGGAATGAAACACCTTACGTAGCCCGGGGCCCAGCTCGAGCTTCTCATGATGAGGACTCAGCATCTTACATAAAGCCCATCATCAAAGAGCTTGTCCGCACCCAAGTTTGTTTTCCCAACATTAAGCTTCTAGTGGACAAGATCTCGACCGTAAAAGTCCCTTCTGCTACCGAGTCATCCGGCCTGGAGGCGTATCGTATGCATCTGACAGATAGGGAAAAGACTATACAAGGTTTGTATACTCGCCATCTCTACCCTAATGAGGACTGTTCTGATATTTCTAATCTATCAGCTGTTGTAAAGCGCCGCTTACACAAGTGGCTCACCACGTTCAATGTGCGGGAAGGCTCGTATGTCGTTCTCAAGGAGTATAATCTAGCGAGGGGGAAACGGTTGGGTGGGGAAGGAGACGTCTTGTAAGCTGTCTGCGGGAAATCCGGGATCGCTGCTTCTGACTCGGGCTAGCTATCTCGCCATATCTGACTTCTACTCAATCGGCGAAGAGCAGCGTTACAATCGTAGTACCGACCCAAAGAGTGTTTCTGCAAGTGCTGAGGAAGGTAATTCAGGTCCACAGGACCAAGTATCTGCCAAAGACGAAGATCAAAGCAACGAAGTCGACATAATCAGGACAGAGCGTTCACTACCTAGGGCTAGTCCTACCGAGACCCATGAGGATATCGCCAGCAGTAAAGACTTGTTCTTTGCGAAGTCAGCAATGGCGGAGCTAACGAAGAGGAAGAGAGGAATGGCCCCGCCGGATCTCGATCCAGACCTAATTTCACTGGCTAGCAAAGCCCAGAGGCTTCGCGAGACTCCATTAGCTAAGATGACGAGAGAAAAAGAACACGATAACGCCCAACCAAGGTCTACTGACGACCACTGCAGCAGTGCTTCTACGCCCAACATCCCGATAACACGACCTCAATCTGCCCAAATTCGGGCCTCACCCGAACAAGTTCCGTCGCCTTTGCAGCTGTCAACCTTGGCATCTGTGACAGGAACCAACGCCACACGCAACAAACAAGTCAACATCCTTGCTATGATTGAGTACGTGAGCAATTCCACAGTAAAGCCCACAACAGCGCCCCTCAAGCGTGATGTTCGTATCGTTGATGCCAGCACCGACAAGAAAGTCACTCTCAGTGTCTTCGTTGACCCCGTCAATTTCATCCCTAAGGAGTATGACATAATGCTTTTTCGAGACTTGACCACTCACGACTTCAGTGGGGGCAATCTCAACGCTTATCCTAAAAAGTGCAGGGGCAAGGAGTGGTACATCCTCAACCCATACGATACTGAAGAATGTGACATGAAGTCTATGGAAGTATTTAGGACAAAGTATCGGAAGACAAAAGCACAAGGGCCCAAATGACAGACCATGAAGAACTTGGGGCTTGATTCTTTTTGAAATCCTCGACTACGTTACTTCTCCGAGGTTGCTATCCGCGGATTCGAATCCCACCAAGTGATACTGCTTCCACCTGTTTGCATACGCATGGATTGCCTCGTGAAGAATTGCTGGCGAGATGCAAAGTCCTGACGCAGTGGACTACCAGGAGCTGCTTTATGCCACGCGTCGATTTCGACATCTGCAAGATGCTGTGCGATCGATGGGTCATAGTTGCCTGGGGAAGGCGGCATAATTGACTGATCCCAAGCGCCCGTCACCGTAACGGTTAGAAATGCACTCGAGATTGCTGTGGTATTGCGGCCGAATTCAGCCTGGAACTCTGAATGCAAAGCTCTTTGCAAAGCTTACTTACGATACATTCCGCCGATATTTGCATCTGGCTCCGTGACATAGGCAGTAAGTTCGCTGATATCCTTTGTCGCGAAGCCACCATAGCCCCTTCCATTGCCGCCGACACACTGTTCTATGACCCATCCTGCCATTTCTCGGATCTCATTCGGAACAGCTTCATAGATTCGTGGGGTTGCCGGACCTGCTATTTCGATCCATATCTTGCAGTTCCCTGCCCAGCAGCTGTAAGAAAGGTGAGGAGGTTTCGAAGACAGCGGCTACTCACCAAATATGGCAGTGTATGGCAGAGTTTGAGGGCCTGGGACACCACCACGTACAGTATACGGGACAAGCGAATCGCCTTTAATCAGTGTTTCTGCTGCCCAACCGCAGAGCAGAGGTGTCAAGTGTTCTCCATACCGTCGATCGCATATGCCATAGTCTGGGGCTGTAGGAATGACGGGCGATGGACCAGCCTGGAGTGGGAGGCTGACGGGCCCATGTAGTGATAAGTTGAGCATGGTTGAAATGCGAAACTGCTAGCAACTTTACCAGGAACGGTTATGAGGAACGTCCAAGCTGGTGAGGGTTGAAAAGGAAAAAGGCTGGAGCTATAACAACATTGCTCCAGAAACAGTGCCCCCACTGTCCCACCAGGATCGCAAGCCTAGTATATGCGCCAATTTACCCGTTGTTCGAGCCGTCCCATCCCTTCTACGCGCAAAACGAATCGTGGCGACTGGAATTGACTGAAAGCAGGAGGCTGCATACCTGTAAAGGCAATTGTGGAGCTCATGGCCCGTTTACTGTTGCATTTTGCTGCAATGGCCTTCCAGAATCATGAATTATTGGAGTTTGCCCATCTTCGCTGGAACGTCGCGTTCGGAGACTCATCCGGCTGAGAATTCCATCTGTTGATCTCCATTAACCGCAGCCGCTTTCGCGCTTGTCAAGATCTTCAGAGCCGGACAGGTCTTCTTGCTTCGACCCAAGGGTTCCAATCCTACGATAATAAGGGTTTGACCAAGTACTCATTTCTTGTGATACTACTGCTACGAGTGTGAATGATTCGCTGCCATTAGATACGAATCACGTGTCGCCGGAACGACCCGTTCCTGGCCTTATAAACGTTCCTTCAACAGTAGACGGCGAGACAAACGGTCAACTTGACCACTGACAAATGATTACCATTACACAACTCAACCCGCTGGAGAACCTCAAAACACTCCTCCAAATGAATTCTCTCCTGTATGCTTTCGAAGGCAGAAGTGATGGATCTCTATCGCCAAGCACCAAACTAGTCCTGTTCGAGAACATTTACTTCGCCAAGAGATATATTGAGTATATCCCTCAGCGTAAATCATGGATTTTTTTCTTTGGCGCACCCGAATGCTGTATTTTCCATTATACTGGCCTCGTTTGAGCAGATTTGCTTCCATGACTGGAGCACTTGGCGCTGAAAAATTTGATATGACTCTTTTTCTCTTCTTGGCTCGTGGGATCATGGAACTACTTATTGACCAACTTCTTTCTCTTCCCTGCCCTCATTGATCTTCCACACATTCAATTCTTCTTCAAAAAAGCAAGAGCTTTCCGAATCATCATCGGCGAGAATCATCATCTATATATACATCAAAAAAATCCCGCATCCTCTAGGTATCAGCCTATTCCCAATGTACAAGATGAATCCCTACGCGAATTGGCCTAAAGATCCCTACGCAGACTCGTCTGCGGAACGACCACGGAACCGGAAACGGAATCCTCTTGACCCACGTGAACCGTACAAAAGGTAAGTCTGTTCCCTCATTGTTAGCGCTGGATGTCAAGTAACCTAGGATTTAGGACCTTTACACAAGCGCCAGTCACCGGACCGTTCCCGCCGACGGGGTCCCTATACTACAGATGGGGGGTCTTCAATGGGCGCTTGATGACCCCTAAGGAGCAGCGCTTCGAGCACTTCATCAACGATATGCAAGCGAGACACGACGAAATTAGCGAACTAAGAGAATGGAGAAGGCTGAAAGATATCGAAGAGGAAGCTGTGTTGTTGTACCACGAACTCGGCAACGTAGTAAAATACACCAGGCAGATGAGCACTCGTGATCAGATGGAAACGGAATACCAATGCCAGAGGAAAAGACAGAAGGCTGAAGATCTTAACCCTTGGGCAACGGCACTGAAACATGGACAGGAAAGACTCAGAGCAGAGGCAGAAGAGAGAGCAAGGGGCCAGGAAAGGATTAGAAGCAGTTTCAAAGCTCGTATTCAGGCAAGTAGCTATCCAGTGGCCAATACAAAGATCGCCACTAATGCTGCAGGACCACAGCAAGCAAGCCAGCAATCTGGGCTCACACCGCCAAAGCCAGAGAAATGTGGCAATACCAGCCAAGCCGTCCCTTCTACTGAAGCAGGCTCGTCAAGGCAGCAAGAGCAGAAGACACAGCTCAGCGCAGAAGAAGTTCGCCGTCAATTCCAGGACGAATTTCGATTTCAGCTAGCAACTACAGCGACACGACTAACGACGACAACAAGTGTACGATCAGTATCACTCGAGACTGCTACTTCCGCACGAGGAACTCGTGCCAAGGAGCTCGATGTAGCGATGCCCACGGCAAGACAAGACTCTGTGAAAGCAGAACTTCCAGGATACCAACCACCAATGGGCATAATTCAAGTTACGCATTTACCCAAGGGGAGCGTACTCGTATCAAAGAGACCCGGTCTTCCCGAACTGCATCTAGGGTGTCCATCCGTGGCAGAGCAGAGTCCAACACTCAGCATCGGCCAACCGTCTGAGACTTCGCAAGAACACCGAATCACAGGATCTATCGAGCATCGCTCAGCCAGCCCATCCTCGCGACAGACCAGGAGCGAGGGATCTACACCGCCCTCATCAGTCCCCTCATCACCGCCGAAATCACCAGTAAGTTCCCCTCAGCGCACATGAAATGCCGGCGAAGAAGCTAACCACTGATGACCAGAAGGAAGAAGTAGACAACAGCAGTGCTCTCCTAGAGCTCGAGTGGAATGCCCATGGCACGGTAAAGTCGACCAGTCGATGGGAGAAACTGAAGCCCTCCACGAGGAACAACCCGTTCCTGAACTCCCTCATTCGCGAACATATTGATCGTCAGAGGATGAACGGCTGGGCTTTGATGGAAGAAAGGAGCAAAAATGAGCGCAGTCGGGGCACACCCAGCAGCAGGACTGAAGGTAACATTTGGGGTCCGGCGGGGTTATCGGGAAGGTTTCTTGGGAACGGTGCGATGGGACGTTGACGAGTCGGGGCATTTCGGAAAAGAGACGGCGCTTTGAACGGGCTCCTGTACGCACGTGTATTCCGTAGACTGGATAGATCAAACGGTTTTCTCTTCATCCACATCCCCGCCGGCTACCGTGTGCCGGTACCGGTGGGACGCATTTTCGGAATTCAGCTCTTCTCAAACGTTCTAGTCTCAAGCTAAGGGTCTTTCTCACTCACTCCCCGGACAGGCCTAGACTTTTCACCAACCGCGACGTTTCTCGAAGCATGGCCAAGCGACCAAGATTTTTCATCAATGTCGACGTTTCTCGAAGCAAGGCCAAGACCGTTCACCACTTTTCAGCGTTCCTCAAGCATGGCCAAGAGGTCAAGACTCCTCTTTGATGCTCGATCTGCCAGGTAGGTTTAATGCACTTTTCCGATGACTCAAACCGGAGTTTGAAAATTTCCTGATTGTCGGATTTTTTTCTCTCGATATATTCCAATTTTCCTGAGCGCTTGGATATATATATATCAATGCACTGCTTCTATCACAACCCCTTCACCCCTTCACCAACACTCCATTACAACCCCCAGGAAATATTCCAAGCGGAAGCGCAGAAATGATACATCGAAGCTTCACCACCATGGAACCACGTACCGGTCTTGAAGCTACGAGACACGTATTGTGGCACGCTCCGCCACTACAGAAGTCGCAGGATGTCTCCGTCTCGACAGCGAAGACAAACCCGGAGGGATGGTGTGGCCATTCGGGTAGATTACAAAGGACCAATTTTCCACGGACACAATATCCTTCCTCACCAATGTCCGAAGACATTCGATGTGACGAGCGAAATATAACAGACAGCATGCCTCACCCAGACAGACCCCATCGTACCAATGGTTTCCCAAAGACGCCATATCCAGCAGTAACATCAACAACAACAGCCCAGGCATCTCTCCATGCCGAGCGCGACATCCCCAACACGACCACTTCCCCACCCTCATCCACCACCACGACACCCGCGAACGGACCACCTCACACCAACCCGCCCTTCCCCCACGCGCACCCCCCACTCCCCGCCCCCTCCTCCTACTCAATCCCTCAAACCTTCTTCGCATACCCGCCCATCGACCCCTTCGACCAATCCCTCAAGCGCCACCCCAACTACTACTACTACAGCACGCACAACCTATCCCAAGAGGTCGAACCCGAGAACGGCAGCAGGGGCGTACGCTTGCGGCACCCGGACCACCTCCTCGAACGCCGGCGCCAGAAACTCGGCTTCGCACCGACGGCTTTGGTGTACGAGTACGGACAAGAGGGCCAGCGGGACATGCCGATGAGACCCGCGGGGACGAAGTTCCACGACGATGGTGGGGATGGGGATGAGGGGTCGATACTCGCGGGGCCGTGGCCTAGATACTGGTTCAGTGGACGGATGAATGTGTTGGATCTCAAGTTTTTAGGCCAGGCGCACGATCCTGTGGCTGGCAGGAAGAAGGTTTGGTATGATAGTGTGAAGAAGGACTATGTGTGGACGACGTTGGAGGAGGCGAAGGATATGTCGGGAAGGGAGGAGAGGATGAGGGAGAAGGCGATGGCGAGGCGAAGGTGTGATCCGGAGGCGGATACGGAGATGGTGGAAGGAGAAGTCGGTAGCTGGGAGGAGGGTTAGGGGGTGTTTGATAGGGAGATGGAAGGGAATTGGTCGTGTACGAGGTTTCAGGGATCGGCATCATTGCAGCATGGCGGTGCCGGATTTGGAGGATCGCGATAGGTTGTAGTGGATCTGATTAGATGCTGCGGAACTCGGTAAATAGACAAATGGAAGACGTTTCGCTCACCCACGAATGCCCGGAAGTTGTTACCGTCTTATACTGAAGCAGTCTGTCATGTTGTAGATCACGGGGGTTCTCCCAACAACCATCGCAATGCCACGGTCTCCACCCACATCATCTGTCAATAACGCATTTTTACGCTTGACCCACACCATTTGAGCTCCCCTTATCGCTGACTCGCAACACTTGAAGGGATATAGTCCGCTCTAGCATACTGCTCGAAGCCATCCCAGAGCGTGGCCACGTGTTCTTCATAACTTTACACTTCTCTTTCGTGCCAAAAGCAGGAGGGTCCCAATCCAGTGTTGACATTCTCCGGCATTCCTCCGCCAGATCCGTTATCCCCTCGATAAAATCAGTCGTGCGTAGCTAATGCTTGGGGGGGGGGATGACGCTTTCAGCTGTATGTTCGCGGTAAGTCGGGCCCAGTATCTGTTTGGCACCACTTTTTGTCAAGTCTTCTATCTACAACAGTGTTCAAGCGTGCTTTGGTTGATGAATCGATGGCTACGGCTAGTTCACCGTTTTTAAATTGGATATTGGCGCTGTTTCAGTCTCCGAAGAACTTTGTTGTAGTAATCGGGGGACCCTTGTCATGGCGGAGTGTCCTTGAAGGTACCTGGAGGACTGCTCGCGGAATTTGGAGGAGGGGCCATCGTTCTGAGACGCAGTCCTCGAGATTGGCTTGTGCGGGGTCTTTAATGCCCACAGCGATGTATCTGTCGGCAAGAACATAGAAGCGTGCGTTGCCCATGGCTCGGGTTCCTGGAGTTTGAGTGGTAGATGGGGTAGACTCCGAGGTCGAGTCTCATCAGAGTGCTCGTGGTTGCGGAAGTAACGCACCATGCGCTCCACTATGACCGGGTCGTCCTCGAACATTAGATATCCGACAGTGACGGCCTCCTGGAGCTTGTTTACAAAATACTCGCGTCGCGGTAGAAGGGGAAACCTACCCGGAGGTATCCGTCATGGCCTCTAGCAAGAAGAGTCTAATTTGGGCACATGATAGCGTGATGAAGGCGACACTTCTTTGAACCACACACGAGCGTGTGATCGCAGTAGTCGCCGGATTCCGGCAACTTGAGGTCCGATGCCACAAGGGCGGCAATTTGGGCATCGGTCCTGTTTGGTATCTGGTGATATCCGTGGGATATCTAGATGTTTCGGGCTCTGACGGAGGGAGGGCAGTTCGAGACTGGATGGATGATGAGGGAAGGAAGGAATTGATGGTGGCTCGTGGTGGAAGAGAGAAGAAGATGTGGTACTGTGAAGCAGAAAGATGTTGTGAGCTGTGTAGTATGCTGACCACTGGCTAATGAAGTTTGTTCTGTGTTGGCAAGCACGACCAAGCAAAAAAACATGGACAGCGTAAGTGCTCGCTTTCTTGGACGCGAGAAAGATAAGAGAAGATGGTGTTGGACACAACGGTTCTGCATCAGTTCTGATCTTCGATACATTGAGATTTTGAGACGAAAGGCCTTAGGTACACCGGCCGCAGAGAGTGAGGAGAAAGTAAGTGAAATGGCTTTCGCTGCAATACATATTGCGGATGTTATCCGTCATGGGATCAAGGAATTCCTGTCTGCTCCTTTAGCCCTTGGGCGGCAGAAGATGCCACAAACGAGGGCAGCGAACTAGGAAAGCACTATGTCTCGCAAGAGATCTGGCCGCCAGCCCTGGCTCCCCTTACATTTTTGTCACATCTTGCTATCACAACACCTCCTTCGTCCGACAACTTGCGCATCTGAGCAGCATGCCGAGCCCACCGAAAGAACCAGACCGTTCGAGAGTCCACTGGAACTGTTCTTGACAATGCCTGCATTTCTGGATATTATTGGCACGTTGGAGAAGAGAATCGAGCCGCGACGCCCAGGCATCCTTTTGGTCAAGAGCCACTTGTGCGTCCTTTTTGGCTTCCAAAAGTTCACATTCCAGCTCGATTTGTTTAGCTAAAAATCCATCCAACAGCACCGTGTCTTGGTCGTACTTCCGTACTGCAGCATCTAACACGGCAACTGTGATAGCTTTGGTGTTCAGAACAGCGTCCCTGGACCCTTCATCTTTCAAGATGTCTTGAAAATGTTCGGCGCAGATGTCCAAGATGATTTGACGAAGTCCCATATCTTGGTCAGGTGTCGTAGAGAAGACGATTTCGGTAACCGCGTGAAGATCGTCGTGTGGCCACTTGGATCTGGCCAAAGTCTGGAACTTGCACTTTGCTAGTTCCTTTAACTCAGGGATGTCGTATTTGTCGGCGACAGCGTAAACGAGAGCATGGTTCATCATCCTGGGATCGTGTAGAGTAGTGCCCTCGATCAGCCCCAAAGTCGTGCCCACATTTGTGTCTTCTTCGGTGGTCGTTGAGATGGTGCGCAAATGAGGTGGGAGCGAGCTATCCATAGCTCCATGGTCTGCTGGAACGTTGGGAACTTCTTCATCTGGGTAGTCGAGCGTATAGAGATAGAGCAGCATATTCTCAACCGCCTGTAGATCATCGTCATTCATCGTGATCGTAGCAGACTTTGCTTCCTAGTCAATGTCAGGTTTGCGACCATCTTCCTCCCAGCTGATACTCACCATGAATTCTCCATTGCATGCTGCGGCAAAGAAAGTTGAGCGAGGACAGATGACTGAACGGTGAACTTTGTATTCCTTTGAACCACAACGTATAGTCATGTCCGAGTACTTTTGAGAGGTCCATAGGAGCTCGTTGCTCGCTAGGAGGCGATCTTTATGGATGTCTGCCATTCTGCCGACTAAATCTAGGCTATTGTTGTTGGAAATGTATATGAAGGATTGATTGATTAACTATGGAATGGTATGTAGGCTACTTATATACCATGTGAAGCCCATGCTAATTTGCCACCTGATTGCCACCATGAGGGGTAGCTACAACACAGGTGCTGCAGCAAATCTCAACAGTTGTGCTGAGTGAAGGATGGTGTTGGAAATGGTATGAAGGATTGATTGATTAGGTAGCTATGAGAGTGCTGAGTGGGCTACTTATACCCCTATTTGCCACCTGCGGGGTAGCTTCAACACAGGTGCTGCAGCAAATCTCAACACACCCCCATGATGCAGCACCATTGACCACACCCCCATGATGCAGCATGGGAGAAATAAAAGCACCGCAACACCATTGTACCAGCGCCATTAGGAATCGAACCTAATACGAACTAAATACCTCCAACCACAATGGGTAGCCATAATAACTAATTGTGACACGAGCACAGACCCGATCTTCCCTTTACGTGACACGAGCACGACTTGAGACCTGGTGACTGATATCGAAAGAAAGTCGACTTGCTCAATGAAGAGATCGAAATTGTAGTTGAATTGATTGCCATTGTAGCAGGCTCACTAATGATTTTTGATTACTTTGGCCACTTCTTGGGCACTGGCTAATTGGAAGACTGGTAAAGCTCTGGCCACTTCTTGGGCACTGGCTAATTGGAAGACTGGTAAAGCTCTGGCCACTGCTTGGGCACGGGCTTGAAGTTTGTAGTTGAATGACCTCTGCGTGCTCTGACCTCTTGCTTGGGTAGTAGCCGTAGTAGTATCTGTAGTGGAATAGTGGTAATCTCTGCGTGCTCTGACCTCTTGATTGGGTAGTAGCCGTAGTAGAAAAGTAAGGGAATAGTGGTAAAGTCGTCGGAGTTGCCACAACTGAGCTGGACTTGGTACTTGAAGATTGAATCAATGATTGACTGCAACAACGTAGTAGTTGCGCGAGGGCTCATAACCTGTTGGAAATGGATATGAAGGATTGATTGATTAGGTAGCTATGAGAGTGCTGAGTGGGCTACTTATACCCCTATTTGCCACCTGCGGGGTAGCTTCAACACAGGTGCTGCAGCAAATCTCAACAGATGTGCCTGGCTGGCACAGTGCTTGTCGAGGTGAAGAGGAATGTAAATTGAGAGGCGTGGAGTGGGTGAAGTTCTAACTCTGGCCATTCAAGCTCAGCTGAGTAGGCTGCTCTGAGATGGAGAATCACCCTTACCTTGTCGCGACAGCTAAGGTATCTCGTCGTTCAGTTTAGAGATTGTTGCGTCTCACCATCTTGCGTTTGGATTGAGCAGTGAAAATGTTGTCCGTGAGTGTTGTATTGATACAACTACTTTAGTAGACGCGGCTATTTTCGACGCTAAGAGCCAGCATTAGTCCACTCACTGTGGCCTTCTGCAGCAATAGGTGCGATGGCACGAAGGTAAAGTAATTGATAAGGTTCAGCGTAATCACTCGAGTCGAATCCCATCAATCAATCAATTGAGGAACTCCATTGCATTGCGAGAAGCAGTTCAATCATCATTGCATGCATGTACAGAAAGCTTCTCAGAGAGATCTCAACTGAGCAACAGAATGCCTGCTAATTATGCTATTACTATGGCATCGAACCCTCATCAGCAGTATCAGGCTTTACTAAATCTTCAGCTTTCATAGGACTGGAGGCCTAAATTGTCATCAGGATCGTTATGCAGGCTTTCAAGCACAGGGATAGTCGTCACGGTAGGAAGCTTTTCAACGGCGGCAGCAAGAGATGGCTGGGTGTTTACAGCGTCTGTGAGGAGAAATGCTGGCAGACTACTCTTGCTTTGGTTTGACAAGAAAGGAGGCCGGTCAGGATCTGGAACTTTGGTGCAACCTTGCTCAGCCACTGTGTCTGGTCAGTGCTGCTCCCAAGTACAGAGGGTCTAGGGTACTCACTGGCAACGTAAAATTGGTAGTTCTGGGGGTTGTGGACCGAGTCCAACGGGTCTAAGGCCACGCAATCGTTAATGGGATAGACCTCTGGTGGATCAGTGAAAGCCCCCAAGGAAGCCTTTCCCAGATAAAAATGCACCATCTCATGAATGACCAGGTAGGTCAAGTACATGCTGAGAGCTTCCCCGCCACCTAAGAATTGGTTTTCTCTGACAGAAGGACAAGTGTTCTTATGCGGCGCAATTCTGCCCCACCAGAAGCTTGAGCAAAGGAAGATATAGCTGGAACCTCCAAGGTAAAAGGCCTGCCCAGCGTCTGGCCGGCTGCATATCTCCCATGGATCGAGCTCGAGAAACTTGTATTGGCTTACTGTGCTGCGTGTGACACAAGCGAAGCGAGGTGCAGACGGCACAGATGGATCTGGTTTGAGACCCTTCAATGGCTGAGCTGAAGCGATGGACCGCAAAATGCCTCGGACGTAAGTCGAAATTGCGCCATCTTTGAACAGTGCTCTGAAGCCATGATGACTATCAAGTCCAAGCCCCACATCGTTCAGCGCCGGCGTGAGTGCTGCGATGGCTTTAATTAGTACATCCACCAGATTTCCTGTGTATGCACCACATCCTTCAATGACGAAAGGAAAGCTAGCTGGAACCCCAGTAAGATTTGTTGCTGCAATAGTGGTATTGTCTAACGCTGAGAGTCCTTAGCATATCTTGCATAAGAGAAAATAGACGACAGGATTCGTACCTGGGAATTGGAGGGGAACATACTGCGGGAGGCAGAAAATTGGACGGAGGACCGTAGCTGTAACTCCTACTACAATATAAAGATACCGCATCTTCGTAAAACATACAGAAGACCCTCAAAGTTTGCAAATGAAGAAAGAGGGTCGGCAGTGTCTGACCTGATAAAGGTATGGTTATAGTCCATCTCCATTGCCGATGATTTGGGGGATCTGCACTTGAAGTAGTATAGTTCGAAGAACTTCTTTGATGATTCGTAGCAAAGCCATGTTGAAGCTATACCCGACTCGCCATGTCTGCCGTGAAACGTGTTGGATCTCTTCCCCAGTGTTCCCCAAAATCCAATATCCATGCGATACCACGCCGGCCAAGCGCTTAGGTGTAAGAGCCATTGTCATCTCCCGAGGGTCGTCTCCAAGCCCCAGATTTGTTCATCTCAGGCCCACAGCCGCAATGCTTCTTGTAAACATTCGCCCAAGTACCGCACGTGGTATAGGGCGGACAGGTGGACAGGTGCAGGTAACATATCAGACGGCGCATTTGCGGCTTTCGCATAAAATAGACACAGGGTCTAGGCAAGGGCTTTCTCATATCCGAGACGGCAAAGGGTCTGGTAGCCGTTCAGCGAAAGGATTAAGATTTATCGTAAAACAACCTGGAAGTTGACAGCCTCCTAGCGGAGAAACGATTGAGCCTCAAAATTGAATGAAGTTGAAGGTCTTGGCATGATCGTCGTAGGGCTGAGAGCAAGACGGCCTTGCGCGCTCAACTTGATCAACACTTGAATATAACCACTTTGTCTCCTGCCTTGATAGATCTGGAAATTTCCCGAGCGCATTGACAGCGTGTCTTCCTGTCTGTTGTGACCATGCCACCGTTCAAAGACGAACATGTCTTGGTAAGCCTGTTCATACCCCAGTCGTGCCTGGCCAAACACGCCAGCTTCAGTCAGTACGACTTTGGGATCCAGCTGACCTTCGATGACTTCTAGATCATTGCTCCGGGATCGCAGATCTCTCTCGCCCAACTGGGCCTCCCTGAGTCCTTCACGCCCGCTCGCCTCCGCATTCCAACACGCATGTTCCCCGCCGAGAAAAGGGGAGAGTGGGAAGCCACCAGAATTCGAGAGCGGAAAGTAACGAATACTCTAAATAAGACTGAAGCCAATGGACACCCCCGTGGGGATATCACTATGGGCGAGGCGAGTATTACTATGGATGGTCAAGCAGCGGCGGAAGATCAAGAGGATGACCCAAAATATGAAGAAGATCCTACGAGCGAGGAGGGCGCGGTATATCCATTGCGGGATGGGCGAATAGTAGACTGGGCGTGTTTTTTCGCTCTCCTTACTCACATCTACAATACCATGGGCCCTCCATTCCACACGCCGATACTGGTCATCTCACAACCAGCATGGACGGCCCAAGATCACGAGAGCTTGGCACAGTTCATCTTCGAAAAGTTCAAGACACCAGCGTTTTGCTTGATGGACTCGGCATTGGCAGTCTGCTATGCATACGCTACACCTACAGCTACGGTCGTGGATGTCGGGCATGGAAAGTGTGACGTTACAGCGGTGAATGAGTTTCTCGTTAGTGATTTCGGAAGAGGGTCTGCGTTGCCAGGCTGTGGTGGAGAGGCGATGACACAAAGGCTTCACGACCTACTCGGGGGAAAAGGATTCACAAGCGATGTATGCGAGCAGCTGAAGAAAAGTCCAATCTGCGAAATATTACCTCCTGGAACGGAGATGCCAGCTGAGGCTGAAGCCTATGCCCACGCATCAAATCCAGCGGCCGCAGCTTCTACTGGGGCTTCTGGCTCCGGCACAGGGCAACGAGGAAGTATAGCCGCCCAGGGTGGGGCACCTCGAGGTCCTGGGATCAACACCGAGGTTGGAGACGCGGATGAAGATCGAGAATTCAAAGACGGCGAGGATGATGAAGGTGTCCTGGATGTGGCTGCGATCGTTGCTAGCGGAAAGACCAGCGAATTCCTCGCCAAAAAGGAAAGGGAAAAAGCTGCTAAAGCAGCAGCCAAGAAGGACGCTGCCGATGCAGCAGCAGTGGCTAAGGAAAGAAGCCTACCAAACTCGAAGCGCGTCAAAGCCACGTTTCATTACCACGAGCGGAGACCTTTAGAAGAGCTCAATATGAACGGCAAGCGAGCTATGGATGGCGACAGTGGCCAAGATGGCGGCGAGCCAAAGAGACAAAAGACTCCTGAGCCCAGTGTTGACAGTGCCGTTCAGGTAACAGAAAACACAGCTGCGGCGCGTAAAGAAGAGCGAAAGGAGGAGAGGCGGCGAAACAGAGAAGGTACTGCTTTTATCCGGAAAAGTGCGGACGTCGGCCTGGAGAGGTTTCAGGCTGCCAGTGGTGGAATCCTCGATCAGATTGCGGACGCGATACATCGATGCATTCTTTCGTATCCTGATATCAGCAAACGCAGCGACCTTTGGGACTCTCTCATCATCTTGGGCAACGGTAGCAAAGTGAAAGGAAAGGTGACCCAGATTTCTGGTCTTAGCTGAGACTAACAATCGCGTAGGTTTCAAGGAGGCTTTAGTTGGGACCCTGAACTCAAGATATCTCATATCCCCTTCCAGTGCTACAATCTTCACCTCAGAGCTCCCATCGAACTTCACGACACCTGTCGCTACTGGAGCAAATACTCCCCAGCCTCAACATCACCCTCAGTCACACCATGGGCCTGGCGTCAACCCTCTCCTGCTCGCCGCAACCACAGCCTCGAATCCCAATCTTGCTCCACCTGGACAGTCACAACAGCAATTGCATCAACAGCTCCAGCTTCAACAGTATCATCAGCAGCAAATGCAACAAGCTCACCAGCACTCGAGTCACGCGCAGACGCCGACGAGTATCAAGTTGCTAAAGATGCCCGACTATTTTCCAGAATGGAAAGATGTTGGGATGGAGGAAGCTGGTTTTCTAGGTGCGCAGGTAGCTGCTAAGGTTGTATTCGTGGTGGATCAGGGCATTAGCAAAGGGTTCATGTCAAGGACGGAGTATAATGAGCTGGGTCCCCAAGGCATTCACGAGACCTGCCTTTAGATAGATTTCATCCATTGTTGGATAAATACCTGGTAATGTCTGAAGCTATTCCCACTGTTATCGAATGGCCACATATCTCCGGAATCAAGTCTTGTTCTTCAATGCGGCGCCCCGAGATATGGCGGTCGTTCCGAAATTCTTTACCCTCCGAATGGTCATCCTGTTCACTTCATCCTTGACGCAAAAAACTTACTCATACGCCTAAAGCCTCATTATCTCACACGCCTGGGGCTTGTCACCCGCCACTCGGTGCTTTCATTGTGCTCTTTACCATTTTCTCTCGCAACATCTCAGGGCCTTTTGGACAGTATGGGAGCAGAGCATTGCGCTGCATAAAGATCGGGCATTTAGCCAGAAATTTCGCTCAAACCGAAGAATCCCGGCTTGGTTTTTGGGGGATTCCAGCTCGATGATATGCGGTCTTTGCGCAAATGTTTGCTCGGGAAGTTTAGTGAGCTTGGCTTCGGAAGGCTGTCCAACTTGCACGCTTTTGAACGTCGGTGTCGCATTGTGCGAATCCTAAAGGGGCGGAAGTAACGCCAGAGGATCCACTCTTCTTCTGAGTCTTGGACTCCATCCAGGCATCTGAGGGGTAGACGATCGCTCTCATGGCCAACTAGCTAAATCTCGCACCTCCCACCCCAGACGACCAAGGAATCATCGCATCGCCGTCCCAAAAACCGCCCGTCACCTCCACCTCTCCGGTAGCCGATCGACAAGCGATCACAGCGCCAATACTCGGATCCCTCCCCACCCCCTTGGTGATGTCAGAGGACATCCTCTCGATGCGGATGCCGCAATGCTTACGTATCATAGTCCGAGAGACTTTCCCGTGGTAAGGAAAAGCTGATAGCTTGTCGCTGTCACATTAGGGCCGAGTCAGCTCTTGGATGATTCGCTTGCGTAACTTGATTAGGCGGACGTGCTTACATTATGCATGGTGGCTTTACCAGGATCATCTCTCAGAATGCGATTGACCATGATAACCTCTTCCATTTCTGCGAATTATCGGTCTTTACCGCGCAGCAAATCTTTGAGACCAGTTCTCTTCGTCTGAGTCGGGGAAGGTGGGAGGTAGAGCCTAGGAAGTCGGTATGATACGGTGTGTTTTCAAACATTTACTAACCGTGATAACATACCTATCAAAGCGGTCACACCGCCTTCGATAGCAAACAGCCAACGCCATCCTGCCAGACCTTTCTGCCCTCGTAGATGTAGCATTCCGTATGCAAGAAAGGAGGCGATGATGTTGGTAGTGATCAAGGACGTCCAAAAGTATGCAAGCCGAACAGGAAGTTCACTATTCTTGTAGAAATAGCTCAGGTAGAGTACAACCTACACGTATGACGTAATTTAGCAAGGCGTGCGCTGAATGGAGGTGCGGCGGAGATGGACTCACATCCGGAACCAAGCCTCTGAGCAAAGAGTCTTGTAAGCTTTCCATTGTCTGACGGCGACTAGCGTACGAAATGAAGCACAGCCTTCGAGGAGCCCCAGAAGCGCCCGAGTGACGAAGAAGGTGGTGCGACCTGAAAGATGGCTTTGCGAGCTTGCGACGCCACTGGAATATAGCGTCAGTGGATGAAACCATCAACCGTACCAATATGGGTAACATACCTCGATACGAGCATCTGAGCACTTTCGAAGGACAGTGCATAGCAAACGTTTGATGTTAGAGTCCCATTATCACCCACGGCATCCAGTTATCCGGCCCAATCTTGTTACTGACAAGCTGCGAGGGAAGCTCTGCGAAAAGAAAGGAGCAGTAGAATATTGTCATTCCGTTGTTGTGATCGTCGGTAGTCAGACCAAGGTACCCTTCAATGTACTTGTCAGCGCTGTCACAAGGCTGTGGAGGTGGCAGACATACCAAGCATATTGTCCGACAGGGCTTGATTGATGTTGCCCCTGTCAAGCTGCAAGGCGAAGAACATTATACACGCCCGTAGACAGATTTTCCAATCAAGCTAAGACAGATAATAATCAGTAAAGGCGCATTTCCCTCCTATTAAGCCAAGAACATGACGGAGCTTACCCTGCGGACGAATTTCTTCTCGTCTTCGTCTGACCAAGTTGCACGGAGGTCGAGCCTGTGGCGACCTTCGTACTTCTCAATTGGCTTGTAGATATCGACAGCCCTAGGGTCAGAGAAGACATTCCCGTCAGCATTGTGGTCGTCATCGATCGTTCTGTCGCCTTGGAAATCCTTGAAGGTGGACTTCGACCCCTGGAGCCGACTTGGGACGAAGATGCGATTGCGACCACCAAACTTCCACCAGGAGTTGGCTTTCGGTGGTGTCTCTTGCTCCGGAGAAGTGAAAGAGCCTTGTGATCGTTCCTCCCCAGATACAACTGCCAGATCTTTGTCACTAGGTGAAGACATTCTGTAAACTGATGCTGCTTGCTAGATGCAAGTGAATTACGACTTCATGTACGTCTGTCAATGCTGCCTCGGTGTTTTATGTTAGATCGATGCCCGTAAATGGAAATCAAATCGCAGGATCAATCACGACATTGCCTAGGCTGGAAGACGATGTCTAGACTGATCTGCGTAATTCCAAGATTGGTAGGAGGTGGTATGAGAATGAGCAATGGGCTAGAGAACTTGGGATCTGAATTCACCTGAAGGCTGCATTATCTGGTATGAGACTGACAAGGCATGACGACAACCACAACGAACGGCACAATTTTATGTAAAGGGGAAAGTACACGGCCATACCACCATCACATTGAAGGCTAATTCAGCCACAACACATGGTGTCATCCGTATTTCCCGCGGTCTCATCGTTGGTGAAGGACATGTGATTCAAGGCCATAGGTCAGCAAATCATTATCCGTTACGAACCCATCCGCATGGAGCACTCTAGCCAGCTGCAGTTCTCAGTAGATCTGCCCTTGTATTGGAAGCCATTGTGGTTTTGCATCCTATAGAATGCGAATTTAGCGTTTGAATTGCGTGCTCGAATACGCGAGAAGGACTTGAGGGATTTGGGGGGATATAGGAAACAATCAAAGGCGAGTTATTACACGTTGACTATGCAGTTCGCTTTGTATCACCTACAAACATCTTCACCTAGAAGTATATTCGAGTAGCAAGGGTGAGCAAAGTGAAGCTGCGTTGAATAGCCTTTTGGTTCTTACTAGATTAAGACTAGTAGTTTTACAGGGGAGCCAACTGAGGTAACGCTTACTTAAATCTCCAATTGTCGGCTTGCAATGTCACCTTGATTCTGAATTACTCTCTCCATCCATCTTCTGAACTTCTGAATACAAGTCGTAATCCGACGCTTTGCTGAAAATTGTGTCTTCCGCAGTTGCATTCGCAGTATTATGAGGCGGAATCCAACCCGGGAAAGGTCATACTACCTCGGGCTTCGTGATAACAGACTTTCTTCGCTTTTTGCACCGGGTTGCAGCAAATCGAAAGAAGCTCTATCTACGTCCGTCCAGAAGACGCAATTTGATCAGCATCTGGCGTGAGACGGGCGCGAGCTCTGATAGAACGAGATGCCGTGCTTGCATTAGCGTTTTCTGCACTTCAAACGCAATACTGGCGATCTCTCAGGTAGTTCTGGCAGCTTGCTAATAGCTACACAAAAAGAACCCCGGACTTGTCACATATGCAAAGAAATACCGACATAAGCAATGACCCACAAGGACAAAGTGGCCGATATGGTTGGCATTGTTGGCTTCATGATGCGCTCAACTTAGGATGACCCTTGGAGTAAGTCCTTGCGTCTATCACATCACGTTGATTGGCAGTATGAAATTGTCCTCGACCTTCCCTAGGCAGCTTACGGCATTTTGCCTAGAACGCACGCGTGACCAAGCTCTTGCATGAGCGGGGTTCATGTCATGGCGAAACCGGCACTTCGATTGCGAGTGGCTGTTCTTAAACCCATAACCAGACCTATATGTAGACAAATTTCCCGGGTTTGCCATCATTAAGCCACGTCCATTGGCTTCGTAACCCATCAACTGCCCGAAAGAATTGGTCCAAGACCTCAAAACCTTTTCAGACTCTGAGATCATGGCACCTCATGCGGATGATACAACTTTTGATTCTGAGATTCCGGTACCCACAAAAGCACTTCCTACGAACGGTGATACTCAAGCTCAACCGGCTTCTAACGGGAATGCCAAAGAGAACGCCGCAGCAGCCTCAAACGGCGAAGCGAAAGAGATTCCTGGGCCAACGCATCATGAGTCTCCCAGTCCTCCACTGGAGCTCAAGGGCGTTCTCAACGAGTTTAAGTCTTTCGACGTGACTCCAGTCATTGGCAAAGAATTCCCAGAAGCCAAGCTCGCCGATTGGCTTAGGGCCCCCAATTCTGATGAGCTGATCAGAGATTTGGCTATTACGAGTCTGTTCGTCTCCGATCATAGTACAGGGTCGTCAACTGACAGCTGTCTAAACAGTCTCCCAACGCGGTGTCGTCTTTTTCCGAGCCCAAGACGGTCTAGATGACAGCCTCCAAAAAGAACTCGCGCAGCGCCTTGGCGAACTCTCCGGAAAACCAGCATCGTCCAAGCTGCATATTCATCCGGTCATCAACTCGGGCCGCGACGACGGCGGAGGAGATGACGAGGTCAGCATCATTAGTTCTCGCCAGCTCAAGAAGCTTTACAAAGGTCAATTCATGACTGCGGGTGAGAAAAGGCAGAGTGGAAAAGAGGGATGGCACTCGGACATCACATTCGAGCCCGTAAGAACATTCAGCCCAAGTCTCGATTCCAACTCGTCTACGTCGACTAATAGCATTCGAATACCCACAGGTGCCAAGTGACTATGCCATTCTGCGGCTTGTCGAGCTCCCAGGTACCGGAGGAGGTATATCTTCCCCCCTTCTAGTGGCCTCTGATTTTGCGTTGCTGACAATGAATCGCCACCAGACACCCTCTGGGCTTCCGGCTACGAGCTCTACGACCGCCTTTCCAGCCCCTACCAAAAGTTCCTGGAGACCCTAACCGCCACCTACGCGCAGCCCAAATTCAACGAGACCGCCAAAAACGGCGACTTCAAACTCTACTCCGCCCCCCGCGGCTCCCCCTACAACATCGGCGAAGGACTCTCCGCTATCCATCCGGTCATCCGCACGAACCCTGTCACAGGCTGGAAATCCGTCTTCGCAGTCGGCACCCACGTGCAGCACGTCAACGACGTGACACCCTTGGAATCGAAAGCGCTGCTGGAATGGTTCGTGAAATTAATTGTGGATAACCATGATTTGCAGGTTCGACATCGCTGGCAGAACCCGAATGACGTGGCGATTTGGGATAACAGAAGTGTTTATCATGCCGCGACGCCAGATTATGAGGGGTTGGGCGAGAGGTTGGGTCATAGGGCGGTTAGTATTGGGGAGAAACCGTTTTTGGACGTTGGGAGTAAGTCGAGGCAGGAGGCATTGCAAGGCTTGTCCAAGGAAGGGAACGGGACTGTCGAATAGCCCAGGGGAGTCCTCAGATACGCAGGTTCAAGCAATGTACACACCAGACTAGAAATCTGAGCACTGCCTTGAAAGCCGCACCCACCTCTCTTGTATTTTTCCTACCCGATATTGTAACCTTCAAACGGAGCAAGATCCAGAAGCGCCAAGAGGCAGGCAAGACACCAAAAAAGTTTATGCGAAGAGGTGCGGCCGTCATACGTAGAAGTGGTCCCTATGAGGCTTTCTGGACGTCAACCTCATCATTCGTAATATTGGTATTGGCAAGATGCAGAAGACTCCTGCCGCTGCAACTGCCAATCAAATCTGAAAGTTCGATCAAGTCTGACAGTTCGCCTCTTGTAGACAGGAGATGCCATCTCCAGAAGTCAGTCCTCCGCCCCTCAAACGCCGCCGTATCTCCGATCCAAAAATGCACCATCCCTCTCCACCATCCCTCCCATCCATTTCCGCCCATGACCTGCCCTCCACATCCACAGATGACAGTCTCCACATCTACTCCTGGAACATCAACGGCATCAACCCTTTCCTTCCCCCCTCTACCCCACCAATCACCAACTTCCTCAAGCCAACCTCTGCCCCGAACACCCTCCCGAACCCCGCGCCGCCGGGACCCTCACTCCGCGCAAACCTCAAGAGGTGGAAATGGCCCCACATCCTCTGCCTCCAGGAAGTCAAAATCGCCCCGACCGACACGCAGACCCAAGCCTCGGTCCGCCGCGCCGTCAACGCGCCCCTAGACTCCGCCGATGACAACGACGGCGACCGCCACCTCTACGATGCCCATTTCGGCCTTCCGCGGGACAAACACAACGCTACCGGCTTCGGGGGCAAGGTCTATGGTGTCTGCACGCTCGTACGGCGCGATGTACCCGAGCCCACGACGAGGACGGTAGGATGGGATCTCGAAGGGCGGGTGTTGTTGGTTGAGATACCGGGATGGAGCGTCATGGTTGCGAATGTCTATGCGGTCAATGGCACCACGAACGACTACCGCGACCCCGCTACGGGAAAGGTGGTCGGTGACCGACATGATCGGAAACGCATCTTCCACTCCCTGCTGAGGGATGAGGTTCGTCGATACGAGGACCGGGGATGGGATGTCGTTGTCCCTATATTACCGGCCTATTAGCTATTTCTATTCGCTTTATCTTCTTAGTCGTTATTTATATCTTTTTAGATTCTATAATTAACTTTAGCTCTATCGTAGTAGAGAACGCTAACGCCGTCTAAGACGAAAGTAGTATTATATCGCTTCTTCTTATATTAAGATAATAACTCTATAATAGCTCTTTCTTCTTCTTCGTTTTAAAGCGATAGATTTAAAATATATCAAATAAATCTACTATAAAACGTTCGATGTTAAATATTTTAATAAGCTATTTAATAGCTTTATTAACCGCCTTATTAACGGCGATAAGGAAATTAAGAAACTTAAAGAGCTTCTTCGATACTTCGAGGTCTATAGCTAAATTATATATTTCTTTACCTATAAAATAATCGCCTTATCTCTTTAAGAAGCCCTATTAAACTATCGCTACTATATTTCTAATCTATTAACTATCTATACCTTTTAATCAATACACTATTTCTATAAGATCTTCGTCTATAATAGAATTTAGCTTTATTAAGACGATATCTATATATAGCGAATACTCGATAATTACTTAAAAATCGGATTTTAAAATAACGACCTTCGTTTATCTAATCGAAAGCTTACTTATTATATAATTTACGCCCGAGCTAAACTCTACTCTAGATATATCGTAATACTACTTCTATATCTTCTTATTAAAATATTTAAAACTCTTAATTATTCTACTATAATCGATTTAATCGTAATAAACTCTATAACTCTTAAGACTATCGCTATCTATATATATATAATATATATAATTAATTATATTCTACTATTAGCTATATTAATAAAACCTTCGTTAATATTACCTCGCTAAATATAAGACTCTCTCTTATTTCTCGACTATAATTAATATCGAGAGGCCTTAAGTCGATAGTCGAGTTATTCTCATATATGCTTATCTCGCTAAGTAAGTCTCTACTAAAAAGACGTAGTCTACTAAAGAAAGACGACTAAAAGAAATAGCTTAAGAATTACCTCGACTAGATATTCGCTAATATCTTACTTATAATTATCGCCTATAATATTAAAATAGACTATTAAGGCTCTAATTAGTTACTATTAAGTAAATCTTATTTTAATATCGCTATAGTACTCGAAATACTATTTAAAGACCTTTAAAAGTAGAAGAATAACGATCGTCTAATACGATTAGACGTAAAACCCTCGAAATACTTTATTTCGTTCTTATTAAGTCTTATTTCGAAGTATAATAACGACTAAAGAAGAATTTACGATCTTTTCTTCCTACGACTATACTTCGTTAATTATTATATTTATAAGATTTACGAAGTACTCGAGTATACTATACTAAACGATATTATCGATATTCTTTACTTACTTAGAGACTAGAGTATAATTATAATTAAACGAGACCTCGTTAATATATTTAGATATATCTCTATAGCCGAGTCTAATTTTTAGCTACTAAGTTTCTTTTAAAATAGCTTTTATTATATCGATAGATTTTTATTATTTAATCTACGCACCGCGCCCTTTATTTTTAATCTATTCGCTAAGGCCCTTTATTAAATACTTATTATTATTCTATTCTAGAGTATTATATTCTACTATCTAAACGACTTCTTCGCTATTCTTTCGTCTAACGACGACGTAGTCTAATTTAGCGAGGACTTTAATATTATCTATAATAACTATAGTTTAAAGATAAATTATATTAAAAACGAGAAAGGTACTTTTATCGAATTTTTAGAAATTTAATTCGATAGCGAGAAGATAAAGGTTAGACTTTCTTTTAATAAGCTAAAAAAAGCGAAAAAGTCGATAAAAGCCTTTCTAAATAGGCGGAGTATTTCTTATAACGAGCTTAAGTTAGCGATAGATTTATTATTCTTCTCTATTAAAGTAATAATTCTTAATAAGACTTTTCTAAAAAAGCTCTACTTCGTATTATTTAAAAAATAAGAATATTATTATATTACCGCCGTAATCGTAGCGAATCTACGCTAATAAAATATCTTTCTATTTAGATAAAATAAGATATAATTACTCCGCCGTATAATCGTACGCCGTTACTATTTTATATAAATAAACGCTTCTAATAAGTATAGAATAGAAAGAGTATATTCTCGAGAATATCGCTACTCGTTCTAAACTAGACGATACATTTAATATATACTTCGCTACTCGCTACTATAAGAAGGATATTTAATTTAAAGAGATACTTATTATTCTTATAGCTATCCGTAGATAGCTACCCCGCTTATATTAATTATATCTTACGCTCTACTATAATAATAACGCCGTCGTTGAGAATATTTATAATAGTTCTATATATAGATTAATTATAGTATCGCTTAGATAAATAGTTATACTATTCGCTTAGTACGATATCGTTTATAATATAATTTAAATCTCTATTAAGTGAAATACTTTAGTCGACTTACTCTCTCGCTTTAAATTTAATAAAATTACCAATTTATATTTATAGCTAAGCGCTCTTAATCTATATAGAAATTATTAAGCCGCGATTTATTTAAATTATAGTATAAGAAGACTTCTCTAAATTATAATATCGCGAGATATCTCTAGTAAGATTTAGCTAATAAGATAAGAAGTAGCTATTAAACGACGAAGGCCTTCTATATCGAATTTTGTGCCTTATTAAGAACTATCGCATTTCCCGCTATTATTTAGTTACTTATCGACTAAATAGCACGTCTAGTTAATTATTATATTTAGATTAAATTTATTAAGACCTATCTTATAGACGTTTATTTAGCCTATATAAATATAAGATTCGAGAATCTTAATATCTTTTATTATCTACTATTATAGCGGGTAATTATCGATATTTATAGACTACGTAGCGAGGCCGATATTAAAGAATATCGTTTAATTACACGAGATCTACTACTTTATATCTTTACTTAATTCAATAAAACTTCTCTAGAGAAAGTTATCTTATATACTTCCTTTTATCTCGTATTTACTATATTTCTTTATATAGGCGAATTTATATAGTCTTAAACTAAATTCGAGAATAGCGACTTCGAATAATAATATATTATAAGACGTTTAGTTACGCTATATAGCCACTATATAAAGCTATCGCTATCGTTCTCGAAGACGAATTTATTTAGAAGAGAGATTACGCTATTTATTACCGCTATAAATAATAACGCCTACTCTATTTATTCGCTATAAAACTTATTTACTCGCTTCTCTATTAATAAGTTATCGCCGCTATTTAATTTAAGTAAGGCCTTTATAAGATAATATATTATCGCTATACTACGAAGTACTCTATATATACTCGATTACTCGAGTTACTACTTAGAATACTCTTTTTATAGAGAAACCGCTATCTCCGCGAGAGATGTCGATCTAATTAACGATAAGATTTAACTACTTAGCCGTTAAAAGTCTAACTTATATTACTTATATATCGAAATATACTCGATCTATATTCTCGTTATATTATATCGCCTTTAGCGTTCTTATTTAGCTTAGAGCTAATAGTTCTCGTTAAATATAAATTAATTTTAGAAGTTTTTCTAGAGCTAAGCTATATAATAAATCGCTATCTATATGCTACTAGGCCTTAAAACTCAGTTAATTATTATTTAGAACTTATTTATATATATAGTTTTTATAGAATATTACGCGAGATAGTACTAGTCGCTATAGCTTAATTAAGGGCTAGTGGACCATCGGATTTGCAAGGGTTGCCATGGAAGCGGACGGAAGCGACGGCTTGATGCCTTTAATTTAGCGAGTTTGTGTATATGAATAGGAAATGAAACTTAGGTCGTAGTCTTGGTCTGAATATCATCATGTGCGTGTAGGCTTGATTCTAAAAATTCACAGACATTTCGGACTAAAGGTCACGCATTGCTGGCTTTAGCTAAGTTTGAATCGGTGATGCACAGACCCTAGGCCATTGAATTGTGTGTTTCAGTATCCATACATAGCTCGGTGATCTTTTCTTGTAGCTCGAAGGTGCATTGGAGTCAGATTTTCAATCAACCAGTGCGGCCTGAGCCCAGTTACTGCGGAGCTCATCGCAGCCGTTGTAGATGATACAGATTTGGAAGTTGGGCAGATGCGTATAACTGTCAATAGAATTAAATCCCTGTACCAAGACCTCGGTATGACTAAAGGGGCTCGGTTCCGTCACGCAATACCTACCACAGTATCCAACGAATCGGCAAGGGAAGGGTGCGAGAAGAGTCAGGTAAAGTACGTCGATAAGCCTTGTTGGACATTGCTAAAGTTTCCGTATCGAAGTATTCCGATATCCCATTCACGTCTTTCGAACTCTATCAATCCCACCACGCTACTTCGCCTCCCCGTACATGCGCATCCCAGCTTGTACAGGCCTTAGAATCCCCTTGCCTTCCAGCTCCGACAACAAGGCCAGTAATCGGAGATCCGTCTCGGGCGGGCTCAACATAGACAGAGAGACCGGTAGGAACATCTCAGCCTCTGTGACGCGCGACTGGCACGGCACTTCTCCGACGGGGACGGTGCAATCCGGACACCCTGACAGGTAGCTTAGGCCGTAGATCGAGAAAGAGGAGAAGAATAAGGGTCCGTTGTCCGGGTCATCGCGGTAGGTTGGGGAGCCCCAGCTCTGGGGGGAAGATGAGCAAGGGAAACTCGTCTTCGGCCGATCTGGCGAGGACGATCTCTATGAACCACTGCGAGAACGCTTTGGCGGATTGTACGGTGGTTTCGTATTGCAGGGTGGTGGTCGATCTGCCGTGGTCTTGTCGAGCTTTGACTACGGCGTCGATGAATGGTGAGCGGCCATTGTTTGTAGCCTTGAAATCAGCTATGAATGGATCGATGGTGTCCCCGACGCAGGAGTGGGTAGTAAGTACTGTGTATATCCCGCCAGTGGCCTTGTCCAAGCTTTGATCCTGTCCGGCGGGACGAGTTTGCCGCCACAAGTCATCGAGATTGAATGGGATCCGGGTGCATTTGAGGTGTGATTCAAGCTTTTGGATGGTCTCCTCGAAGAGTTCCTCAAAGTCTGCCGCAGAGCCTGGTTCGCCGGGATACGGGAACCAACGACGCGAGTCTTGAGGCTTGGTGTCCTTGGCTCGGACGGGGTATAGAAGCTTATATTTCACTCGGGGTTTCAATGGGACCGAGGACGACTCCATCAAGCTTTTCACGACGGCTTCCACGACGGGAGCAGATCGAGCGAACACACCAACGCTGTCAAGGAGCGGCGACACCGAATATATGCCTGCAGTCGAGACGACGTTGGTGGAAGCTCGCATGCCATACGTGCCACAAACACCTGCCGTCAGTTCCGATGGTGAAGTCGAGCTAAGGGTAGGCAGCAGAAGCGACAGCAGAGCCGGCGCTTGAAGAAGAGGGTGATTGGTACGAGTCGCCGCGGGGGTTGAAGGGGGCAAGGTAGTCAGTCCTAACAAAGCGAATGAGTAATTGTAATACATCAATGACGCTAAAACCCAGCCACCCAGGATACGTGCTGAGGAGCTTATCATTCAGCCAGTCGAGAATGTCAATTAGAATTCAAAAGGCCTCTTAGCGGGTGTAATCACTGTGGCCAAATCCAAGGTTGGAGAGCCTCCTCGGCCGTCAATATGGTTGCCGTATCCTTGGAGGGCATATATGTACGAAAGAGAAGAGTATGGTGGAAATTGAAGAAGGAAACTGTACCATTGTATGGAAGCTTCCCCCTCAGCAAATTGGGTTGTCTTCGCCTTGCCCACTAGAACCGCACCTGCATCGATGAGGCGGTCGACGCACCGAGCTGAAAAAGGCCGGCCCGGGTAGAGCCTCCGATAGCTGCGGTTTCCAAGACCTGTTTCGAGACCGGCCACATCAATGATGTCTTTGACAGCGAAACGTAACTTGATATCAATCAGCTAAAACCATCCAGTATCTTACTTTCCGCTGAAAACCATACCCCTGCTAAGGGTTTTGTAGGTGTACACTCTGTGTCAAGTCTTGAAGGGACAGCTATACGACCCTAATTAAAGTCAGTTAATCCGCCCTCGTCAAGTCAGATTTTCCCACCCCTGTGATGAGCCACTGGGAAGAATGAAGCTGAACGCTGGATGTGAGAGATCCTCCAATGAACGCGCTGCAATCATCTTCGTATAAACGCGATACATGAAAAATCTCTCCAGTTGATGGCCGGATTGCATAAGGACCAGTCAGCAGTTGAGTAGCCTCTAATTCTAAGAGAACAGAGGCCCCATCTTGCGCAACACATATTTTCGAAGTCTGGGATGTTTGGAGCATGACGACTGTTGACAAATGTTACATTGTTAGCAATCCTTGGTACGACAGCTAGCCTCACCCTCGAGAAACGCCGGCGTCCAAACATCATCACGGAGAACAAATTTGGCACTAATAGCATCCAGGTCTTCCTTGTCAAGCTGGTCTTTCGACCAATTGATTGCTGTGCACGGAAGCAGGTTTTGTTGGAGGCCATCGGAAAGCCTATCCGCGGGCTTGGAAGGCTGAAAAGAAATTACGTGGGCTGGGGCTTGATCAAGATAATAATCAATTCCACCGAAAGTTATAACAGTGTTAGTATGTTGTTGATAAACCTTCGAGTCATGTGTCTCTTGGACTGCTTGCATGACAGTAGACATGATGGTGTTTCCCACCTCAAAGTAGGGCGAAGTCAGACTGCAATGCGAGATCAACCCCTCAAAGTCCGAGCTGTTCGTCGCCTCGGTCGGAAGCGAGTGGTAATTTTAGCTGCATGGAAGAGCGCCTAGGCCCAAAAAACGATGCTGCATTGGGACAGATCCTACCTGCGATAGCGATCAATCATGCCCTGTAATCCAGAAATAATTTCCGCCATCTCCGGCAAGCGGCAAGGTTGCTCGGTAAGACCACTTGGAATCTCAGGAGTAACTTCGATATCATATGATTTGTCGACGACAGAGGGAGGCTAGTGATGCCTGCACAGGACGGCACCTAAGCCGGGTTGCAATGGTCTTGGATAAGGGCGGTTAAGCTACCCGGAAAGCCTCCTTCCCGTATATTTCAGCACAGAAAATCAAGTCGCACCAGCTAAAGAATTGATGTTAATGCACCGGAAGACATCTGGATTCACTTGCCAAACAAAGACATGTTAGAAGAGCTTTTGGGATTTGAATCGAGCCACAAAAAAAAAGACCAGCTGTCAATGGGGGTTGGACTGGAAATGACGGGTGACATTGCCTGCCCCTATAAGGCTGGAGGATCAAAAAGCAAGGTCCACAGGGGTATGTGTGCTGATTGTCTCAGGATTGCAGGATCAAATTGGTGTGATGGTGGGTAGTAATTGTCGATCCTAGCCCCTACATAAGGTGCGCGGGCTCCTACAGCATGTAACTTTATCATCATCGCTGAGCCTCCTGGAGAATAGGTGCTTATGGTAGAAGTTCGTACAAAGTGAATTACAAGATAACATCATTGAAGATTCCTATTCCTTGATGGCGAGGAAGTTAGCTGGCAGGCACCCGTCGGAAGATTCTCGACAGGAACTTGACCTGATCCTTAATGGAGACGATGAGAATTGTTTCCATGCCCAAGATTACTTCTCGGTGGACAACTCCATAGGGCATGTCTTCGAAGTGATTAGCGGCAATGGAATCATGAGGTCTGATGTTGGCGGTGATGAATTGGTTGAGATTGTTAAGGTTAGCTACCTAGTCTACCGTCCCTAGCCTGCCTTAGACTTGCGCGGGTATTTTTACTTTTCTAGGGACCCCGCCGCCCGGGTCCTTAGAGGAAGGACAGCCGATAACCCCTGGCGCATACTTTTGGTTAACGCTGCAACAGAACGACCGACCCGGGAGCTATGATACAAGAGTCATGCAAGTAACCTGGTTCCCCCTGTTGCCAGAGGCTAGCAAGATGATTCCAAGCACAATGATCTAAGAGATCTAACGGATTTCCTGTGTCTACATAGTTTTGTCGATTGCGTTCAGAAGGATCAGGAGAGGCTTTCTGTCACCTCAGCCCATCTCCACTCCATTTTTGATACGTTCGACATCTCTCCACGCTTTGCGGGCTTCATATCCCGTCAGCATATGCCGGGAAGTGCCACGCGTTTTGATCAATCCACGTATAAGCCGCACCAGCACGGTAGGTGCCACAGCTGGTGTGAACCTTTCCTATCAAGCAGACCATGAGCCCTGATCATCACGACAGAGCTGTGGTACTCTGCCGTAATTCGATCGAACTGGCTTCACGGAGATGAAACAGCCCGCGATCTTTCTCGCAAGGCAGCCGATTGGAGACGCTTCTCTCTATGGTCCAAGTACGACCTGTTCACCAAGAGGCTGCATGTTCTTGTGCTAGGATGGCCACCGGCAACGAGGGAAAACTTCCAATCCATATTTCAGGGAAAATCCGGTCTACAATTACAGCGACATCCAATGATCCTCCACGCATACTTTGCTAGAGCTCTCCTGCTCAAATCATATGATTTCTTGCAGGAGTTTTCGGGTCCTCTGTACGAGTGGGCAAGTATTACCCTTTTGACCCTGGCTTGACCTTTCGGTATTGAAGACGTTGACTAATCCATCAATGTGGGAGTTCAGGAGTTCAAAGCTCAGCAATTGAAAACGGCTAATGATTACACAAAGAGGGTACAGATCTTCCTAGCGTTTTCGCGGCAGATTCAACAAATCTCCACTGACTATGACGTTCTTGATGGAACCCTTGAGCATTTAAGAAGACAGAATCAGTCGTTTGAGGATAACCTTTTTTCAACGGCCATTCCAAGAATCGCTTCAGCGACCTCTATGCGGGATGAAACGGAGCTGCGTGCACCGCTCCGAGAGACATTCAACTCTTTCCTGAGAGAAGCAAAGCCTATTCGCACCTATAGCAACCTCTACAATGAGAGGACCAAGATTGGTGTCAGTGAAGGCTTTGCGATGGTCAACCAACGAGACGCGGAAGTTTGTGAGCACGAGTCCAGCTTGGCAGGTTTCCGCTAATACTCTCTCCAAGGTGAATCTCAGAATGGCAACCGAATCCACACAAATCGCACGCGCTTCCCATCAAGACAGCCGAGCACTCCGCATCATCCAGATCTTATCGATGCTTTTCTTGCCTGCCTCCCTCGTCAGCAGTATCTTTGGCATGGGCTTTTTCAGCACTTCCCAAGGGACCGATGGCCAGGCAATTTTCACAATTAGCAGTAGGTGGTGGTTGTACATAACGATCAGCGCCCCCTTAAGGGTTTTTGTTTTTTTTTTTTGGGGGGTTTAAAAAAAAAATAACCCAAATTGAAAAAAAAAAAAAACCCCAAAAAAAAAAAGAAAAAAAACTTTAAGAAAAAAAAAAAAAGAAAAAAAAAAAAAAAAAAAAAAAAAAAAAAAAAAAAAAAATTTAAAAAAAAAAAAAACACAAAAAAAAAACAAACAAAAAAAAAAAAAAAAAAAAAAAAAGAGAGGGAAAAAAAAAAAAAAAAAAAAAAAATAAAAAATTTTTCTTGTAAAGGAGGGGTTTTTTTTTTTTTTCAACCCACCCAAAAAAAAAAAAAAAAGAAGAGGAGGAAAGAAGAGACCGGCCCCCCCCCCCCTTTTTTGAGCCGAGGAAAAACGACGTCTCGGGAGCCCAGCGTGGGACTACACCAAGCGGGGTAGCCATGTTGCCACGCAGCAGAACTGCAAAGTTTAGAGACCCATCGATGTCCGCATGATTCCGGCGGTAGTATGGGATTCCATGCCTGGCGCCGGCGTATTTTTCAATCAGGTAGGTGATTTTTAAAATTTTAATTAGCCCCCCTCAATCCACCTACTTTTATAAAAAAGGGGGGAGGGGGGGGGGTTTTAAAAAAAAAAAAAAAAAACGAGGCTGAATCAGAAGAAGAAGAAGACAATGCAAGGCTGCGATTCGTACTCTGCGGTACATCGTGATTATTGGGCCTTGATCGAAGTTGAAGGGTGGTGTGGGCTCGACCGAGACGCAGAGACGTGCGGTATCTATAGGCCGGCCTCTCTTTTTCCCGCCCCCCCCCCCCCCCCCCCAAAAACAGCGCCCTCCTCCCCCCCCCCCCCCCATTCCTTCCTTCGGCAAGAAATTGGAAGATGGCACGAAATGCAAACACCTTCGGCGAATCTTGACGACCACTTGAATAATGGGAATGCACGGGAAGAATGGAAGAGCACGAAATGCAAACACCTTCGGCGAATCTTGACGACCCTTGATAATAGGAATGCCCAGCAGAACTTCAGAGATACTGACAGTCGTAGCAGTCCTGGGATGCACGTTGATACTTATCAGAGCAGGGATGATGTAGATCGCCATGCTGAGGATCCTGCGAACGTTGCTGATTCCCATGAGCATAATGAAAAACCAACAAAGTCGCAATCTGAAGGAGTCGCAAGATTGCTGTGTTGCGCGAGCTCCTGCTTGTACTACCTCTTTCAACCTCGATCCTGATCCTTTTCTCAAGCTGTTCCAAGTATATTGGGCAGATATCGGCGCTCCACATCAAAGGTTGACATTACAAGCGTTACAGTTCTTGTCCAAGGGTCATGAAAGCTTGGTGGAAATGTCTTTGATGGCCATTGTACTGCACCGCCTATATTGATCATACGATGCATTCCGACCGACAGAACAAGAAACACGAAGCCAGTAGAGTAATATAGAAGAATGACTGAAAGATTGCACAAGGGCAATACTATCGCAAGTCGAGAAGAGAGTTCGGTTCCTCATGTCTGCGCTCTTACACAGTTCGCGACAGAAGAGGACGCCGACCTTGCAGCCGTCCAGTATCATACGTACGTGCATCAATTCACTTATCGACGAAGAATTCACGTGACGTATAATGGGGTTATCGGCATGGTACCTACGTCTGTAGTTGAAGGAGACCAGATCGCAATCCTTTTGGGCGGAGGCACTCCGTTCATGCTCAGAGAAGTAGGAGATGCACACGTACTGATTAGGGACGCCTATGTTTATGGACTCATGTATGGAGAAGCGCTTGGAATGGATGGATTTGCACAGCAAGAGATACAGCTTTTATAATCATCTTAGCAAGGCTCTGAAGGGAATGTGGCTTTACGTTGGTACTGGAGCTCCAAACTCCCGCAACCACACAGACTTCTCCAAGTAAGCGTCACCTTCGCATCCTCCCTCTTTACTCATTTAGAGTACAGGAGCAGACAATTTGCATGCACGCTTAATACGGATATCTACTCCAACGACCAAGTCTCGAACGCCAGAACATCGCCCAGTCCGGATCCCAAACAAAGCCAACGTCGCGAAGCTTGCCCCACTGTTCGCGTCTGCTGACCCCGCTGTATAGCGCCGTGACCTGGAAGGCCTCTCTCCGCTCGAGCTCCCGAAAGAGCGCATCCTCCTGGGCCGGAGTAAGCTGGAACCCCGGCGGAGCTTTCAACTCCGGACGCTCCGCTCCATCAGGCTGGAAATATTGGTAAAGACGATATTCCCTGAACCGTAGGGTTTGGATCGCCCCCGCGGTCACTTTGACTTGGCGATCATCCTCGAGGATTTTTCGAGGCGTCAGCTGCGAGTTCGAGAGCGCTGCTCTGGCGTGGGCTCGACTGCCGGCGTCCCATTGCTCTGCCGCTGCGATCCAATCCTGTTGCCATTGCCGCCATTTCCGTTCGATGAGTTCGTCTCCCTGTAAATGCAAGATCCAGAAGGTGATGTACCAGTATTCGTCCCAGTCTTGGTTACGTTGGATGTTGAATGTCAAGAAGAGTCTTTCTCCTTCTCCTTCTTCTCCTTCTCCTCCTTCCATTCCTCGGTCGTCTCCGTTCGGGAAGACTAGTTCGTGCCGGCAAAAAGGGCAGGTTTTCCCGTGTCTCAGCCATTCTGACAGGCATTCTGATCCGAAAATATGAGTACCGTTGCAGGGTAGGCGGACTGCTTTTTCGAAACTCCCGCTGTCGGTGGTTTCGTTTTCGTACGGCTGAACGCAAATCGGGCATCTTGCATTCGCCGGGAGTTCGTAGATCGGGATTTTGGGCAGCTGGCGGAGGAATGCTGTCGCCATGGTGGAAGATGCTTTTTTGTTCTGAGGACTTGAGAGAGCTTTTGGTGTTGGTAAGCCCTCCTGGGTGTTCGTTGTAGAAGAATGAACGCCTTGGAGATAGCGTCTGCGAGGTGAGATTGAAAGGCTTTCGGAAGATGTGATGCAAGCCCAGAGCTCTTACATAATCCCAACGTTCTCATGACCTGCTCAAATAGTGTTGTGATGACAGCAGTGTTATACCTTTGTGAAGTCGAAACGTCATTGAAACCCCTGGGACTTCGAACAAGGACCATTTGGACAATGACACCTCATCAGTGGGAAGAAAACAGGCGGCAGGCTGTATATACCTCATTGTTCGATAACTTACTTTACACGCATACAAAGACATTGCATCGATCTCAGATCCAGCCGTCAGGTACAGTCAAAAGCGGCCTTTCAAAGTCAAGTAATTCAACATCAATCGTTTCAGCCACTCATCGTCCTCACCCATCAAATACTCTACTCAAAAGCAATCTCCCAAAACCCCAGAAACCATTCCCATCAAGCAACCCTTCCCCAACGCATCACGACGCAGCATATCCCTCAATCCAACCAAAAGCATCACAACCCTCCCCAATCCCACAAATCACTACAACCTCACCACCACCACCCACCACCGCTCCTCCAAACCCACAAAGCGAGCGATCAAACGCACGCACTCCAACATCCTCGCCGCCATATCCGACCCCGGCTTCCAAAAACCCCTCGACCACCTCACCCCTCCCCCTCGACCACGACGACCCAATAACCATCGAGCGCACGCTCCCATTCTTCAACACCGCCGGATCGATCCGACCAAGCGAACCCGCCCGTCCGAACCATCTCCCATCCCCACGCCAAACAAACCTGTCCACTCCATCGCGGATAACGTCGCAAAGGTCTCCCACTCCGATCGCACGTCGTGAGGCGCCCCTGCGCTGTACGATACATACCGGCGACGTCGCACATAGCTAGTTTTCTTTCGATTCTTGCACAGACCTCTCCTTTCGTCTGGCAACGACGCGATCGGCATTTTTTGTACTCTTTTCAAGCTTTCGCAAAGGGGTGATGGAGAGTGCGAGAGATGATGGCGGTGCGGTCGTATGGAATGGTCGTTTGCGTAGGAGGGGGGGTGGGGCAAGTGGAGGCTGGAGGGGGGGGGTTGTGAGGGGGATGAGGAGAGGAAGGTGTGGGATTCTGTGGGGATGGGTTGTGAAGGGTTGAAGGTTGGTTTGGAGGGGTTTTGGGGGTAGGGGGAGTTGCTGACGAGGATGGAGATTGCTTTTCTTTGAATTGGTTGGATTGGGGGAGTGGTGATGATGGGGAGTGGGGAAGGGGTGTGGGAGATGAAGGGGTTTTGTTTATTTTGGGGTAGATGAGATTTTTGCGGGTGAGGGAGGTTGGGTTGGGGTTGGGGTGTTGGGGGTGTTAGATGGCTTGGGTTTGCGGTAGAGAGGAGGGGATTCTTTGAGTATTGTGGAAGGTTTTGGTCAGGGTTGCTTTTGAGATCTTGGCGCAGAGTGCTTTGGGGGGTTTGCTTTATCATTTCGGATTCAATTTCTAATCGTGCAATTTTGCTGATTTAAGGTGAAGAAATTCATTATACATTATCAACCACACAAAACACAAACGCTGGTCTAAGAAAGCCTGCTTTCCATCTAGAAACGCAAACGCAAACAAAAACAGCACGAACTTTTATCATCGCTGGCTAAACCGCACATCAAAACAAAAATTCAGCACAACTCCACCCATGCCCGTGATATCATCAATCATTCACGTCCGGCAATCTACCTCTTTAGCGTCAACGTCCCACTTCCCCCTTGCCCTCCTATACTGAAATCCTGACTCGCGAAATGATACCCAATGCCCAACACCTTCGCCTTGCCCACCCACTTATGCGGCGCCAGCCTCTCAAATGTATCCCGCCCCTCATGCGATTCAAGATGCTCCGCGACATCCGCCATCTGCAACCTGATCTCGCTCTGGTGATGTTGAAACGCGGTTGCCTTCTCGCTGCTTTCGAGTGGAGTCGCGAGCGCGGCGTCGCAGATGTCTTGTGCCAGCGAGCGCACGCGGATGAGGTCGAAACTGCCGTTCCAGCCCGCTTGCGACGGAAGCGTCTGCATGCGGCCGGCTAGGTCGGAGAATTCGGCCAGCAGCTCGGGCGTCGCGGGACTGTCGGATGCGGCGGGCGTGACGCGGTGGATGTGCACGGGGAGCCCGAGGGCGCGGGAGGCGTTCTCAAGATAGGCTTCGCTGGACCATTTGGATGCGACGTAGCCCATGGAGCCGTCGACGGGAGGTTGGAAGGATGCCATTGAAGATGGGGGCCCAGCGTTTTCGGCCAGTTGGAGCACGCCACCGCTGGAGATGAAGTGGATGGGGATTTGGCGTGGGGATGCGAGGCGTGCGAGTTCTTTGGTAGAAGCGAGGTTGGGGAGGCGCAATTGTTGGTAGTAGTCCCAGAAGGATCGGTTGGCGCCGCTGTGGATTATGACATCCACATCACGGGAGAGCGTGGAGAAAGAGGTGTCTGAGAGGCCGAGCTTGGACTCGGTCAGATCACCTGTGTGGATATTTATTTTATCGGACTCGACGGCTAACTGGCGAGGCTCAAAGTCGGAGTTTTGCCGGACGGCGACGCAGTGGACTTGGGATACTCGCGGGTCGGAATTCAACTGTTGGAGAAGGTGGCGGCCGAGGAAGCCGGTTGCTCCTGTGAGAAGAACGACCAGTCCTGAATCGGTGCGGGGAGAGATGACACTTTGTCTGCCGTCGATTGCTTTGCTGGCAATCAAGTCGGCTTGAACAGCGGTCTCAGCTTCCCAATCGATCGCGACGACCGCGCTTGCGTTTTCAATCTTTGATGCCATGCTTCCAAGAGTGCTGGCCTCGAACAGTTCAACCATTGGTAGAACAGCGTTGAAATTCTCGCGAATGAGTGCTTGAAGTTTGACAAGGAGCAAGGAGTTACCACCAACGTGGAAGAAGTCGGTGTCCCGGTCGATTGTAACGGTAGCTGCGATGTCCTTGGATACGATTCCCTGCCACACTTTCTTCAGAGCCTGTTCCGTCTCGCTGAGAACGACGTCCCCCCCACTGGTGCGGGATGCCGATGGCAATGGTAGTGCGTTGATGGCCAGTCTGTTTGTTTTGGAGTGACTGTTGAGTGGGATCATGTCCAGGGCAATCATCCTAGCAGGACGCATGTATTGCGGAAGTGGCAGTCGAACACCCAAAGTCTTTAGGAACTGCTCTCGCTCGCCATTGGGGTAGGTCGTTGAGAATTCCACGTGGGCGACAAGGAATTGCGGATCTCCACGAACTGAGCAGACAGCTTTGCAGATGACACCACCTGCAGCTTCGATGATCGTGTTCTCAATATCTTCCAATTCGATCCGGATGCCTCGCAACTTGATCTGAGTGTCGCCTTCGATTCTTCCCTCGAAGATGAGCGCACCATCGCTGCGTAAGTGACCCAAGTCGCCGCTCTTGTACACGGTTGTCCAGCCTTTGGAAGCGTACTCTGGGGATGGGTTAATGTCCGGGATGAATTTAGTCTTCGTCAATCTGTCGTTGTTCAAATACCCGAGGGCGGATCCTGCGCCGCCGATGAGAATTTCACCAGTGACGCCAACAGGAACGGGGTCCATGTTTCTGTCGACGATATATAGTGCGTAGTTGGGTAGGGGGAATCCGGCTGGGATTGCTTCTTCAGAGTTCTGCGAAGCCTCCCAGTATTTGATCTCCGATTTTGTGCAAGAGATCGTCACCTCGCCGGGTCCGTATGAATTGAAGAGCCTTAAACCTGTGTTGTTCAGATCGCGGAAACCCTGAACGAGAGTGCTGGTCAATGCCTCTCCGCCACCGAACGCGTATTTCCATTGAGAGGCTCTAGCAAGAGATGTCCAGCCATAACGAAGCCAAGAGGAATACTCAGAGGGAGTCGCTTTGGTGTAGGTGATCTTCTCATTGTTGATCAAGTTCGCCAGTTCGGCCGGGTCTCTTCGCTTAGACTCTGGCACCACGTAGACTGTGCCTCCGTTGGCAAGGCCGGAGAGCATTTGGTCCAGAGAGAAATCGAACGAGTAAGCGCTCTGCTGGAGGACTGTCTCTCGGCCAATATTCCATTCTTTGCTGTAGCCTTCCATTTCGTTTCGGATGCTGGAGTGACGCAGGATGATACCCTTTGGTACACCAGTAGATCCGCTGGTATACAAGATGACAGCTGGAGCTTGAGGTTGCGCTTTATTTGCAAAAGCTATGATCTCATTGCAGTTCACATTGGAAACGTTGATGACTTTTGCCGACTTGGAGCCCAAAGCAGGGACATCGTTGGCGGTCTTATCGTGGCAAAGTATCGCGCCAGGTTGGCAATCTTTGACAATTATGGCAAGTCGAGGGATTCCGTTGCGTAGCTCAAGAGGAACGTAGACACCGCCAAACTTCCAGATGGCTAGGAGGCAGCAGATCCAATCTGCTGATGGCTCCTGGAAAACCGCAATTGTTGAACCAGCACTCACACCAACCTTAGAAAGGGAGGCGCTGATGGCATCGGCACGCCCGGCCAATTCACTGTATGTCAGTGCAGTGCCCATACCATCTTTGACGGCGATACTTTCGCCATGCTCGATCACCATGTCATCAATACGGTGCGCGATAGTTGCAGGCCAATCAGATTCCATAAGACGACCTGTTTTCGAATCAGCGCTACTCAACAAGACTTCTGAGCTTGACATACCTCGACCAAGATTGATCGCAGCTTTAGTATCGGCAGAATCGAACAGCTGCACTTTGCTTGGTGCGACGTCGAAGCTCGAGGCGAATTCCTTTACCAAACGGACGTAACTCTTGAAGAGAATGTCCGTGCTGGTCTGCGAGTACAGATACTTCTGTGTCCTGAATGCAATCTTTATCTCATCACCCGAGACCTCGTTGACGTCCAGTGTTAGGTCATAGGCTGTGCGTCCCGTCGATGCTACACCATCTGCCTGAGCGCCCAACATCTTTGGGGACTTTACCGCGAGCTGGCGATAGTCCATAAACACTTGGAAAAGCGGGCTGTGCGTTGAAGAGCGTGGGATGTCGAGCTCCTCCAAGAGGACATCGAAGGGCAGCTTGGAGTGAGCTAGCGCACTGTATGCCTTGTCTCGAGCCTCTTTGATGGCTTCGGCAAAGTTCTGCTTTGAGTTCGCCTTGAATCGAAGTGGTAGCAGGTTCAAGAGGAAACCAATGGTACCAGTGGAATTGCTGTCCGTTCTGTTTGCATCTGCCATGCCGACACACACATCCTCGATGTCTAGAAAGCGGAACAAGAAGATCTTGAGGACGGCAAGGAAGAAGTGGAATGTAGTCGATTTGTATCGACGGCATGTGTCTCTAATCTGACTGGCAGTCTTGGAGTCCAGGATCAACTCGGTCTGTTGGTAGTCATACCTCTTCAATGGAAGACGAGAGTTAACCTTGGCCATGGGGAATAGCGGCAAAGGGTCCGGGAAGGTGGAAAACATTTTCTTCCAGTACTCGAGCTCTCCTTTCATTGCACCGCTTTCGACTTCCTTTCGCTGGTTCGCAGCAAAGTCGGTGAACTGGCAGCTGACGGAAGGAAGCGATTGCCCTGCGTAGAGCTTGTTCAAGTCCGATAGAAGAATATTGAAGCTGAATCCATCAATGGCGATGTGGTGGAATCCGAAGACGAGGAAATGCGTGGTTGGGTTGAGCGATAATAGAAGGATCCTGATGGACTCTCCTTGTTCCAGGTCGAATATGTGTTTCATCATGATGTCGCATTCCTTGATGGCATCTGCCTCAGCCGCAATCGATTTCTTCTCTAAGTGAAGCCTCGATGAGGCAAGCACTCCTTGCGTTGGCTCGTTCATCCGCTCAGTGTTGGCGAAGAAGGCAGTCCGGAAAGCTTCGTGCCGTTGCCCCACCGCTGAGACTGCGCGTTCAAGTTCAGCCACCTTGAGGTGACCGCTCAACTTGGTGCGGCAGAGGAGGTTGAAGGTGGTCGGGTCCTCCAGGTATTGCTTTAAGAACCAAAACCGTGACGAGCCGTAAGACATTCTTGTTGTCTTTTGGAACGACTGCTTCTGGACCACAGGGAAAGCATCATCCTTGTGCTCCAAAATTTCGTCAATGTTCGAAATGCTGATCTCTGTAGATGACTCTTCTGCTTCGACTGATGGTGGTGTCGTCGATGATTGAGATGATTCCGAATCTTCATATGACAGAGAGCCATCTTTATCTCCCTCGGACTCGGTCGTCTCCGCCTTGGATTCGAGAGTCGACTCGGTTATTTCTTCATTTATTTCGATGGCCGCATCGATAGTGTCTTCCTTGGGCTGCTCTTCGATCGGCTTGGTCGGATCAGCCTCGGCTTCGGAGCCCGAAACAACATTTGGGACCAGCTCTGCTGGAAGTCTCTTGACTGCGTCCTCAATAAGATCCGCCACACTTGCACCTCCAAGGATCTTGAGAACTGGCATATCGAGACCGAGCTCGTTAGTGAACCAGGATCGTAGATCAACTGCCACCAGTGAGTCTACGCCTAGCTCGACTATCGTGGTTTCTGGAGAGATGCTGTCTTCGGGAGACAAATGCAGACGATCAGACAACATAGAGAGCAATCCATCTGTGACCCACGTTAGACTTTCAACTACCTCGGAGCGATCACGAACTAACCTAACAGTGTTTGGTAGACAGCCTCCTCGCTTGTCTGCTCTTTCAGCTGCGTCTTGACGGAAACACTACCTTTGGCAGCGCCCCCAGCGTTTTGTCCGATAGTCTTGATTCGTCGGTAATGGGAGAATTTGGGGATGCTCAACCACGCCGGTGGGTTGGCGTCATTCTCAGGGTCGAAAGACTGGAGACCAGCTGATAACTCTGGGCTCCTTCCAGACTCAGGACGTCCAGCGTGGACTGCTTCCGCGAAGAATTGGTGGAAATCCCACTCCGAGATGTTGGCGTAGCCCATGTTGCCTAGACGGTCCAAGATGCCTTTGTCTGTGCGAGTGATGTAGCCAAGTCCAAAGATACCAGCCAAGTTCATCACACTTCCGACGACACCTCGCTTTCTTCGCCCAGCGATCAAGGCGGCCATGAAGGCATTGGCTGCTGCGTAGCTTGTCTGACCGATGTTACCTGTGACCGAAGCAAGGGAGGAAAAGAGGATGAAGAAATCGAGGTCGTTCCCAGGGAAAAGTTCGTCAAGTATGATACTGCCGTCCACTTTGGCTCGAAGGGTCTTGTTGAATTCTTCGTGTGTCTTGTTGGTGAAAAGACCGTCTATAAGGACCATAGCGGCATTAGCAACACCGGCGATCGGAGGCATCGTGCTGCAGATGACTTTGTGCACTGCAATGACAGACTCCTTGTCGATGACATCCCTGTGAAGCTGTTAGCCGGAGTCTGCTACGCATTGTTTTTTCAGTACCCACATTGCGAAGGGCCTCACAACAGCACCCATCTCTTGAATCATATCGAGCCAACCCTGGTCTATGTTTGGCTTCCTGCTTGTCAGAGCGAGATACTTGGCACCCCTCTTCACCATCCAGTGGCAGAGTGATAGCCCAAGTTCACCAGTCAGTCCGATCAAGAAGTAGGTTCTGTCATTTCGAAATTGAGTGTCACACTCAGCAGGTAGGATTCTGACTGGTGCTGTGGTGGCAGCAGTCCAATTTACAGTGCAAAGAGTTCCGCTCTCTACCGGATGCTCCGGAATGTCTTTCAGAGCAATCTCTTGGACTTGGCCAAATGAATTGCCACCCGAGAGCTCCACCAATGACCGGGCATAGGACTTCTGAAGAGTTTTCGAGACTGTGACTCCAGAGTGCCCTGGTCGAATAAAGGACCGCGGGTTGAAGAGTGCGGCGGCTTTGCTCCGCTTGCATCGCAGTGGGAGGTGCTTTTCAATGCGAGCTCCAATCTCGTTTGGATCTGCGCTTCCGGAAAAGTTGACGAAGATTGAGACCTGCTTTGGTATGCAGTGTTCGATGGCTCGGTCTGGGGTGGATGGATGAAGATGGTGAATCCCAGATTGGTCGGACTTTGTAGTAGTGTACGCCACAAGTAGAGCTTTCTCCTTGGCTAGCCTGCTGACTGCTGATTTGAGCAATGGTGTAGGCTCGTGCACAAGCAGTGAGCTTCCTTTTGTGGCTTTACCAATCATAGCATCGGCTATAAGGTCATTTGCGATTGCAACAAGTAGGCGGCTCTCCTGATCCTCAGCAACCGGGCAGGGATGGGTCCAGCTCTTGGGGCAGGAGACGACGGATCGATTGCCCTCAGATATAGCAACGACCTTTTCCTGTGTCCCGGCAACCACACCTATGACGATGTACAAGTATCCTACTGACTTAAGCTTCAGCGCAGTCAAAACGGACCGGCTGACTTCAATCATCAAGCTATCATCATCATCGGTGAGTTCTGAGATCTTCGGTGCATGGTACTCCTGAAGATCGTATGATGAGTCGGAAGAAGTGATGGTCACGACCGAGGTTTTGATGGAGGCATCTTTCCTGATCAATCTCTTTGCAGAGTTGAAGCGGTCATTCGGTCCATCGTTTGGTATGTAGCGTGGAATCTCAACGCAGCCCTTGGAGATTGCAAGCTCTCGCTCGACCGTCCATAAAGGCTTGTAAGAGTCACTCGTAGACTTCCATGAGTCTGAGATTTGCAGTCGCAGTAGAGTCTCGGCAAGGAGCTTCGCGTCGGGTTTCTCAGCAACGTCTACATCGAGAAATTGCAGACGAAGATCTGGCATCTCAGCAACCAGGCAACGGGCGACTCCCTGCATCATGTTGGCGTACGGTCGGTCTCCCCTGCTACCTTGGATTACCCAAAGGACATTCTTCGACTGATCGAGAAGGGTTTGCACGGCTTTGAACTTCGCTTCCGTGAAAGGATTGAAGACTGGAGCATCCAGCTCTGTAAGGCTTAGGACCGTAGGCTTGGAAGCGATAATAGACATGTCCAGGTCTTCCAATCTGTCCACTGTCGCGATGTTCTTGCAGAGTGGCTTGAGAAGAGAGGCGACATCATCGATCAGACGAAGAGTTGGCAATTTGGCTCCACCGAGGATCAGCAAGTTGTCGATCACAGGTTTCGAGCCAGTGAGCGACAGGGGCTTCCTGATGTAGTTCATCTGCGTGTCGACGGCTTGAGTAGCCATAATGGAAAAAGGAACCAAGAAAACCTTGGAATCGGGAGTAGCTGTGTCGATACCTGAAAAACCGGTCTTGCGAAACGTCGAGTCCCACACTTTCTGGGATACCAATGGGCTATGGACTCGGTTGTCGTCTCCACCAACCCACCAGCCAGGGATACCGCTGAACATGAACCCGATTCGTAGAGGCTCATTGTTGGTGATTTCGAACAGAATCAGAAAGCCTCCAGGCCTTAATAATTTGCGTGCATTTTTTAAAGTCTCCTCGAGAGATCGGGTCGCGTGGAGGACGTTGGATGCTATCACCACATCATAAGAGTGCTCTGAGAAGCCTTGCGTAGTAGGATCGTGCTCAGCGTTGAGAGGCTTGTAAATCATCTTGCTGGAGTGATCGCTAAAGAGCTCCTTTGCTTCCTCAAAGAAGCCAGCTGAGATATCGGTATATGTATACGACGAGTAGTTGTCACCGATGTGGTTTAGTGCAGCGCGAGTCGAACTTCCAGTACCAGCGCCTGTTTATATTCAGCACCTGCAAACGAAAGCAGCGTTAGGAGCAGGCTTACCTATTTCTAAGATATCCATGTGTTGATAACGGTGAGCGATTTGTTTCACCATGCGGCCAAGGTAGACATTATACTCAGGGAACCCGTAAGTGTCTCTGTAGAAATGCTCCAACATGTTGTTCTCTCTGAATTGCTCGATGAAAGAGAGTTCACCTCGAGCAAATGGAATCAATCTCTCGCCAACGAAAACCAAGCTGTTAAAATCATCATAGAGCTTAGCCATCCTAGGGGTTTACGTTAGTGTCGCTTCAGCAAAAGTAGTGCAGACGGCTTACTCAGTGATTTGTGCGTGGAGCTCATCATGTGTATCATTGAGCCACTCCTTCTTGCAAGTCGGGTGTCTGCCTTCAGAGGTGAGCTGGACTGTGTGGGCAGCCCAGTTCAAGACCCTCGTTTGGTGCCAGTCACACTTTTCGCGCTCCTTTGCGGTGATCGTATCGTGCAATTTCTTCATGTAGAAGAGACATGTACGTTCAACCAAGAGAGATCCGGTCTCCTCAACATCATTCAACGTCCACTCTTTGAAGCCTACCTCGCCATCCGGTTCGGCGACATTCCAGATGGTCTCAGCAAAGATTTGCTTGTCGTCAACTGCGGTAGGTGTTGTAAGAGGAGTCACATGGAGGCCTTCGACTTGAACAATGGCATTAATGCCGCTTTCATCGTAGATGTCCACGTCGCCAGAGATCCCATCAGCGACTGAGGCTGACAAAGACGCATCGAAAGGCAGGCTAACTCCAAGTCCTGCTCCTGGTGGGCAGGCGAATGGGTTGATCGAGATCTTGTTGATCATGGTGGGAACATGAATTGTCCAGAGCCTGCCGTCACCTGGAGATCCGATGGCGGCGAATACTGATTGGAACGCTACATCTAGCGTTGCAGGGTGGAGAGTGAACAGGCTTGGTGCATCAGGATTCGCAGCACTGTGTATGATACCGTTCGCTGCGTCTGTTGTTCTTTTCAGCGAAGTTATGGCGCGGAAGATCTCGCTGTAGTTGTAGCCAAGGTTGGTCAAATGGGTGTAGAACAGATCTGTGTCGACATCCGCGAAGTTGACGCCTGGTGGAGGTCGTTCAGGCAATGCGACAACAGAAGGCTCCCCAAGACACAATTTGAGCAGTCCACTGGCCATGGACGTGAGATTGCCTGAATCTTTGTTCTGGCAAGCAAAACAGGAAAAGTCGGCGAAGACAGATCTCTCATTGTTGCTGTTGTCCGTCGTAACATTGGTGAGACTGAATATAGTCTCAACGCCAGCTGCCTCGTCGTAAAATGCCAAAGCCCGATGGATGCTGAACTCACGAAGTTCAATCAAGCGAACTTCTTCGCTGGGCGCAAGTACTCTTGACGATTCAATGGCCATTGCAGCGAATCCTGCAGCTGGGAAGAGTGTCTGGCCTTGTATCTGATGACCTCGGAGCCAAGGCATTTCTGTCGGCTTGAGGAAGTTCCTCCAGCGGTACTCGCCTTCCGTATTGTCAGCAGTTCTAACACCCAATAGCTCGTGCGTCGCATCTTCTCGCAGGCGAATGGCTTTCGATTCTCGGGCCTCATTCCAATAAGTCCGCTCATGGTCCCAAGTATAAGACGGCAAGTTCTTCGACAACGTGTCTCGAGCCCCTTCGCTGAACAACTTGTCGTAGCTCGTGAAGTCGACAACGGCGGGCCCCAGAGTGCTCCAAACAAAGCCTAGACCATCGGAGAAAGCTTCAACGTCGTTGTTTCCTCGACTCAAGACTCCGGAGTATGGAACGGGATTACCAACGACGTCTTCGACGGTCATCATTGCAGGGCCTTTCAGTGCAGGATGCGGCCCGACTTCTAAAGCGATTGCAGGAGCTCTACCGTCGGCGACGGCAGCCTCGACAGCCTGGGAGAACAGTACCGGCTTGAGCATATTGTTCATCCAGTAGACGGCTTTAAGATCATCGACGTTCTGCATGTCCATTTTCTGGCCACCAAGCACAGAGGAGAACCAAGAACAAGACCCAGACGGAGTCTTAATATCGATCTTGCAATGTTCCAAAGAACGTTGGTAAGGACCAGAACAAGGATGCATGTGATGAGAATGGTATGCCGTGTCAACCTTCAAGAGCCTGGCGAACTTGCCTTCGTCTTCCAGAATTTCCTTGGCCTGCTCCACAGCTTCTGCGTTACCGGACAAAGTAACGCTTGCTGACGAATTACTGGCGGCGACTTGTAGCTTTCCTTCGAATTCGGGAAGGGCGCAGAGTTCGCCGGCGTCCTCCATGGATGTTCCTACTGCAAGCATAGCGCCAGATTCGTTGTCAGGGCCGCGAGCAAGTTTGCTGTACACGCCTCTGTAGTAGGCAATGCGGATTGCGTCACGCGCACATATGAAACCGGCTGCGTAAGCGGCGGCAATCTCTCCACTGGAGTGACCGACAACATTATCGAATTCGATACCAGCCTGGCGGAGAAGGTCCACTAGGACGACTTGAACTGCTGTGCACAGAGGCTGCGAGAACTCCCCCTTGCTAAGGCGAGACGACGTTGCTGGAGCAAGCATTTCAGTCTTGAGAGACCAGGTGGGACGGTCTGCCTCTGGGAGCTCTGCCAGGGACCTTTCGAGCTTATCGACGATGCTCTCGGCGAAATTTGACGCCAAGATTAGCTCTTTACCCATAGTAGCCCATTGGGCACCTTGGCCAGTAAAGACACCCAAGATTCCGCGATGCTTCGTAATTGGTCGAGTCGCAATGGAAGCAGATCCGGAAGATTTCTCCTCGAGTTTGGCTTCGATTTTGGAAGCAAGATTTTCTGCGGTAAGAGCGGAGAACGATGCTCGGAAAGGAAACGCCGATCGTCGAGACAGCGTCAGAGACATATCTCTAAGGTTGAAGCCGACGTTTCCGCGCAAGAAAGCAACGTAAGTCTGGAGCTGGGATATGAGAGATTTCTCCGAAATCGCTGAGAAGGTAAACGGCGTGGCGACAGTAGAGACCTGCTTGCTAACCTCGTTAGAAAAAGTGTCGTTGGGCTCATAATTCTCAATGATCGCGTGTGCATTGGTGCCACCAAATCCTACAAACGGTCGCACATGTCAGTACTGGAACCCTTGATAAGGATGATGGAAATTACCAAAGCTGTTTACACTAGCCCTGCGGGTGCCCCCCTCAGGTAGCGTAGGCCATGCCTGTGCCGCTATTGGCACTTGTAAATGGCCATAGAATGGCTCCAGGTCGGGATTGAGAGTGTTGAAGTGCATATTAGGAGGGATAATTTTGTTTCGGATGGCCATAGACGCTTTCAGAAGGCCGGCGATACCAGCAGTACCCTCTGTGTGCCCAATGACAGTCTTGATAGAGCCGACAAAGAGAGTCTCGGTAGCATCCGTGGTGTTCTCCTGAGAGAAGAATGCCTCGTGAATGGCTCTCGCCTCTTGAGGGTCACCCGCCTTAGTACCGGTACCGTGAGCTTCGAAAAATTGAGGTCGATCAGCCTGCTTCGCCAGGTCCAAGCCAGCTCTGGCGTAAGTCTGACGGATCAAACTGGCCTGGGCTGTGGAGCTTGGCATAGTAATACCAGTGGTGCGGCCGTCTTGGTTGACACCGGTTTCTCGGATCAAACATTCAATGGTATCACCATCTGCTATAGCAGCACTGAGGGTCTTGAGTACAACAGCTGCAATACCCTCTCCTCGTGCATAGCCATCCGCATTGGCGTCCCACATTCGAGAGCGGCCAGTTGGGGACAACATGTTGAGGTTGCTCTCGGCGATGTACATCTCTGTCAAAGGTCGAAGCGATTAGTAAACAGTAACTAGAACCGGCATTTACAAAATCAAGAAGACTTACTGGGTCCGAAAATGAGATTGGCCCCAGCAGCGACTGCAACGCGAGACTCGCCGCTCCTGAGAACTTGAGCAGCCTGGTGGACAGCAACCAGACTGGAGGAACAGGCAGTGTCAATGGTCATTGATGGACCCTTCCAGTCGAAGAAGTAAGAAATTCGGTTTGACATAATGCTGCGGGCACTACCAGTTGCAGCATAGGTCGGAATTGACTCCGTATCGTGATATACGATCTCGGCGTAGTCATCGCACATTACACCAACGTACACTGCGGTTGGCGATCCTTGCAAGGCTTCGATTGTTTGGCCAGCGGACTCGAGAGACTCGTATATAGTCTCAAGCAGTAAGCGCTGTTGCGGATCAATACAGTCCGCCTCTCCTCCCTGGATACTAAAGAAGTGGGCGTCAAAGGCGCGGGGGTCCTCTGAGAGAAAATAGGACTCGCGAACATTGCTTGCGCCATGATGATGGCCATCGACGTTGTAGAAATTCTCCGCCTTGAACCTGTCAATTTTTGTCAGGACATCACGCGGTTGATGCAAGAGCTCCCAAAGTTTGGAGGGCGATGTCGCTTCTCCGGGGAATCGACAGCCACTTCCAATGACCGCGATAGGCTCGTTGAGTTGAGTCATGTCGTAAGCGTAGGAGTAAGGACTGGGTTTTTCGGTTCTATTCTAGAGGAGGACTAGAGTACTATTGGATTCTAGACTGTGGGTATCCTAAGACTGTGTGACACAGCGCGAACTAGTCAGCTATTCAATAGGGGTTTTACCTAGAGAGTGGAATATGTCTTTCTATATGACAGAAAGATAGAATATGTTGTTTCTGTGGAGTTGCCTTTGAAGCCGGAAAGGTTTATTCTGCGTGTCTGAAGGAGTTTCCTCGGTACCTGCACGAGTTATCCTGTTCTGACTGGGGACCGTACCTGGGTAGTAGAGTGATCTGTTTGGCGGGAGACAATAATCTCTGCAGAAACAGTGTCCTATTTCTAAGACCCAAGGGTTCGTCGTGCGTGGGTGGAAAAGTTTCTTCTTCACCTGTGTAAGTTATTTATTTATGTGCAAGGGGCTTACCTAAAGAGTCAAGTGACTAGTTCAGTACGGTAGAAGGATGTGGGGGGATTGACTTCGTCTGAAAATTTTGAGAGTTGAATCTCTGTGGCAAATAAATACCTACTCTTGAAGTGTATACAAGATGATTTCGCTTTATTCGCAGCAGAACTGTCCATATAAAAGACATAGCACCTACCTTGACCACAGCGGCGTAGGCTCATTGCTGCGGTCGAGTTCTGATTGCTACAATGCCATACGTGGGAACAATGTGCCGACCAACGGTTCATCTCATCAGTCAAACGAGAGCTGAAACCGCGTCCTCCAACCGAAGGATGCAGATGAGCCTCCACCGGTGACATGAGACGGTAAGATCAGATACGACATTGAAACGGTCTCAGATCGCAATGACCTGCAGCGCGGGGAGATTATGCCACGTGAAGAATGCAGCTGAATATGTGCAGGCCTGAGGCGAAAGAAATGCACAGCAGGCATGCCTGTCGGGCCCAGAGACTCAGCACAACAAGAGGCCGGAGCGTTTAATGATCCTGAAGTTCCCTTATTGCGACATCATCCGTTTCGAGAGATATAGTGCTGACGGTTGACCTGAAAGAGCTGACCCATCTGTTTTTGTATTCATTTTATGCTTGTTTCATGTCATTGTCATGTCATGCTCATATCGCCCCCAGATTTTCAGTGGCGGAGTACGCTAGCAGAAATAGCATGAGTAGATATCTGGACCAATCAACTACTTTGCTGACTGCTATGAGATCGCGCTAGTAGGTGAGCTGAGCACCAAAACAACGTCGCGTCTCGGAAGTGCCCCCCTTGGCCCCGAAAGTAAAACTCGCACGCCGTAGCTCTGGAAGCGCGCCTATAGGCCTGCGAGGGCCCACCGATTTAAGAGCCTTCTACGCCTAGGGTTAGGGCTTGTGTTAGACAAGTGGGACGGGCGAGGCCATTGCGACACTGTCATTATCGCGTTATGTTCATAAAGGCAACGATTATGAACGCCTTCTGCAGTCCAGACCTACTGGGAGCCTGCTCTACCACTGCTTTCAGAAAGAGCATGGTGAAGAATGAAATGTCCAATAATTGACGTTACTTTGTTTGTCAATATTCAAGTTCCGCAGGTATTCTCCTGTTAGGATGTCTGAGTGCGTATGACTGTGAAAGCGATTTATAGAGAAACAGATAGAGAGACGGACACAAGTCAGACGCTGGTTCTACATTTGAATCGAAACACCAGTGCGCAGAATTCGCCCAATAGCCTACCTATGTCTCCCTGTGCTATCAAGCCGTAATCCTGATGCTACGATCCATCATGGCTTTTCCCCAAGCGCCATAGCCATCTGAACATAACCAGTGTCATAATCATCCACTCAACATCCCGCCAGCAATCTCTACCACCCCTCTACAATCTTCGCTTTGACCCAAATCCCCTTCAACGGCTTTGCCGAAAACGCTCCCCCGGAAACAACCACATTCTTTTCATCCAACTCCTTCTCGTCCCTCAACACAAATTCAAACCTCCCCACCCACGCAGCCACGACGCACGCCATCTCTGACCTCGCGAACCCAGAGCCAATACAGTTCCTCGGCCCATGCATAAACGACAGAAGTCCATACTTGCTGCTAGCACCTCCAGTGGCATCAGGCTTGCCTTCGGCCGTCATCCAGCGCTCTGGTCTGAACTGATCGGCGTCGGGGCCCCACTGGTTCTTGTCCCTGTTCGTGCCTGTGATGGCGACGATGATGCGGGTTTCCTTGGGCACGAAATGGCCGAGGATCGTGGTGTCGCAGGCCGCGGTGCGCGTGGTCATGGGAATGGGAGGCCAGTAGCGGAGGATCTCGTTGCAGAAGGCGTTCAGGAGAGGCATCTGGTCGATGTCCGTACTGGCGATGTTGGTGTCGCTGCTGAGAGGGCTTGGGAGGCTTTCGCGGACTTCGGCGCGGAGACGGGCTTGCCAGTCGGGGTGCACGCACATCATGTAGATCGCCCAGGTGATACCGACGGAGACTGTCTCGTGGCCGGCTGCGAGGAAGGTCATCATCTGGTCTACCATACCATCTTCAGCGATCTCTTGGCTCTTGACCATGATGCTGAGGATGTCGATGTCGGTCAGTTCTTTCCTAGCCAGCTTCTCCTGCTTGATACGGATCACATCGCGGCAGGTCGCTTTGATCGTTTGCGCGGCGTGTTCCATGGCGAGGTTGCGTTTGATGGGGATGATGTTTACAATCCATCCGGGAATGACGCCTTTCAGGATCGCAAATATTTGGAGTAGACGTGTAGGTTCGAAGACGATACGGTAGGTGCGGTTGAGGGGCGTTTCTGGGTCTTTAATTGCTCCGAAGTCCTTTCCCAGCGCTGCGAGTGTGATGACGTCTAAAGCGGCTCGCGATGCCCATTCTCCTATGTCGAAGGTGGAAAGTTCCTTCTCCTTCGATGTATCATTCTTCATCAACTCCGTCATTTTGTCTGTCACTTCCTTGGCTTTTTCCCAGAAGACCGGATACAGATCCTTGATGTGCTTGACAGCAAACGCCGGCATGAGAAGCTTCCTTTGTCGCTTGTGTTCGTCTCCATCTGCCAGGACAAGACCAGGACCGAGGATTTGCCCTCCGATGTACGTTAGCTGTCGAGGTTTGATAAATTCGTAGTTTCTCGTGCAAATCTCGGCAAGCGCTTTCGGGGAAGTGGTCACAAGTCGTTCGCTGTTGAAGATACCCAAGTAGCGGAATACACCGTCATGGGGGATTGTGCGTAGCCTGGAAAGACGGTTAACTGTCTTTACTATGAATTCTTGGGGTATCTATGCCATACCATTCAGCGGCCGGAGCGCCGTTGGCCTCTGAAAAGATTCGTGCTGCGTTACCGTTCCACCAACTTGCATTCTAAAATCATTAGTACGTCGTTCTCCTTGATCTTGCAGAAGACCAATTACCTCAGGACCTGGCAAATGCCTCAACGGCGAGAAGTATTTGGGATACAGAATGACTTTCCAGAAAGCCCATATTGAAAAGCACAGTGTCCAAATCTGAAAGAACGTCCCAACGAAGCTTGGCCGAGAGGAAAGCAGAATGTCTGGTTTGTAAGTGACAAGTGCGTATGCCACAAGAGCTGAGAAGCCAGTCACAGGTCTCACGGGTACATCCGACATTGTCGCGAAGGTCTGTCAAGATCAAAAAGCTCGCGAAGATACTGTTCAAATGAGAAAGGAGACTGCCACTTAGAAAGACAAAATATTGTATCTCCAAGATTTCGAGCCAAAAAGAGAATCCTGAATTCTTCTTCTTGATAGATTTGGGCAAGCAGCGAGACAAGCGCAAGAACACTGACTCAACGGAATTGACAGCGTCCGTACCTCGGCGTGAGGATCTTTGCTGACACCTGCTGTGCCAACATAGCAACGACAGCAGGACTTTTGCCTGAAACCATCTCGAAGCAGTGGTTCGATGTTACATGTGTCCCAAACACATTATTAGACACAGTTCAACAAGTCTGTCACGAATGACATTGTACTAGCGCAGCGCAACCCTCGCTTGTCACGCTTAAGGCGTAGACGCAGCCTTCGCTTATTTTTATGTGACGGCTTACTTCATGGAACACCAACTTGGTCATGCATAACATCAGCCGAAACGTAGGATTCACAAAGATGGCCTGTCTGGGGCTGATGTTTGGCCCCAAGGATCAAACCTTGTCAAGATCAAGCTTTGGTCTCGCAGATCCTGCCGACAAGGATCGAGTCGGGTCATTTGGGCTCGCCTCCTCCTTATGCATGCACCTCGCACAGGATTTGATCTCACAATACGAAACGATGGCGTGCCCGAAAAGACTCTGGCCGCGGGCTGTGGGGTGCGAAAATCTATGCTGTCAGGACTGAGCGTGCTTCTCAAGGACCCTGGAATTATACATTTGAGTCTTGGCTTTCCTTCTCCGTCTCTCATATCGCTCTATTGCAGTATTGTCTCGATCTTTTCTCTATTTACCACACTTCTGCCATCTTGAATCCCTACAGTACGATCGTATTTGAGTCCATTTTAGCAACAGCATCAAAGATGACCATCACATACCGCGATGGCGTCGCCATTCTTCAAGTCGTTGCCTTCGTACCAACTCTCGCCTTTGGCATCATACTGGCAATGCGTCACGGATTTGCCAAAAGCTCTGGCTGGGTCCTCCTGATTTCTTTTTCCATCTGCCGCCTCGTAGGCGCGATCTGCCAGCTTATAGCGATATCGCATCCGTCAACGGGCGTCTATACGGCCGCTATCGTCTGCATTTCCATCGGTCTCTCGCCATTGACTCTGATCTGTTTGGGACTGCTTACTAGAGTGTATGCGTTTCTCCCCTGCACAAAGCCGAATCAGTTCTAACATGCACAACAGAAACAACTTCATTCCCCGCCCAATACCACGGCCTGTTTTCCAAGGCATAAGCATCTTCAGTCTTGCTGGGATGAGTCTTGGTGTCTATGGCGGAATCAAAGCCAGCGAATCGAAAACCCCCTTCGTTCTGAACCCAGAGAGCAAAACCGCAGTTGCCCTCTTCACGACCGTCTTTGTCGTTGTGCTCATCGTCTTTGTCGTGCTCATGGCACAGATCGTATATGTGGAACCGGGAGAACGAAGACTTCTCTACGCGGTCGCCATGGCATCGCCACTCATCGCTGTCCGGCTCACCTACGGCCTGATTGTGGATTTTGCCCAGAACAAGCATTTCAGCTATTTTTACGGAAGCGTTACGATATACCTCTTCATGGCTGTTGTACCAGAGATCATCGCATGTGCAATCTACATCATCACCGGTGTCACTCTCCGAAAATTGCCAAAGGACGACACGGGCAAGCATGTGCCTCTCGACGACATGCCAGGCCACTATAGCCCCACCAGTACCACAGGGATCTGGCCGGGGGCTCCTATGGAGACTCAAGATCAATACGAGCAGCCAACCGCTGGCTCAACTCGGCTGCAGCCTGATTCACCGCCTCCAAAGAGAAAGGGAGGAGGGCCGATCTCGATGCTCTACTACTTGGGGAAAGACGCTTATCAGTCGAGGAGAGGCTGAAGCGGCTAACAGGCATGTGGTTGAGAATTTGTCATGTATGATAAGAGTTGCATAGCATTCTGGACCGCGTTTCATTTGTTCTGTTGGAATTAGAAAAGATGAACTTCATGATGGCCGGCGTAAGGAACGGTGGGGAAGAGGGATAAAATGGCCGCGCCAAGGTGCGGAGCGGCGCGATTACCCGTGGTGGACCCTAGCGGTCATGTAATTTAAATGAGTAAAAGTACTTTTAGGTATCACAATGTTTCCAGCCCTACAATCAATGACGACGGCTTTCTCATTTCAAAACGACGGTTGAGGCTTTCTTTGAATGTTGTCATTTTGCTGTTGCGAAGCTCTTGATGTCTGTGATGAGTTTCACTTCGATATTGGTATGCTGCCTCGTACAGAAAAGAAAAGATCTGATTGATCCGGCTGCGGCGTGAGGCTAGGGTCCGAGCTGTTACGTGTATTTCTTTCTTTTTGACGAAGGCGCATCTTGCTCTCCACGCAGATGCTACCATTCCAAGACTCAACAGCTTCACCGCCATCTCTGCAGTAATCGTTGGTCTAATGACACAGGGTCACGCAGTTCAGTTGTATCATCGTGCAAGATGTCGTGAGAATCTAGTTTCAGAGATCTCAGCCTCGCAGGAACCGGGCTTGCCGCAGTCATGCACCGCAGGTCAGCTTGCACCAACAAGACAAGTGAAGAGGCGGTCTCGAGCCCAGCTGAATGCAGCGTTGGGGCAATGGCAAGCGTCTCGACTAAATAACGTCTTACAGCATTGTTTCAGCATGTCTGGTCTATTGTTATGTCACGCCATGAAGGCACGGTAGATCAAGCTCGAATTTCTCCATTCATATTATTACAAGCGCTCCATCTCAGACACTGCATTTTCACCACTACAAACTTATCTAAAAGCCAGACGCTTCAACACTTACATCTTCATCTTAATCATTATGGCCAGACAGGACAACCTCCCATCCACCCAGACAGCAATCGTCGCTGGTCCCGCTGGCGAATTCGTTATCTCCCACGATGTCCCCGTCATCGACCTCGAGCCCGACGCCGTCATTATCAAAACAGCGGCGGTGGCTCTCAATCCCGCGGACACCAAGATGGTCGGTGACTTTGTCGTTCCCGGTGCCATCTTTGGCTTTGACTGCGCAGGAACGATTGTTGCTGTCGGTTCTGCCGTCAAGAAAGACTTAGTAATTGGTGATCGCGTCTGCGGAAGTGCAGATGGTATGAGCCGTCTGCGACCGCTGGGTGGAGGTTTTGCGCAATACGCTTCATTGCCTGGTGATATGGCTTTGAAGATTCCGGACAACGTTACCTCTGATGCTGCTGCTGCTTACGGCACTGCACTTGCGTCTGCGGGCATGGCGCTGTTTTATTCATTGAAAATTCCTGCAACATTGCTGGAAGAGCCTGCGAAGATCCCTTTTCCCGTTCTGGTTTATGGAGGTAGTACTTCTACCGGAACCATGGCTATCCAACTTCTCAAAGCGTATGATCCCCAATCACCCACAGAATATCGCTGGACAGACAGGCTAACGCGAATACAGATGTGGGCTCAAACCTATCACAACTTGCTCCCCTAAGAACTTCGCCTTCGTCAAATCTTTCGGTGCCGAAGAAGCATTCGACTACAACTCCCCCACTTGCGCCCAGGACATCAAAGCCTACTGCAAAAACCAGCTCGCCTACGCCCTCGACTGCATCACGCAGCAACAAACCATGAAAATCTGCTACGCCGCCATCGGCCGCGTAGGCGGACGCTACACCGCTCTGGACCCATACCCTGAGAACCAAGCTACCCGCAAGATCGTGAAGCCAGACTGGATCTTGGCCACAAGAATTACGGGCAAGGGCTGCACTTGGCCCGAGCCATATGGCAGTGCGCCGGATCCAGAGCTACGCGAGTTTGCGCACCCGTTCTTCGGGGTTATGCAGAAGCTGCTTGATGAGGGGAAGATCCGGCCGCATCCTGCGAGGCCGAGTCAGGGTGGGTTCGAGGCGCTTATTGAGGGAGTGGGGATCATCAGGCGAGGAGAGATTAGTGGTGAAAAGCTTGTTTATCGTCTTTCTTGAGCATGTATGGCGATTGTGATATTCTTGTCATTTGTGGAGGTTCTTGAGCGAAATGAAAGGGTGCACTCAATGTATGATAGGCTATGCGTAGGTGTGCTCAAATGGCGTGGCAATAATAAGGATCGGAGCAGAAGACTGATCAATTTTCATCTCAGAACTCTTGCTGGCGTATCCTAACAGGAAATTACGCCAATTGGTCGAAGCAGCAAATCTTTTGCTATATCTGCTCAGGATGATTACACCACTCTCTTCCCACTATGAAAATCGAACTCTGCAACTCTCGGTTTCCCCACTCAGAGTTGCCTTCCCCTATCAAAAAGACTGTCCTACTGAATAAACAATCTGAACCCGAGACCTTCTCTAAACTCGCTGAGCCGAATCTATCACAAGATATGCGAATACCTCAACCTCATCCCCAAACTCCGCGCCTCCAACACCTCCCAAACCCACCCCCTCTACCCCTCCACAACCACCCAAACCATCCAAGCCAATCCTCTCTACCCAGCCCTTGCTGTACCAAACCAAACCAAACCAAACCAAACCAACCTTCCACCCCCAACCCGTTCCAGCCCTACTCCTCCACCCCATGCGACGTTGCAGATCCCACGGGAAGCCTAAACCAGACCACGATCCGTGGCGTGTAAAACGGCCTTGCCTTACCGCAGTTGTGCAGGAAGCCTGACTGACGAAAGGGACCGGACGCCGGAGATGGGCCATGACGGCCGACCGATCGATCGATGACGGTTTCCGGCCCCCGCACATCCGTCATGCGCTAGCATCTCACGCTGACGTGCATCCTTTACCTACCACTTTAATCCGACCTCGCTTAGAGGGAAGAAATAAGCGGCGGGCGCAGCTCGTGACTGCGTGCGTGACGTGACGTGACCATTTTTTGGGGCTCTGGCTGCAGGGATTGCGGAGGTGCATCAGGTGACCGGATCGGTGGTGCGTGACGGATGTGAGATCGGCGGGGCGGGGCTCTGATGCGGGTACGCGGGGTTTGGCGGACTGACTGACTGCCTTGCGGTGGTCTTGGGGGATTGCGTGGGTCTTGGCCTTGTGAGTCGCTTTGGTGTCGATGTTGGCGGGTGGAGTGTACTGGAATTTGTGTTGCGGTAGGGATGTTGGGGGTGTGTGTTTGGGTTGTTGGGGGGAACCATTGGAGTTTATTTTTACTGGTGGCTTACATGGCGGAGATTGAGGTGCATGACTGGATCGAGCCGTCTGGTGCCTACATCTGGGATCTGCGGAGTGGTTTGGTTCATTGCACGTGCGATGCCGAGATGCGTGACCTGAGGGAGAGTTGACCCTTTTCGATCGGCAATGCATGTCTTACTAAGACGAGACGATGCTCTTCCCAATTTACCCATCTCCCAATGGTGTATGACCGACATCAATGTCCTACTAACACCATCCCTAAGATCCCCACGAACACCCCCATCCCATGATCTCCCTTCGGAGACTTTCTGTGCTCCTCCCACGTGCCATACCAACGTGGTGACCAGCTCCGGCACACGTGGGACTGCATGACCGGGTCGGCGGCCTTGGCATGCTGAAACACCGAATGAATATCCGACTTGGACCCTCTTCCTAGAATAGAAGCTGGATTCGTTGTACATCATCACCCTTACCCAACGTTGTATGGCACGGGTCAATACCTCTCATGGGTCGGGCGGTGTGTGTGATTGAGATGGGTACCTCAGTCAAGCAGGATGAGATTGGCCCCCGTTGATGCTTACTTGTGTTGTATCAATGTCCAAAACAGGGGGAGAGGGGAAGACGGTGAGCACTGCCATTCGTTGTGAGCGCTCTGTTGTCTTTATGTAACATACCAACGTGATGACACGGGCGAGAATCCTGTGCGAACAGGAGATGGGTCTGACTGTCAACGGTGTCTTGCCGATGTGAAACAGGAAGTTGTTGAACTGCAACCCTTGTAAGTAAGTCTGAACATGAAGGCTGTGAGCAGAGATAGACAAGGCGTGGCGAGGGGAAAGAAATGGCCGTCCCGCACACACAATTACTCCCCCCAACGTTCAAAATTTCCCTTCTACCTCGAGTTTGAAATCAATCCAAACTCTCAACCCTTCTACACATCTCTCCAAACCATCACCAAGTCCCTCACACCAGAGCTCACAACAAACCTACCCACCATCCGCACTCACTCACTCACTCACTCACTCACTCACACCTTCGCCACCTCCACCCCCCGCACCACCATGCCCCCCCCCCGCCCCTCCATCCTCTGCCTCCACGGCTCCGGCACCTCCGCCGCCATCTTCTCCGCCCAAACGCGCCGCCTCCGCTCCGCCCTCCGCCCTTACTTCGACCTCATCTTCGTCGACGCCCCCATCCCCTCCCCCCCAGGCCCCGGCGTCCTCCCCTTCTTCAGCGACTCGGGCCCCTACTACAAATGGTTCTCCCCCACCACCACCACCACCACCACCACCACCACCGTCGAAGCGCGGCAGCGGACCACCTCGGAAATCGCCGCCGTCACCGCCGCCATCGAGCGCGGGCTCGCGAAGCAGGGACGCCGGGTGGCGGAGATGGCGGGCGTGTTGGGGTTTTCGCAGGGGACGGTCGCGGCGGCGCTGCTGTTGTGGTTGGGGCGCGGGGGCGAGGGCGGCTGGGCCGGGTTGCGGTTCGGGGTCATGCTGTGCGGCGGGTGCAGGGCCGACGTTGTGGGCATGATTGGCGACCGGTTGGCCGTCCCGACGGTGCATCTGCACGGCTTGGCCGATCCGTTTCTGCACGCCAGTCGCTTGCTGACGGAGTGTTTCCGCCCGGAGTTTCTGACGGTGATGGAGTTTGAGGGCGGCCATCATTGTCCGTCGGGGGAGGGGGATGTGGATCGTTTGGCCGGGTTGGTCGTGGAGGTGGGTGGGGGGGGGGGGAGGAGGGGGAGGGGGGGCGGGGGGGTGACGGCGGCTTTTGGTGTGGTTTGAGGGCTCGGGTTGAGGGTTGAGGGATTGGGTTTGGGGTGAGGTTCTTTTAGCAAGGGTTTTATAGGAAAGGGAATGCTCTGATGGCTAGGATCTGGCGTTCTTTTTTCTAATCACTTTTTCGAGATTTAGATAGCTCTTAAGACATTTATTTCCTTTTTCTCAGATCAAAAACATGCTACCAAGCGTGACCAGTGCTCGGTAGAAGCTGCTGCAGGATGAATCACCACTTATGAAAAATAGGTATAACCCAAGTGACAGAATCCGACGAGGATTGATTTTGGTAGAAAAGCTGAGATGTTGTCACTTCCGAGAAATACTTGCCTGTTCGCTAGTCTCCTGTTCAACTTATATTCAGATGAAAGTATTCATGTAACGCAATTACTCCATCGCTAACTTCGCAGTAGCGATTTCAAAGAAATCTATAGTAGCGCCCCGCGATGCCCAGTGATACGTACAAACTCAGGAAACATACTTTTTGTTTACGGCTAGTATTCCACCCAACACCGTGCCATGCCATTGTCTGTTTAACTCAAATGACTCGTGAGCGACATACCCGCATCGATCAGCAATCCAGTACCGTTGATGTAACTTGAGGCAGGACTACATAAGAAAATGATCATGCCTGCAACCTCCTCCGGCATCGCCATCCGACCAACAGGTCCAAGGATCTGCTTAACTCCTTCTGGGTTTGAACTCTTGTTCAACGCGTGCTGCATCATGGGTGTCGAGACGAAGGACGGGCAGACAGCATTGACGCGGATGCCTTCCGCTCTGCAATCAAAAGCTATATCATACCGGTAGTGGTTAGACCCACCAACACACCAGAGAGGAACAGATGACTTCGACAAGGAGCGATAGCTTACCAGCTGCCTTTGTCATTCCCAGCACTGCGAACTTAGAACTGATGTATGGCAGGCTTTTAGGTCCCGCGATGTACGAATTGACGGATCCAAGGTTGACAATGCAGCCGCGACCCAGATCTCGCTCTCCATTGCGACTTTGGTACTTGACGCTCTCCTGCGTAAGCATAGCTTTCGACACAGCGCGCATGCAGAGCATAGTGCCCTTCGTGTTGATCGCAGCAATCTTGTCAAACTCGTCTATAGAAGCATCGTAGATACGGTCTCGCACGTCCATCGCAACCTAGCATGCAAGTTGTTAGACTTAGGACCCACTAGCATTTAGCAGGATCCTCAATACCATTCAACAGTGGGTTCAATTGCTTACTTACGCCGGCGCTGTTGACGTTATAATCTATCCTGCCAAACTCCTTCATTGTTTGGTCAACCATCTCTTGAACGCTTGATGGATCCGTCACATCTACTGCGACGGCAATAGCGCGATAGTTGGGGGTTTGGGCATAGCACTTGCTCTCCTCGGCTGCTTCTCGAGCTCCTTGCTCATTGCGGTCTGCAAATACTATGCCAGCAACGCCAGCCTCGGCCATGGAAAAGCCGGTCTCTCTGCCTATTCCCGAGGCTGCCTATGGTAAGTGAGAACACATCATGTTAGCCGGCAACTCCAGGGCTGAGAGGCTTGTAGAAGGACTGTAGACGAAAATGTGTGAACTTGCCCCAGTGATCAATGCAAATCCGGTGATGCTGTATGCCGTTGGTGCTGTCATGTTCACTGTCTTTTTTCTCCACATAATGAGATCGTTATTGCTCGGGAAAAATTGGTTCCACGATCTGAAAACTATGAGGGAGCGAAACCAGTATCGATTTCTTCACCGCCATATGTACAGCCTCGTACTTCAGCTCATGGAATTTGAAATTACCGATGAAGGTTGCAATTTGTTGTGCCCGTTATACGCATGGCGAGCCCCCACAAGGATCAGGTACTGAAACCGCCCCATGGAGCATCACAATTACACATGATGGTTCTCACGTAGCATCAAACCGCAGGCATAGACCCTGTATTCTAAGTTTGTTTCCGCCCTGTCAGATATCTTGACTCATGCTGACTCGGATCGCGCGACAGCTAGCAAGGTCTGTAGGAGAGAGATCGGCCAGGCACAGCCATTCAGCGCGTCTACATCCGGTACCAATCACCTCGTCCGCTAAAAGTGAAAAGAGGAATCCTGTGCGATCGAATTCCTTCCGCGAATGAATCCTAAGAAAGACAAAATTGGTGATATGAGACTCGTCTCACAGCATGTGTATTCACGGTGTTTCAGGAGGCGAGAGAGGATAGGAATACCTGAGGCTTGAAGATTTTAAGGCCACAGTAATCCACAGACGGCACTAAAATTTAGTGCCGGGCTAGTCGACCGTCACAGCCCTGGCCTGGTGGGCCTAATAAGGCTCGGGGGGCGCGAAAAAAAATAAAGGGGGGATAATTTTTTCCCAAAAAAAAAAAAAAATTTTTTTTAAAAAAAAAAAAAAAAAAAATAACCCCCCCCCCCCCCCTAAAAATTTTTTTATTTTAAAATTTATAAAAAAAAATAAAAATAAAAAAATAAAAATAAAAAAAAAAAAAAAAAAAAAAAAAAAAAAATTTAAAAAAAAAAAAGAAAAAAAAAAAAAAATTTACCTTACACTGTGCCTTGCAGCCTCACACGCGACACTTTCGTGTTTTATCCTGTCTTTTTGGAGACCAATTGAAAGGATTCACTGACTGTCTCTTCGCACTGCGTGGGGTGATACAGGGTCGTTATGTCGAGTGTTGAGTAATGTTTCATGATCTTTGCTGACTGGGCAAAAAGAGAGTAAATCATGAAAGAATCTCATCGGTCCTTCCTCCAAAACACTCAACGCTCAGAGGTGCATAGACCAACAAGTTTAAGCATAGTTCTTACGCGAAAACCAACTATTAGACGAAGGAAGAGAAGCTGCTTACACAGTTTGTTGGCAGAATAGCACGCCTGAGACATTACAAGGTTCCCCGAAACTAACATGGAAGGTGGCGCCAAGCTGAGCCTTTACACGAACGTTATGCGAACCTCTTTATTACATGATCTCCCAATACAAGTTTCATACGCCTTTGCCTCTTCTTCCTCCGGGCGGTGTACCTTTCGTGGTTACATTGCCCGCTGAGATGAGACTGTCCATCGTGTGAGGCGAGAAAGAGTTGGATTGGCTCACATAACATGTCTGCCCGCCCATCTATGTGCTGATGGGGCCCATCAGACACCCACTCCATGAGTCAATCGCTCCCAATGCACAATGCAGAATGATGCCATCGGAGCAAACTACACCTCTCCATACGTACCCCATCACACTCGACGAGATCGATCCTCAACACCTGCAGCCGTGCAAAGGCGGAGAGTTCTCAACCGGATTGCACAGCAAAACCATCGTGAGTCCAGTCTCCCAATGGGATGAGTTGTGTCACTGACGTGGATGAGCAGGACGAAGAGTCAAGGAAAGATCGAAAGAAAACTCGGCAGCAAGCGACAGTGACCGAGACAATACTAAAACTTCGACACATCCTCCACCCCAATTATCGCACGACATAGCCAAGAGTATGGATGTCTTGGGGACAACTACTGCAGCCCCTTGGTATGGTTGGCCACAAGAAGCTCCCACATTTGGAAATGACGGGAATACGTTAATGTTCGATCAAGATTTCACGAGTATGTCACGCTCAGTCGTAAACAACAGAACATCCGTTAATGTTTTTGAGTTGTACAGAGAATACCAATTGGTGCAATTGCAGTGCTATGTCTGGACCATGTGATTTTCATCAAGAGCAGATGAAATCAAAATGCTCATCTGCCATTGCAACGCCGAAAGCCAATCCAAATCTTCGCCAGGCCACTCAAATCCAAATGGACCCCTCAATTCCGGTCATGAGACCGAAGCCTGCACTACAAGTCCCCACCTCGTCCACGCAGACGTCTTATTCACCCCCAGAGAGAATACCATCCCGCAAATCGTCAACGAACAATTTTCACTCACCTCCGGAAAGTGAGCCCTCGCAAAAGGCCAAGAGGCACCGAGGCCATACACCAAACACAACCACCACATCCAGCCGCAACAGCAGCGCAGCAACCCAGTTCGAAGGCAATAAAGATACTAACACCACGCGCTTTCAGACCATCATCGACGCAGTCCAAGCGGCGGGCTTTGAAAGTTTCGATGCTGCCGTCTCAGGTTACTATACCCATGCCTTCGAAAAAAATTCCGCCGCCGACCTGGCGCAAAAGACAAGCCGTGCCCGCCGTCTCGCCGGAGTAATGACCTCACTGCACGAGAGCTCCGCTACCTGGACGCTCTGGGAAGCAAGAGGTTACCGACATCAAGTAGTCGAAGCCGCCGAGAGTATCTACTCGTCGGAAGTCACCCGGCTTGCCAATAGGCGGAAGAGGAAAAGAGGTCACAGTATAGCTCCCGGTCGCGACTCTCGCAGTTCCTCCGAATTTGAAGGTAGTTCCAGCGAATTCGAGTCTAGCACTCCCTCCACCACAAGCACCAAATCTGGGCACGGATCAGAAAATCCCCGAACTTCGCTCGGGGAATTACAGCGCATCTTTCAAAACAAGGTCCGCACCACTCACCCCATCCTTTTCCGCTCAAGATATCAAACAACGTTTACTAATTTGGCAAAATAATCTAGCTCCCAAATCTCTGGGCATTACTGACGGAGCTCGCGGGAACACAGGGGTTGCAATGCGAGCGGGCCGCGCTGGCGGTTGCGTTGCTGCTGAACAATAACAATAATAGTAATAATGACAATACGCGCCCATGTGGGGAGAGAGATCTGAGAGAGCTTATCCTCGATTTGGTGCATCAGACCGAGTGGAAGAAGGATATTTCTGATGGTAGGAGGGGTTTGTGCGATTACTGATGGCTTTATAACGACGCACGGTCGCTTGGTTTGTAAAAATATTGTATGGCTCTCCGGGAATCGGGTTGGCTTTTTCGATACCATGGAGCGACGGCTTTCGTAAAGCGCTCTGGTTGTACGAGTAGCCAGATATTTGAAAATACGAGACCCATGTTCCCAATGGTTTAATAAAAAAATCTTTTGCCCAATCCCCCATCGAACCCGAACAACAACCCCTTATCCTCCACCTCCTCACTCACGTCCCCCAAAATAAAAAAAAACTATCAAAACATCCCCAGGTCCTGCATTCCAGTCTCGCATATGATGTTCGGAACCCATCCATCCATCCATCCAACCAACCAACCGCCGTCCCAACTCAGCTCTCAGCCTCCGTATACTATACTGCGTCCCTCCTCTGGCCCTTGGGGGCGCCCGAATCGGTGCTCCGCCATGGCACGGACGGTCTCAGCCTGGGTTCGGGATTGAGCGTGCTGGGCGCGTACTAGTACCTGCAGACTGGTCCGGGCGGGGCTGAGGCGGTGGGGTTTGGGATGAGGGCGGGTGGGCGGGTGGGGGCTCTTTTTCAAGAGAGGTTGTTTGGGGGTTTGTGGTTGGGGTTGGGGTTGGGGTTGGGGTGTGGGGTGGGGTGTGTGGGTGTGGGGTGGGGGGGTGGGTGGGTGGGTGTGGGTGTGGGTGTGGGTGGGTGGGATGGGTGTGGGTGGGGGGAGGGAGGGAGTAGGGAGGGGTGAGGGGAGGGGGTGGGAGTGGATGGGTGGGGGGGGAGGGGGGGGGGGAGGGAGGGGGGGGAGCGGGGTATGCGAAAAGGGTTAGATGATTGTATGTATGCAGGTCTGATTGCAATAGCGCTCGTTCGCATCCTCATCCTCATCCCCATCACCCCCACCCCCACCCACGGCGACGCAGGAAAGATCCCCCACACGATCTATCCATCCATCCACCTCCCCACCAACCCCACCCTCACCCCCTCCAAACTCGCCGTCGTCAGCCCAAACTGCTCCCTCCACGCCCCGCCGTCCCGGTCCTCGACGGCGCCAAACTCCTGGCACAGCCGCACGACGGCGTACGCGGCCTCCGTCAGGGCGAACTGCTGCCCGACGCAGATGCGCGGGCCGCCGTTGAAGGGCAGGTAGTTCCAGCCGACGCGCAGCGTGTCCCAGCGGTCGGGCCGGAAGAGGTGGGCGGTGGGGCCGTAGGCGGGGGAGAGGCGGTGCATGGCGTGGACGGAGTAGGTGACGCTTTGGCCGGCGGCGATGTGGATGGGGGCGGTGCCGGCGGGGCCGCCGCCGCGGGGGAGGAGGGTCGGTTTGTTGGCGAAGCGGGAGTTGGTGGGGACGACGGGGTAGAGGCGGAGGGCTGGGTGGGGCGGGTCAGAAGGGGGTTGTGGTCATGGGGGAGGGGAGGGGACTTGCATTCGTTGAGGAGGTTTCTGACGTATTTCATGTTTCGGAGGGTCTCGTAGTCTGGTTTCTCGCCGTTGAGCTCGTCGACTTCGGCTTTGAGTTTGGACCAGATGTCGGGCCGGCGGGCGAGGACGTGGAATGTGTTGCTCAGGAGGCTGGCGGTGGTGTCTCGACCCGCGAGGAGGATGTTCAGGAGCTCGTCTCGTAGTTGTCGTGGGTCGTTGGTTACTTTCGCGAGCTCGTTCAGGAAGACGTAGCGGCCTGGCGGCTTCTCTTGTGCATCCTTGCTCTCGCGATGAGCTAAGGCATTATATACGAATTTATCTGCGAAATCGTGCACGGTCTTGCATGCCTTGTCGAATTTTCTGTTCGCAGAAAACGCCAAGAACCGTAGGGGGCTTCGTCGATAGAGGATTTGGCCTTGTGCGTAGTCGAATGCGCTGGCGAAAGTTTGCTGCTCGGATCCTTGGGGTGCAAGCATTGAGTTTACAGACTCGCCAAAGAGAAATTCGGTCGCGCTGTCTAGGGTGAGCCGGAAGAAAAGGGGCTGAAGGTCGACTGTGGACCCGTCGCGGGGTATCAGGCTGATGAGTTCTTTAATGTGGACTTCGAAGGTGTTCAAGTCTTGGATTTGGGCTTTGGAGAAATTCGGCCGGACCAGTGCCTGTCAGCAGTAAAGTCAGCACTGCTTTCAAATATATACAGCAGGTGTTTGCACATACACGGGAATGCTCCCAATGTGCGCCATCAGTCGTAAAGATGCCTTTTCCTAATAGTGGTCCAAACGTGTGCAGTCGATGCCCTAGTCCAAAATCATTAAAATTTGTTGCAAGAACCGCCTTGATGTTCTCCGGATCGATGGTGTTGACGAAAACACGACCCATTGCCGTAGAAGACCATGTCATGCCGTGCTCCTCGTATCGCTTCAGCGTGGTTTCAAGTAGCGTTTTATTCCTGGCAGCCTCCATTCGTTCTTTAAAGTAGCCATAGCCAATTATGCGCTCTGATTGAGGAATTCGATGAACTGGCTCACAGCCGTGTGCTTTTGAGAAGGCGCGCGCGGAAACGTAGGCGATGATTTTCTGAACAATAACGTAGCAGGTCAGACAGGAAAGACTCAGAAGAACATAAGCATGATAACCCATTTCTACGGCGAGTGGCACAAGGCAAGCGATACTCTTGTCGCTGCTAGGAAAATGAAGACAGCGTTGAGCAGAAAGCAAAGCGATGACGAGTATAAGACGTGGAAGTCGCGGATAAATCTCTCAGCCTTACTTACATCTCGAAAATCCCTGAGCGGATCCGCAGAGGGGTGTCGGTCTCTGGTTTACACAACGTTGAAGTCCGTGGTATTGGTTGTATGGCGTATGCATGAGATGACTTGCGCAACTTGTCTGGAGCTTAGCACACTCATGTTGGAGATTGGGAGGATTGTGTTTCAGCGAACACGTGTCACGTGATCAAAGCTGGCTGACAGTCATGCCACCTCAGCCTCGGTTGGGACCCTTCAGCCCAGGCTCGCTGTCATTGATTGTCATCTTGTGTATAGCCAATATCTGTTCTCTTATGGCAGAGCCCTGCATTGTTGTCATCCAGATAGACCGGACTGGGCTGAACAGGACAGCCTTATTGGTGAAGCTGGGCTTATTTCCACCCGTGACCAGATTGTCTGCTGACAAATAATCCAATTCGCTTGGTTGATAGAATAAAGATAGTAAATCTAGTACATTCACAAATAAATGTTGGATGGTCTTTTGATGGATGTTTCGAAATACTCAGGTATCTAGTGTTTATGCTAGTAGTGATGATTAAAACACTAGCGTTACCGCAGTGCCAAGGTAAGAGGTAAAATATCGTCATCAGCCCCCACGCTAATCAAATTTTCATTTACATGTATCATAATCTCTCCCCATCATACACAATTTACTTACGCACTCTATCAACATTGATTCTCTCAATCATCTGGCGTAGATGAGCTGGAGTCTCTCCTCCCACCGCAACCGATGAAATGCTGTACTTGTATCTCCCACCTGGGCCTCCCGAACCATTGCACCACCCACAAATGACAATCTGACCTTCTTGGATCTCTTTCTCGAACCGGCGCTGGAAGTCATCTCGCGTGCCTTTGAGGGCCAGTGGGTAGAGTAGAGCGGCGTCATGGAAGCCTCGCTGAATCGAAAAGTGCTTTTTGAGAAAACCCAAGGGATAGCTGGTGGGAACTCGCACGTTCAGATCGATGACGAGCTGTTTGCCCTTCAAATCTGTCATCACATCTGCGCCGAGGGGTCCGTAGTATCCTTTCCGGTGCATGTAGGTGGCCATTTCTTGGGCGATGTCGGCGTACTGTTTGCGAAGATTGTCTTGTTGCTTATAATCAATGCAACCGCCATCCCAATGTCCGTGGTTATCGAAGATCTGTTCAGTACAGCCCGTGAAAACACTTCGTCCCTTTTTGGTGACGAACAGAGATAGCGCTACAGCTGTTCCTGGAATCGTCTCTTGAAGCACGAGACTGGCGGGTCGCATGTGTTTGTTCGACTCGTTTATTTGTTGGATCATTCTTTTGACTTCGACAGTCAGTAGCCCGATGGCCTCTTGCTTTTCTGCATCTGTTTGAACCACGAAGACGCCTTGACTACCAAGAGATTGCGGAAGTTTGATGACAAAGGGAATTGGTCGCTCGATGATAGGCTTCATCATGCGCTCGACCTCATCCTTCAAGAGGCTTTCGTCATTCACCTGGTCGGGCTGTAGGTTGCAATCGATGACATCCGACTCAGGAGTTGGGATTCCTGATACAGCCAGTCCTGTCTTTGACAGAAGACCGTAATGCTTCTCGGGGTCGAACAAGTGTGGAAGGTGAACAAGACAGTCCATTGGATTCCAAATAGCAATTTTGTCATCGGGGCTCGTAATGATTTCGGTTGGTGAGGAGACGAACCGCAGCTCTGGACGTTGGGCCGGTGCCAGCTGGTCGAAGACTTTGAGAGCATCCGCTTGATGGGTTTTTATCGGTGACAGCATGTGCTCTACCTGGGCCGCTTCGTCTCCAGCGGCATCGACGTCGAAGAGGACCAGAGGCATGTTGCCAGAGACGAAACCGTACGATTGAGGCCCAGCTTGCAGATTTGTTCGTGCCAAAACGTTACTGTCCATTTTGAGTGCTCTAGGAGATTGATAGGCAAATCTTGTTGAAAGTGGGATAGAAGAGGTCATCTGTGTTGTTGCCGATGGTATGGCATAGACTTGGATAATGTTTTGGCCGTGGGGGTTATCCAGAGAGTAAAGTTCGCGGAGAGTAGTATCCAGCTCAACCGCCGGCAGTGTATGAGCAATTTTCCGGTATGTCCTGGCTGAGAACCTGCTCAACAGCACTGAAAGCCATTCCTTGAAGAATGAGAATGGGTACAGACTTTGCGGCGAGAATGTGAGGATAAAATTTGGGACAAACATGGTGAGTGTGGTGCTTTCAGTCACATGAGATTTCTTGAAAGCGGACGAAGCGCAAATATACAGTTCTGATGCAAAGTCTCAGTCAAACTGAACCCAAAGGACTCTATGCTCTACAAATACAGCAAATGTGTTTTCTTCGTCTAGTACGTCTGGAAATTGTGAAAGGTGTAACCATATCCCTATTTTTGGTACTCAACTGAAGCAAAGCCACTCCTGTCATGCTTGTCATGGTCAGCGTTTCAAGCTGCAAATGAATAAGCGAAAAGCGTAATCTAAATCTGGTTAGCTGTACGAACTGTGAACCGCATGTCATGCATCCGAGCCAGCTCTGTGGGGCCCAACATTGTTAGTAAGGTCAATAGCAAGGCATGCCAGCCTGTGAAGATCTACACAGCAAGGGTCCTACAACCGGATCCTACCAAAACCTGAGACCCGACCGAACACCGAGGCAAAGTGCCCACAAGGAAGGATCTGAGGTCTGGACGGGTTTAAGTTCCATTGGCATGGAACTTATTGCTTCTTGTTGGCTGGACTCCAAACTTCCTATGTCTTACGTTTTGTGCCGCTTCACTGCCTGGGCTGAGAACCGTTGTCCACAGGTTGAACGTTCGGATCACTAAGATCCGTGGTTGACTTTGGGCTTAGCTGTTGAATCCACATCACTATCATTAGCTGTATGGATCTATGGCTGATATTTGAAACCGGAATACTACGGTGTGTGACAGTAAGAGTGGGACCCCTATCATGTGAAAACAGAGCTATCCACTACAGTCTACCTTTACACTGAAAATTGAACATTCTGATTTTCCCACTGTTGCCCTCGCCAACACTAACCTAGTACAGGTCTTGAGATAAACAATTTAGCAGCGAGAAATGCCTTTACGGACGAGGAAGAAGCAGTTGACGTTCACTGTTCCCATACCTACCTTTTCTCCACCCAGAGCAGAGGAATGGAATCCAAAGAAAGAACACAGAAGAACTAATACCATCGAGAGTAATCAGACAGATGCAAGGGAAAGTACATCTGGTTCCTCGGATTCACGAGACGGAGCCAAGCTCGAAGCGCAGAAGCCAAAACGTCGGAAACCTTGGTACAAGAGGTTGAATCCTCTAAAGCAATCACGTAAACCTCCATCTCCAGTGGAACGCACTGTCTCTCGTGAATATGGCGCGAGTCTCTGGAGTCTTTTCACATTCAGGTGGATGTCTCCACTTATGGCTGTGAGTGCCCGTTGTGATGCGGATCTATGGATCGCCTTTTACAGCGTGACTGACGAGTAATTACAGGTCGGATACCAGAGGCCCCTCGAGATTGCCGACATCTGGCTTGTCAACCCCAACCGTTCGGCGGAGATCCTTACCGCTAAGGTGCAAGCTTCCTACAAGAAGCGCTTCAAGCGGGGAGACCGACACCCCTTGCTGTGGGCCATGCACGAGACATTCAAGATCGAGTTCTGGCTTGGCGGCATCTGCCAACTCTTCGCCAACATACTTGCGGTCGTCTCCCCATACACGCTGCGGTACCTGATCAAGTTCGCCGCGGAGTCCTACGTTGCGAGCTTAGAGCATACGAAGGGGCCAAGCATAGGCAAAGGGGTCGGGCTGGTCCTCGGCATCACCGCCATGCAAATGCTACAAAGTATGGGAACCAGTCATTCTCTCTACTTCGGTATGATGGTCGGCGGTCAAGCACGCGCTGTCTTAATTGCCATGATTTTCGACAAGTCGATGAGAGTCTCAGGGCGAGCGAAGGCGGGTGGGAAGGCTATCACCGAGGCTGGGGAGACCAAATCTCACCTCGATCAAGTTGTCGACATTGGAAAAGAAAAGATGAATCAGCGGACGAAGAAAGAGAAGAAGAAGCCCGTTCCGAAGCATACTCCCGGCATTACAGGCGATGGCTCGGGCTGGGGCAATGGGCGGGTAGTCAACCTGATGTCGGTTGACACTTACCGCATTAGTCAGGCATCAGGAATGTTTCACATGATCTGGACTGCACCGGTCTCTATTAACCTTACGCTCGTCCTCCTGTTGGTCAACCTGGGCTACAGCGCTCTGTCCGGGTTTGCCCTGCTTCTGGTCGGCCTACCTTTTCTAGGGAAAGCGGTAAAGTTCTTGTTCACTCGCCGCAAAGCTATTAGTAAGATCACCGACCAGCGAGTCAGCTTGACGCAAGAAATCTTGCAAGCTATGAGATTCGTCAAGTTTTTCGGATGGGAGAGGTCGTTCATGAACCAGATCAATGAGATCCGCGGAAGAGAAGTTCGATCCATTCAAATCCTCCTCGCTATCCGGAACATCATTGCTACAGTCTCCATATCCATGCCTATCTTCGCCATGATGCTGTCATTTGTTACCTTCTCTTTGACTAGCCACAAGCTCGACCCCGCGGCAGTGTTCTCGTCGGTTGCTTTATTCAACGCTCTCCGGATGCCTCTCAGCATGCTTCCTGTTACTATTGGACAAGTGGTTGACGGCCGAGCCGCGCTTGAACGGATCCAAGACTACTTATTAGCGGAGGAGATGGAGAAGGATGGTAAAGTCAACACTAAGACGGTAGAGGCAGTCCAGGTGAAGAACGCGGACTTCACATGGGAACGTACTCCCACTGCCGACCCTGCTCAGGCAAAAGCGAAGAAGATTGCCGAGGCGAAGGCTCAAGCCAAAGCTGCAACAAAGGGAGCGAAGCAAAGTGCCAAGGAAAAGGAGAGTGGACTCGTCACTAGCACAAAGAATCTTGACCAGGATGATTCTTTTGAAACCAGTGAGACGAGGCGGCCATTCCAGCTCCATGAGATGAGTTTTAATGCTCAGCGCAACGAATTGATCGCTGTAATTGGTGGAGTCGGCTCAGGAAAATCCTCCCTTCTGGCAGCTTTGGCCGGGGATATGCGGAGAACGAACGGCCAGGTCATCTGGGGAGCATCGAGGGCTTTCTGTCCACAAAACCCATGGATCCAAAACGCGACTGTAAGGGACAACATCCTTTTCGGAAAAACCATGTACGAAGGCTGGTACAAGAAAGTTGTGCAGGCCTGCGCTTTGACCACGGATCTTCACATGCTCCCGGATGGCGATGCTACGGAGATTGGAGAGCGTGGAATCACAGTATCCGGCGGTCAGAAACAACGCTTAAACATCGCACGCGCAATCTACTTCGATGCAGAAGTTGTGCTACTGGATGATCCGCTCAGTGCAGTGGATGTGCATGTTGGACGGCACATTTTCGACAATGCCATATGTGGTCTTTTGAAAAACAAATGCCGTATCCTGGCTACACACCAACTGAATATCCTCCACAGATGCGACAGAGTCATCTGGATGGAAAACGGACGCATCCGAGCGTTTGACACCTACGATAAGCTCATAAAAAGGAATCAGGACTTTGCCAAAATGATGCTTACCACAGCTTTGGAGAAGCAGACAGAAGTAGCAGAAGCTGCCAAGCAAGAAGAGGCTATCGAGGAAACGAAGCCTGAAGAAGCGAAGAAAGCCTTGGCCACCAAGAAGAAGACCCAGCTGATGCAGGCCGAAGAGCGGGCAACGAAGAGTGTGCCCTGGAGTCTATACATGGCATATATCCGAGCATCAGGCACCATCTTAACCGCGCCGCTCATCGTGTTCTTGCTGGTTCTCGCGCAAGGCACAAACATCGCAACCAGCCTCTGGCTCTCCTACTGGATCTCTAACAAATTTGGCTACAGAAACGGCGTCTACATCGGCATCTACGCGGCCTTGGGAGTCTCACAGGCTCTGCTGATGTACTTCTTCGCCATAACCCTTGCTTTGTTGAGCACCAGGTCCAGTAAAACCATGCTCAACCAAGCCATGAAGAGCGTTCTTCGGGCGCCTATGTCATTCTTCGATACAACGCCCATGGGCCGTATCACCACTCGCTTCTCCAAGGATATCGATCAGATGGACTTTGAGCTGACGGATGCTATACGGCTCTACTTCGTCACGCTAGCAATGATCGTCTCCATCTTCACTTTGATCATTGTCTATTTCCACTACGTAAGCCTCCAACTCCGCGTACTATCGAACTACTGTGCTAAAAATACAACCCTCAGTTCGCAATCGCCCTTGCACCTCTCTTCCTCCTCTTTCTTTTCTACACTTCTTACTACCGCGCCTCCGCCCGTGAGATCAAACGCCATGAATCTGTCCTCCAATCAGTCGTCTTCGCCCGCTTCAGCGAGGCCCTGTCCGGAATCGCATCCATTCGCGCTTACGGTCTCGAAGACATCTTCGTAGACAAACTCAAAGCTACGATTGACAACATGAACAGTGCTTACTTCCTCACTTTTGCGAATCAGCGCTGGCTGTCAGTCCGTCTCGACCTGGTCGGCAATATCCTCATCTTCACGGCAGGTATGTTGGTGGTGACTTCGCGCTTCGACGTTTCGCCTTCGATTGCTGGGCTAGTGCTTTCGTATATCCTGAGTATTGTACAGATGATACAGTACATCGTCCGGCAATTCGCTGAGGTAGAAAACGCGATGAATGCTACCGAGCGCTTGCATTACTATGGAACGAAGTTAGACTCGGAAGCGCCTCTGCACCTTGCTCAGATTCCTCCATTCTGGCCGGCAACAGGCGAAATCACATTTTCCAACGTTCACATGCGTTATCGGGCCGATCTGCCTCCGGTGTTGAAAGGAATCTCGATGTATATCCAGGGCGGCGAGCACATTGGAATTGTCGGCCGAACAGGCGCCGGGAAGTCCAGTATCATTACCACACTTTTCCGGCTCAACGAGATCTCTAGTGGTTCGTCCAATCCATCCTCTTCCTGTCACGAAACCACACTAACTCCTCAACCCGCACAGGCTCCATAATAATCGACGACCAAGACATCGCGCGCGTTGGTCTTCAAGACCTCCGCTCCCGCCTCACAATCATCCCTCAAGACCCCAACCTCTTCAAAGGCACCATTCGCTCCAATCTCGACCCCTTCTCCCAATACACAGACCTAGAGCTCTGGTCCGCCCTTCGCCAATCCACCCTCATCCCCGAAGACGACATCTCCATCACCTCTCGCAAATCTGGCTACATCCACTTGGACGACGTTGTCGAAGAAGAGGGCGCGAACTTCTCCCTCGGGCAACGTCAGCTCATGGCCTTAGCCCGCGCATTGGTGCGGAATTCGCAGATCATAGTCTGTGATGAGGCTACCTCGTCGTTGAACATGGAGACGGATGTGCAGATTCAGAGAACGATGCAGACGGCTTTTAAGGGGAAGACGTTACTGTGTATCGCGCATCGGCTGCGGACGATAATCAATTACGACAGGATTTGTGTGATGGATCAGGGTCACGTCGTGGAGCTGGATACGCCGAGGAATCTGTTTGAGCAGGGGGGCATTTTCAGAGAGATGTGCGATCAGGGGGGAATTCGGGTGGGGGATTTCCCGCGGAAGACGTTGTGGGATCATGTGCTGGACGGGTTTAAGGATGATAAGATTAGGAGGGGTTGGAGTTAGGGAGGTGAACAGGGGAGAAACTACAGATAGCGTGTTTGCTGTACTTTTAGAGCGGCATTGGTGTCTTCGTGGATCATGTATCCCCTGCGTTGACCCACTTGGAGGTTAGGGCTCCCCCAGCTGTCAGGCTTTGGGGGGATGAGGGGAGAGCTCTGGCTAGCATAGGTTCAGGCCAAGCTTTAATGTGGAATGAAAAGGGCATGATCTCCATTGAACAAGTTTGAACAATGATAGGTGAAAATATATAGTACTGGCAAGGATTACAACTGACTAAGCATGTCAAACAAGATTAACCAATCATAGGGCCAGAATTTGTTACAGTCTTGGCGCTCGGCCTACGCGCTTCAAAGCACCTTCCATCCGAAACAATCTTCCCTGCTCACAACGCTCTCCCTCCTCACGACCATCACTATACTACCGCCATTGTACTTCCCCGGCTCAGCCAAATTACTGCAAAAGCCAGTTTAGATCAACACTGGTATCGATCCCGCTGTGGTCTCTATCTACCGACAAGCAACAGAGCTCGCCCAACGCCAGAATGGCCTCCGTACCACCAGAACTCCTACATCTCATTGTCTCGCAAGCCGCCCTCTCATATGTGTACTATCCCAAGAAAGGCGAGGTCAAAAAGGACCTTGGCACCCTCAGATCCTTACGCCTTGCCAATCGGAAGCTCTCCAAGGTGGCATCCGAGTATCTGTTTGAAGAGCTCACTCTCTATTCTACGGAAGCTAGCCATGCCAAAATGATGGCCGTTGCCCATCATCCTACCTACAGTGCTTACGTTCGATCGATTGGAATTTCTCAAAAAGCCATCTTTGGACCTTTCTTGGACAGATACGCGTTTGGGCAATGGTTCCATCAAGCAAGGCCTCTAGTCATGTGTGATGGCTTACCCAAAGGTTACTTCTATGTACCACATCGCATGGCGTACCTACCCACGAAAGAAGCCCGTGTAATCGACTTCCATCATGCGGAATACACATCCCTCTACAAGAAGCAAGAACAACTGTTCGACAAGGCTGGAGATCTCTTGAAGACTGCCATCGGTTGCTTTTCACACCTAGAACTAGTGGAACCGTCTGTGCGTACACCTCGCACAACATATCCCGTACCCTCTACCGACGACGCCTTCATCAGTGATCTGTGGCAAGACAGCGCATGCTATTACGAATACGATCTCGAACATTCAGCCATGATCCTGACAGCTCTATATCAAGGTAGATCACTCGCTGCGACCCAGATCAACATCAGCGAACTATTCTACAAGATGGACACCATGGTAATGGATCTTCCGGACCCTGTCGCTTCTGGAGAAATTCAAAAACTCGTTGCCGATGCGAAGAAAGTGAACCTCTCCATCCAGACTTCTGACTATGCCGGATTGCAAAAACTCCTCAACACAAGCAAATGCGAGAAGTTCCTAGGTTTGATGAAGAACCTTGAGTCACTTGCATGTTCGACATACGAGCTTCAGGGTTCTCCGCTTCCATACCCACTACTCTTTGACATCTTTGGTCATAATACATGGGAACATCTCCATTGCCTAGACCTCGGTCTGTTTCGCACCCCTGCCATCAAGCTTGCCAAGCTTCTCGGCCGTCACAGTTCCACTTTGGAAAAGCTTACCTTGCAGCATATCCTGCTTTCTCAAGGGTCCTGGTTTGACATTTTCATCAACCTCCGACACGGTGCGCTACGCGTTGTTCAGCTCCACCATCTCGGCTGCGGAAATGAGACCGACGAATTCTTTGACGACGTTGACGCACTTGAATTGAGGCCGATACCGTCCTCACACCCGCTCTTCGCCTTTTTGTTTCGAGGGGCGTCGTGGGTACCATACATGGAGAAGGTGCTGGAAGGGTCAGAGTTAGATTCGGAGGGTAGTCGTCCAGATTCGGAGGGTAGCCGTCCAGATGCTACTGATTGGGAGGACATGGACTCCGAGGACGACGTAGATTGATCAGAGAAGGGAACCTTGGAAGATTAGAGAGCAGGAGACGGAACTGAGGAGTAATTCACGGCGGAGAGCACAACGATGCTAATATCATGACGTGCTTTGCATCCCATCACCGACACCAAGCAAGAACGCAGACCCCTCTCACATTTGTTCGCATGAATTACACACCGCTGCTGTAGCTATCGCATCCTAGACCCAAGCGGTAATCAATGTTTCAGAAAGCTACCGAAAACAAGAAAAAATGGTGCAGAACTATGTGCCACCAAAGACCGTCGATCCTCCGACTTGACACCTTCCTTTTTTTCCCATCACTCGCTATGTGGTGGGCGTAGCATATTAGTACAGTGTTTGCATGTCGCATACGCGATGTCATCCATACCCATGTTGTGTATCTTACTTGTCATCTTCGCTTTCTTCATTGCTTAGCTCCCTACACTTAGCCATAGCTCCTACCTGCTTGTTTATCATCCTTCCTCATATCATATTCATAATAGAGTCATCCATCGATACCATTTGTTACTCCACTCCTACCCCTATCTCTTTATTCGTGTTCTTTCAACCATATTATTGTCCCTCCCTCCCTACCTCACCTATTACCTACCTTCTATTTTCCTCCATCTACCTGCCTCTACCTACCTCCCTACCTACCCCCTACCTCCCTACTTTTCCCTACCGCTATTTGCATCTACCAGACACAACAGGTTTCAAATCAGAAACAGCGCCTTCGACACGGCTGGTAGGCAGTACTTATTTACAGGACAGGTTCTTCATTGGGATCGAATTGAACGGGATTGGGGTTGATATAAATATTACGAGTTCGATGGGCTGGGGATAAGCTTTGTGATCATTGCTGTCTTGGAAAAAAGATTACGGCGGTTGGGGGTGACGGTGTTTGATGTGAAGTGCTTGTTTTGCGAGATTACATTTTTGGTTTCCAATATTCAGTTTTGAACTTTCAATGTCTTCTTGTTCGTCTGTTGGCCAGTATACGGCATGTTTTGACGTTTGAAACTTGATATCGCTAAGCCTGACATTGCTAGATATCAAAGATTCATCCGAGGCCTCTCGTAGTGCCGTAAGGTTGGATTCTTCGCGATGTAACTTCTGTAGCTGGCCGTCCCAAGGAACTGGGATTGAACGAACGCCCGGGCCCGGTGAAAGCCTGGCTTCGTATGCACATTCCACCAATACAGATGCGGTCGCCGGCATGGGTTCTCTCCATTGAAATGTGGATTTTGGATACCTCTAGCCGCGGCCTTAGTCCCATGTCGTCACTATCAAACCCCAAAGACATACGCATCGCCAGACTGTTTTTTCTTGTTGTTGTTGTAAGTGCTCTTCTTCAACCGAGTACAACTGGATAGCCATTTGCGCCCCGAAGTAGCTGAGGCTGAAAGCCACGTTATAGGATGGTGCGAAGGAGGTAAATTTGTGGTAGTGAAGGATCTAATATTTAGCATGGTATTTGATGGATGGAGGGAGGGTTTGCGGTTTTGTAGAGCAGTCTTGCTAGCAGAGAGCGGAAAATGCGGCATCAGAGGTCGAGTAGTCACAATTAACATGGGAACAGATGCGGACAAGGTCGACAGGCGCCGCTAGTGAGGGCGTTGTATCTGCGAATAGGAATTGAAGGAGCAGAGCCGCAGCTCAAGGCAAGGAACACGCGTGCCAAGTGGTATTTCTCTTCAGCAAAGACGTCTCCAGCAATGGTGCAAAGCGGATGGATGTGAAGAGGCAGAGACAGAAGTTTAAGCCCAGAATCCAGTCTGATCATCTACTGTCTCGTTCTCACATTCGGTTGTGAGTGCAAGACAATGGTGTGATGGAGAAATACATTATCGAGAACGATGCCGCTGCTGCACATACCGGCGCATTGCCGATGTGATCCGCGTCATATAGACATGGCGTTCTCGAAAGTGTCGCGTGTCTTGGAACTAGTGCCATCGTTTCAAGCCGAGACTCGCTGTTTCAACCAAGGTGCAGCGGGTAAACCTGTCGAAAAGTGGCCCCCGCGCATCCCAGCCACCGTGTTTTCCAGCCACCTGATTTTGTACTGTATTTAGGACCTGGCCCCGGAGAGGTTTTAGAGAATTAATCCGTTCGTTCTACACATCACATACCTGATATTTCAACTAAACCGACCAACAGACGCAAGCTTTGCGCCAGGCGAGGTGTTGTGATGATGTGATCAATCACTATAGCGCTCCAGAGGTACCAAGCCGCTCCAGGTTCATCTTTGTCCCTGGCTGTGAGTGGTCAACTCGTCCAGTAGCTGGACGGTCTCTCCAGGATTTGCTATCCATGCAGTTGTACACGCCAACCTTGCTTTGAAGTCATTGGCTCCAGCGGACAGGAATTGATCTCCAACATGCAAGGTCTTACTTCCCTCGATACCGCCGAGGTATCGTTGACATGCGAGAACACCCCATCCCTTGTCGCCAATATCCACGAACACATCATTGCCTCCGTTGAAAGCGCAAAAAGGCAGCCTTCGTGCAGCTGGTGACATTTCAACAACTTGTTGCGTTACTAGTACAGTTTCTTCTAGTTGCTCACGGGTGAACTTTCGAGCTTTTGGCGCTGTGGTTGGAATGATCCCAACGGCCCGTTCTTTCCTCAAGATTTCGGCCGACAACTCCATGCCAGAGATACACTCACGTAGGGCTTTCTCAGCGACATCCAACAAAGCTTGGATGTCTTCCTCAGTCCACTGTTGCATTTCCGGGAGCAGCCATTCGTTCCTTTCGACGTATCTCAGAAGGTATTCAGCGGAAGTGTCAAGTTGGAAGAGGAAGTTGCTTTCTCCGCCCAGAATGATCAGCTCTGGATTGGTCACTTGTTTCAGGGTCACAGCGGCTTTGATTGCTTCCAAAAGGCCATATAGACGGCCGTAGTATTTCTTCGCTTCAGTGTAGCCTGCTGCTGTCACGATGCCGACCTTGGTACCCTGAGCTAAGAGGCTCAAAATTCTTGGGATTACCGGATTGTCAGCGGTCAATGACTGACCATCGTCTGAGGAAGGAAGATATTAGCCGTGAAAAGGTCTTGGGGGGAAAACAGTGTATTGTGGGAGAGTCGGGGACTATAGGCTAGCTGCCCGCACATCAGAAAGCTGGGACAGAAGCCATTATTTGTCCAATGATTGGAAGTCGAACGACGAATCACCACCGTCAGATACGCACCATAAAGCGTCACATCCCCATCAAACGTCACCAGCTCCAGAGGCCCACCCCTCACCAGACTCAGAACCTGCGCCGAATTCAAGATCAACCGAATATCGTTGAAAGAAGGCGGCACGAAGCGGCGCGAGCTGATCCTCCGCTGTCGGTCTTGATACTCAAACGCCTCTTCCAGCAGCAACGGCGTGAAAAAGACCCCGACGCTTGGAACCAGCAGCTTCAACTTGGACCGTTGGTGCGTACCGTCCCTTTGGTGCGCGATGTGGTCGTTGATCAGGTCTTCCACCTGAGGACGTGTGGCCGGTCAGTCAGTCTCGGTCTTAAATTGGGAAAACTAATTTGGAGTAGCAGAAGCGTGAGGGGCTACGGGTGTACGAGAGCAGGAGGTAAGTAGATGCATATGGCGGGAAGGGTGCCCTCCAGCAGTCAATCCTTTTCCTTCTTGCCTTCCTTGCCGTCGGGCTAACCAGCCACGAGTATAAATACGCACATACATCATGCAATATCTCCGCGTACCGTCTGTGAGCCGTGCGGGCCATCTTGACCAGGATGTCCTGCCGGTTGTCGTATGCGGCCGTGGGCTGCGAGTGTAGCACAAAGGGGACGGCGAGGAGACCTTTGATCCATTCGATGAGCTGGTCCCGTCGATGGGTCTTGAGTGCGTATTCGACTCGGTAGCGGGTTGTCATCTCGGGTCGGGGCGGAAGTACTTGGTGGTATGGGTGAAAGCATCGAGGTGGTCCCTATGAGTGCAGGCCCACGGCTAGCGCCGGAGAAGTTCGGGCCGAGGATCTGCCGATGTAATCCCAGCGGGTTTTTCCCGTTGCATACAACGACATCAATCACCCACCTTCCCCACCCCTCCTCTACAACCACTACCCCTTAACAAACCCCATCAATCAACCAACTGACACCGCGTTGCAACACCTCTCCTAGCAGCCCCATGACCGTGCACCGACTACATTAATTCCCTTCCGAAGGGGGGAAGAGCGAGACTTCGCGCCCTTGCTGCTCGTCAATTGGGAGATAGAACTTACTCAGGTCGAGGATAGGGAGATGGGATGTTGGAGTGGATGTATAACGGTTTTGAGGGTTCGGCTACAGTACAGCATTCGTGGAATTTGATTGATTGATGGATCAGAGTATGTACTGGTGTGTATAGGATAGGAAATGCAAGAGACGCTTTTGTTCGGTTTGTCGTTGCGGAAAGACTGGCGGAGTTTGACAATTTTTCCCCCTCCCCCTTCCCCTTCCCCACCCCCACTCGATCGCCATCAGAGGAACTCTCCTACTCCTTTATTATCGTCATCATTACCGTCATCACCCCCCATCGGGGACCGAGCTCCTGTACAACTGACTAAATGCCGACGACGGCTGCGCCAGCAGCTTGTACGGACTGTCCAGCTCGACCAGCGTCCCCTTGTCCAGGACGGCCACTTTGTCGAAATCGGTGATCGTGTCCAGTTTGTGCGCTACGGCGATGATGGTGTGGCGGGAGAATTTCTGCCGGATGATGCGCTGCATCAGCGCGTCGGTTACGTCGTCGAGACTGTGCGGATGGGGGTTAGTCGATATGTAGGTATACAGTGGTGAAGTGGAAGTTGGGTGGGCAGAGGGTAGTGTGTGCTGGGATGATGGGGGGAGGAGGTGCATACCTGCTTGTGGCTTCGTCGAGAACGAGGATAGAACTCTGCCTCAACAGCGCTTGAGCCAGACAGAGAAGCTGCTTCTGTCCATGGGAGAGATTCACGTCTTCGATATCGGCGTCTAGGCCCCCTTTCCCCTGTATCCCCTCCCACAATCTTACATCCTGCAAAGCCGCAATGATTGCTTTGTCCGTAGCCCGCCCGTACGGATCGATGTTCAGCCGCACGCTCCCATTCAGGAGGAATACATCCTGCGGCAGCCCGATGATTCGGGACCGCACTTCGTGTCGCGGGATGGTGCTCAAGTCCAGCCCGTCAATCGTGATACTGCCCGCGCGCAACTCTAGCATCCGGAAGAGCGCCAGTATCAAAGATGATTTGCCGCTGCCGGTGCGCCCGCAGATTCCGATCTTCTCGCCGCCTCGGATGGAGAGCGTGACTTCATTGAGGACCGCGCGGTTGCTCTCGTAGCCTGCGCTTACGGAGTGGAATTCGATGGCGCCTTGGGCGGGCCAGTCGGGTGGCAGTACCGCGGTCTCTTGGGACGTGTCTTCAGGGTTAGTGGTGCTGGTGAAGTTCCGGATTCGGCTGACGGCTCCAATGTGCGTTTCGAGCATCGTCCAGTACTGCAATACGAGCTTTAGGGTCTGGCTGAAGAGGATTACGTTAAGGAGCGCGATGCCGACGTAGGCGCCACTGAGGACACCGCGTAGGCCAGTGATGAGCGACATGAGCATTATGGCTATTGCGGCGACGAGAAGGTCGAGCACTAGTTGTAGCCAGCGCTGCACGGAGAAGAGGAGATAGAATGGTCGCTGCGACTGGTCCAGGAGGTGGCGGTTTTTCGCCTCTAGAGAACGTTGCCAGCCGAATGCGCGGATCGTGGTGAGCCCGGCGATGGTCTCGCTGAATAGAGAATAGAGTGGTGATTTGGCTTCGAGATCGAGGAATCGTAGTTGACGGGAGGTGCGCAGGTAGAATTTTTGGATCAAGTAGACGAAGAGAAAACAGACGGGGAACGATATCGCGGCGTAGACTGAGGAGATTCCGATGAGGATGATCTGCGCGATGCAGAGGATGAAGGCTGCAACGAAATTCAGTGCGGAAAGAGGAAGATCCATATCAATGAGTTGGAGGTCTTGCGAAAATCGGTTGAGCGTAACACCGGTGTCGGTCGTAGAGAAAAAGGTCAGTGGAGCTGCGAGCACCGTTTTCAGCAGTCGATGGTGGAAGTTTTCGCCTGATTGGGGTACCATGGTGATGATGATCTGCCAGCAACTGATGATTAGAGAGATGAGGCCCATCACACCGAGCATAGCGTAGATGCCGAGATAGTAGCCTAGCTTTTGGTTTGGGCGCTGAGCATTTGCGGCCGCCCACCAGCCAAGCCAGACTTGTGGAAAGGAGATACAGAATACGTAAGCGCACATGGCGACGATGAAGGTTACCACTGCAAACCAACCGACAGATCTCGCGTAGTAGGTGTAGATGGCAAGATCACCGGTTCGCTTGTTGGCTTCGAATTCTATCGTCTCTGTCGCTTCTTTGGATGGTGGCAATGTGGGATGGACGATTTTACTCGTAGTGGTCATGGCTAAGACTTGATCTAGGTTTGTCATCTCTGTGGATTGAACAGTCCAATCCGCTGGTTGCAGCTCAAAGCTTGAGACATAGCCGCCGGCTGAATTGAGCTCCTTAAAGCTTCCCTGTTCAGATAGTTTGCCGTCCACGTCGAGGACGACTATGTGATCTGCGAAGGGAACTCGCCTGCTGGAGGAGGAAGCGAGGATACTGGTGGTACCTTGGCGGCGTAGTAACCCATCCCGGCCGAAAAGACTGTGAAAGACCCGCTGTTCGGTGTCCATATCTAGACCGCTGAGTACGTCATCGAGGATGCATAGGTCATGTCGTGAGTAAGCAGCGCGAGCCAATGCGAGCCTCTGGCATTGGCCTCCACTCAGTGCGATGCCCTTGCTTCCGATTTGTGTCTGGTCACCCAACGGCATCTGACGCAGATCTTCGTCCAGAGCACAAGCCTCGAGTATAGTGTTGTACCAACGATCATCGTACTCGGAAAATGCGGTGATACTGTCCCGTACGGTGCCGTTCATGTGGAAAGGTGACTGATCGCAGTAGGATACGTCACCGGCAAACAGTTTGATGGTCCCGGACAGCGCAGGGACCTCGCCCAGGAGCGCTTTCAGCAGTATCGTTTTGCCACAGCCTACAGGACCCACTATCATTGTCAACTTTCCTTGCGGAATGCTCAAATTGATCGACGACAGCAGAGCTTCCTTCTCTGTTTCCCAGCCGAAGCTAGCGTCTTCTACGCACATGAAGTCGGCATGAGACCCTGGAAAAGACATGATCCCTCTGTCATTGGTGGAAGTCATGCGAGACTGGGAGGACTTCTCGGTCCATCTGAGACTGTCACTGGCGCTGGTATCGCTTTGAGAGCTTTGTCCATTGTCAGATTCGTACTGAAAGGGCTTGATCCTTTTATCTACATGTTCAGGCGTATCCAAAAAGACTTGAATGCGGCCAAAGCAGCCTAAAGAGCCGGCAAAAGCACTCATGGCCATGATCAGCGAGGACAGAGGGTCAGCGAGAAGCGCAAACAGCGAAAGCGACGTGAAAACTTTGCTAGTATCCAGGGTGCTGTTACCATTGCTCCTTAGAGCTATGAGCGAAAAGACCATAAAAGTCAGGACGGGAGCAATCACAGGGGTAGTGTAAGCGAAAAACATGCTTCCAATTAGTAGTCTTCGGAAACTTTTGGAGATCTCTAATTCTTGCAACCTCAGGCTGTGCAGATTATCGAACAGAGTGTCGGCTAAGCCGCACATCTTGATGCGTTTCATCGAGCCCAGCATTTTTGTGGTGGCGCTGATTCGTCTCTCTATAGCTTCGAGCCAGAGAGCCTGTCTTTGCACCACCAAGTTCATGACGAATAGCGAGCCTAACAATGAAACTATGATAGGGAAAACCTGTCAGCACTGGAGACGTACCTAAGTTGCCACCTGTGGTGACCACGGTCGCTCCTGGTCAATGGGAAAGGTTGACTTGCCTATGGCCACTGCGATTGGAATAGCACAAGCTGCTCCAAGCTGCCGTTCCAGCAAGTAGATAGCAAGGGCAATCTCAATTGGATTCGCCCAAATCTCGTGCATTGTCTGCCATCCGTTGGTGACCCTTTCGATATCAGCACTCATAAGAGTAAGTGATGTCGCAGGATCAGCTGCATTTGCTTTCAATGACGATGTCTTGGCGAACAGCATCGAGACAAGCCCTCCTCTGGCCATGGTTATTGCGCGATACGTCAGGTGCTGGTATTGGCCGGTCGTGATGGCAATGCCAGCGTACACGAGAAAGTATGCGCCGATCAGGCCATACCCTACGTTGTTCGGATCTTCGGACTTGGACCGCGAGGAGAAACTGATGGCGCGTTGGATCAAGAACGGTTGGCAAAAATTGAACGCGATGAGGCCTAAGCGCGGTGGAACCGCTGAGAGAAGACGCCATTTGAGCCTGCCGAAATATAGAAAAAGAAGCGACCGGGGAGCCTTGGTCGGCACATTTACCCAGGCTGTCTGTAGTCTGTCGTATAGGTAGCCGCATGTTAGGTGCTTGTCGAGCGGAAGCAAATCTTCCATAGAGAGAGACCTTTTGAAACCAGTTCGGAAAAGACCGTTGAGCCACCAGAAAACGGATCGGCTAAGTAATCCGCTGGTGGCTTCGGGCGAAGTCGACTTCCATTCAGGATGCAAGATACTGCGTTTTTCGACCGCCTCACATATGATGAGGAGAAACTTGAGTGTAAATGCAACGGTAGTGACAGCAGCGACAGCATTGTTGTAAGATTGCAGCCAAAGTGTTCTGACTCGAGCGGCATCAAGCAGAAGAGTCAAAGACAAATAGGACTGTATTACTAAGGAGGGTCGGATGGAGCGCTCGTGCTCCACGAAGGAGAGGATCGCTAATGCAAGAGCACCCACTGAGCTAAGGACAGCATCTGCTACCGATGCTGTGGTCTTGGTAGCTGTCGGCTTTGCCCATAGCGCAACGAGAGCGAGCTGCGTCGCTCCGAGAACTGCATAGAGAACCTGCACCGGCAGTTTCAGCTTCATTCCAACGAGCGGTGCAATGCGATATGCAGCGTTGGGTGGGGCCACCTACCAGTTTAGACGCTAACCAAGAACTCGGATCGACTTTGATCGTTCTTCGAAAGAGGTATGAGATTCGAAAAGGTACCACGATGAGCAGCAAGGCCATGGGGAGGATTGATAGAATGCTTTCTTCGAACAGTAAAGTGAAATCAAACCCGCCGCGGCAGCCTTCTGCATAAGGGCCAAAGGTGTCATCGACTTGCTTGCATGATTCCGGTGTCGCCATTCCCGCTGTGATGGAGTACTCGACAAGATTGTGGCCTGAAATGCAGCCCTCGCGCAGGGTCTTGAGGCTGTTGGTCTTGGGAGTCCTTTGGTAGATCCGAGAGAGAGGTTGTTCATGAGCATGAGATTGACCCGGAGTGCGTGGATCAGATCCGGTTGAGCATACGTGGGGAATGCATTCCCATGAGGACGAGGCTAGGAAGCACAGCTCGGTTGCCAGCGTCCAGTGTACAGGTACAGGGTGTGCAGCGGATTGGAACGCATCGTGTTGAGTGCATGCTTGCAGGAGTAGGGTCACAACTTGCAGCCGCTGATGCAAGGTTTACCTCTTTCGGGTAGTTGTAGCCTTATTGTTGATAGCTCTTTGATGGACGGCAACACTGGCTCCATCCCGGTTGTGCGGATAATTAGCGCTCACCTCGTTGGTCATGTCCCATGTACTTTCGGAAGATGAGCTATACCAGATCTCCTGTATTAAATTTACGGCCACACATCGAGTACTCACCTGGCGCCGTGATGTGAAGTATGAAGCTGCAGTCTAAGTTAGTGTCCCTTGGAACTCGATAGCGTGATTTCATCCCAATCTCAATCCTCGCCTGGGAGCGGCGAACCCGACTCATCGGACTCCACGCACAGAGAGCTATTTACTCTAAGAGGTCAGAGATCTATTCGGAATCGGGGCCGTTGTATATGCGCCGGCTAGAGGACGATTGAAAGCAAGGATGAATATGTTTTTCTGCACGGTCATTGGACGAACCACATAGCTAGTCTGGTCAGGATTCGACGGTTAGAAATAGGGGAATTTTAGAATGGGGGAAGAACGAGATTTTTTAATCGAATTTTGAATTTTGAGGGTTTTCGGTTGTCACAGCCAAAGCTGCTAAGCCTGGTTGAGAAGTACAACTAAGGTAAAGTATTAAAAGTAAAACGCCTCAGCGGCTTGGAAAAACATGACACTTAACGGCATCTTCCAGACTTTGCCCGAAGCAGTATTGTGGCGTCTGGGGGAATCATCACATCATGACTGTTCCTTGGCTAGCGAGCAGGCTAAGAACGCTAAATCCCTTAGGGCTACTCGAAATAGGGCTAAGTACCCTAGGGCTAAGTATCGAGTAAAGTACCGTCACTCTTCCCTCCCTCCCTTCCGCACCTACCCACTCACTACCTGCTCAGAATTCAATCAGACTAGAATATACACATCTTATACCCATTCTTCTTTCTATCATGACCTCCAGGAATGATCAAAAGTCTTCATTGAATGATCGGCCTCATCATCTAATAATGAGCGGCATCGACATGGGGTCGGAGATTACCTTACAGAGTATGAGTGAATGTATACCCCTGTGCTCCCTGCAAGATCAATGCAACAGCGATCCGAGCACATGGCGTCGCATGCAGAAACGGTCAACTCGCATGTAACGGTAAACTTAAGCGCTTTGCAGCATTTTCCGACCAACCAAAGTACCCAGGTATTTTGGCTTTGTTCGTGCATACGACTAATCTACTCAAATCATGCAGCTGAAAATTTCCATCTTTCTACCCCGCAATACCCCCACGCTCCGCCGCTGCGAAACCAAGAACTTACCTGAACGTGACACATGTAAACCTGCTGATTGAGATGCCATCGTGATGCCCCAACCTCCACCTGCACAAGAAAGGGACAAGGACAACGATCTCTCAATTTAAAATGTCTTGTCAGACCTACATACTAGGACAGTGTTCGCTTGTAAGCGAGTATGATTCGTCGACAAACCCTCTTTTACCCCAGCCACGCTCTCCTAAATACTATCGAGCTACCTTTTGGGAGATCAGAGAGCCTCCTCTTCCCTGTTGCGGAAGTATGCCAGCGACGCTATGGAGATCTTGGCGCGTCATTCAGAGCGAGAGCTGAGACCTGACGGCCGCTAACAGGACCCTGGTCTGACCACACATGGAGCGTGAATCCAGCTTCAACATTTTCCTTCCTTAGTCGTGTCACTTGGTGTCGCCGCCAAATACTCCTTCCCCTCAAGTTCTCAGGACTCCACAACGGAACGGCGCCACCAGCGGGTCGCATACCACATAGCGATTGTTTTGATGTAATGGAATCAAACTACTCTCTACAGGAATGACAGCCGTTGCATTAGCCTGTCAGGCTTCCGGTTTTGACCGTTAGGGAAAGCCTACACATTTGGTGAAACGTCATCTAGGGATCGCCTTGAGCAACCAGGATAGAAACTTGGTTTCTGTCTGGGAATACGCACAGATGCAGGCCGGTCTCCTTTGGGGTCCACTTGCGTGGAGCTCGGTCTGTTGCTAAATGAAGAAGTGACCAATCATGTCGGCAGTGGAAGCCTCGGCGTCAAGCATCACCTCCAGCTAATGCTCACGAATAGCGGCGGAGCACAACCGTTCCCAGTTTGGTCCTTTACATCCTGCAGAGCGAGAAAGACTGCACACTCACAACCAAATTTCAGGAAAGGACCAGACACCTTCGCTTTACGATCTTCAACCTCACCTGTATCACTTTACAGAATCATATCTAGACCCGAAAACAGAGAGCACAAGTCCTCGTTACCCGCATGAAAGTCGAACACGCAGCCATGTCCCAACTGAAAGCAATGTCTTGCAAGCTCTCTCTACTGGACGGGGAAGACACTACTAGATCTCGGCTGATGATGACTGAAGTGGAACTTGAGAATCCAGACAGACTCCAGAATCTAGGCAAGGGAGACCGAGCATCTTTCAATGACATGCTATGTACCGCCTGGGGCCTTCTCTTGCGCTGTTATACAGGCCAAGACAATGTATCCTTCCATTTTGGACAGGGCAACGTTGATGGCCTGGCCTCAAAGTCAGCCATACCCCGAGACCGCCAGTCCATTTTTCGAATGGAGTTTTGCGAGCGGGAAAGTCTCTCGACGTGTGTTGCGAGGGCGAAAGATAGCTATGCAGATAATGAGCGGGGAGTTCCGTCTTTAGTCTCAACAGTATCAGACTCGAGATCTTTCTCTGCGTCACATTACCAAAACACCCATGTATGGGTCGAGGACGCTAGTTGTAAAGATACGCAAGATGCTGCTATTCAAAAGGTATTCTGATCCACCAGCGCTAGTTTCCATCAAAAAGTACAATCTGACATCTGCGATAGGGAGACCTTTGGCTCCTTGCGGCCTACACATATAGTGGGGTGAAGCTGACTTTGAAATCGCATAGCTGCGATGTCTCTCCAGGCTATATGCAGATCCTTGCGAGCACTCTCGATCACCTATTGACTACCATTGTTGTTTCGCCAGAGACGCAATTGGTGGACTTGAGTTACGTAAGCGACCGCCAGAAGCGTCAGATCGATGTTTGGAGTCAGCCTCCAATTGAGCAGTCCAATGAGTGCGTGCATGACATAATCCATGGACAGGTTCTGAAGAACCCCGAAACTGAGGCGGTGTGTGCATGGGATGGGTCTCTGACATTTCGTGATCTATGGATTCATGTTGAGCGCATGGGACGAGTCTTGTCAAGTATGGGCGCTGGCCCGGACGTCGTTGTGCCACTCTGTTTCGAGAAATCCATCTGGACGACGGTTGCAATACTGGCTGTTCTGGAAGCGGGAGCAGGATTCTGCCTTCTAGACGCGACACAGCCAATGACTCGTCTTGAAGGTCTCACACGCAAGCTTGGGGCAAAGATTTTGCTGTGCTCACGGACGCATTACCCAAAGCTATCATCTCTTGTCGATAAGGTTCTTGTGATTGACGCCGAGACACTCAGGTGTTTACCTGGAAGATCTTCAGATATAATGACTCGAGCTTCGCCATCAAACATTGTCTATGTCGTTTTCACGTCTGGGTCGACCGGAGAGCCCAAAGCGATTGTCATTGAACACGGCGCATTCTGCTCAGCTGCCAAAGCCCAAGAATCAGCGCTGTGCATGGACCGGGGCCTGCGCGCCCTACAATATGCGTCCTATGTGTTTGACGCATCCATCCAAGAGACTCTTTGCCCTCTCATGCTCGGGGGTACTGTCTGCGTTCCGAACGAACAGTCGCGTATCAATGAGCTTGCCGCAGCGATCAATCAAATGCGGGTAGAATGGGCCGTGCTCACACCTTCTGTTGCCAATTTCCTCACTCCTTCCGCAGTACCTCGACTGAGGACTCTGCTTCTTGTTGGGGAAGTAATGAGCCAGGAAAACATCTCGACGTGGTCTTCTATTAAACTCATTAACGGCTACGGTCCAGCTGAATGTTCAGTCGCTGCAGTGGCAAATTCTAACCTGTCTGCGAACAAAGATCCTACTCAAATCGGACGTGGTATCGGCGTGCGGTGTTGGCTTGTCGATCCACAAAACCACGAGCGACTTCTTCCTCCTGGCTGCCTGGCAGAGCTTGTGATAGAGGGTCCTACTTTGGCACGAGGATATCTGAACGATCCACAGCGAACACGCGATTCTTTCATAGAGAGTCCTGCTTGGGCGACCAATGGCGGCGGAGATTCCCCCAAACGATGGATGTACAAGACCGGTGACCTTGTCAGATACAACACTTCAAATGGTATGCTTCATTTTGTCGGACGCAAAGATACACAAGTGAAGCTTCATGGACAAAGGATTGAACTCGGCGAGATTGAATATCATCTCGCAAACGAACCAGCTGTTCACCAGTCCGTTGTATTAATGCCCAAGGCTGGTTTTTGTAAGCATCGTCTTGTGGCTGTGGTCTCTTTGCAGGCTATATCAGCAGCAAGCGTTGGAATGGACGGCTCCGCTCTTCAATTCGTCAATAAAGCGAAGCAAGAGGAAACACAAGCTACTGTCGCTATGGCGCGCGAAAGAATCTCAAATCAGCTCCCTGCTTTTATGATTCCTTCTATTTGGCTTGTTGTCCAATATGTACCACTTCTGAAGTCTGGAAAGCTTGACAGAAAGGTGGTCTTCAATGAAGTCCAAGACATGAGTGAGGAGACATATGCCCAATGGGTTCGGGGTGAACAGAAGGAGGAAAAGCCAGCCACTGACCTCGAGGC